TAGTCGCGTTACGGATGGTGCGAAAGCCCCGGTGCTACTCTTTGGCGCGCTACGTTCGGTAGAGCAGTTCTGTAGATAAGTAAAACATTTCAGTCCCTTCAGTACTATCCTCTCTTTTCAGGGGTCCCTCTCCCGCCAGCCCTACTTTTCTAGCTTTACGCCTGCGCTTGATGAGTGGAGGGTGTCAGTATAGTGCTCACGATGGAGTTGCGTAGAGTTTCAGCGGACCACCGAAAAGAAGACAAACATAACACTGTTCTTATTTCGTTTTTAGTTTCTTTGTTATCAACCAAACAGCATTTTAATCGGCTTTATTTCACAGCTGGTGGTGCTGGTCTCTTTGGCGCACCCAAAGAGAGGGGACCAGTACGAAGACTGGTTGCGCTGGTGTACGCTCGTTTATTGTTTTCTGTTTGCGCAATTCGATGATGAAGGCCCCATTGTTGCCTATATAATCGGCGGCGAAACAACGATGCCGTGGCATGCGTTGTCTGAAAACATTGCAACGTAATATAACGTGAGACGTGACTGTTTGCGGGCGTATTTACACTGATGTGCACACCGTCGACCTAGATGGAGAACAAACAGCATGCATGCACACCGGACACCGTCGTCTTCTGTAGGCGGAATATCTGACCCTTGACATGTTTGCTACGTAGCGATATATTTTGTGCTTATAGGTGTTCAGTAAGGCTCGTTTATTCAACTGTGTGTACCCTTCGTGCTGTTCAATGTCACTGGCAGACCAGCGGCTTCGCGCGGCCTGACATCGAATTGGTCTTCATCGAATTAACGAAACGAACCATACCAACCAACGTAACACAAAGGCAGCAGCTGAACCCAGGGTTGTACGCAAAACTTTTTCCGAGAGATGGAGGGGGGGGGGGGGGGGGCACCTTTCTTACACAAATATGGGCCGGGCAAGTGAATGTTTGTTTTGCGCTATGTGTGACATGACGAACAAACTTTGGGGGGGTGGAGCGCACAGACCCGGAGAGTCACCCCCCCCCCCCCCCCCCGGATATGCCACTCGCTGATGCACTCGGAGATTGTATATGATGCAGTCTGCCGGCGTAAGCCCCGTTGAATATTTCCCGAAGCGCGACAGTTTCAGTGCTTTTCTAAGCAATCTCAATGAGCACTGTTAGAACTATGGTGCTGTCCTCGCGGAGATTGAGAATGTGGCTCTGGTGTGAACAAAGCGAGGGATAAATGGGAAAAGAGGTAGGGGATGATTGCAGTATTGGTACAGTAAATATGAAAGTTGTGTTGCAGCCGCACTTTTGCAGTCCCTGTGATCGTTTTATTATTTGCGTTCTCTTGTCATTCGTTCAGTACTCACGAACTAAGTTAGGAACGAAGTTGAGCTTGTAGTAACGCATACCCGAACGGAAGTCGTCTTTCGGAATGCGAATGCTGCCGAAGGCTGACCGACGATTTAGTGCGCGTTACCGGCAAATGCAAGTGCGTGTATGAGTCTTCGGGTGGCGCGCGTGTACTCCCAGAAACGAACTCGCGCTTGTGATATATACTTCTGTCTCTGCGCTTTCTTCCCTCCTCTATCTTTTGTTTCGCTGCGCAGAGAAGCCAGCTTACAACGCTTTCTCTTACTTATTTTTTTTTCGCTGTCCCCTTCACCCAACCGTTGCCTGCACAAACAGCCGGACGAAGTTGCTCTAGTCGCATAGCGCCAACGAGGCGGCAAGTTTGGAGAAAAATGCGCGTGCATGGTGTCGCTGCATAATTGCTACTCGGCCGAACGTCCGGCATGCCTGAAAGTAACCGTTGGTTGTGAATGTCCAGCGAAGGAGGGCGAGGTGAGAGGCTGTCACGCTGTGTAAAAGCTTTGCTTCGTCGGTCGTCAAAAAATGCGAGCCACTTCCCATCACACACTCTTGCCTCCGCCTCGCTATGATATCCATCTACTGGTTTGTATCTTTCATCCCTCCAGAGACTTGCGTATCTCTCTCTCTCTCTCTCTTTCTTTCGATCTCTCTTCTACCTCGCAATTTCTACTAGTGTTTGCCCCTCTCTACTCTCATTTTCCAACAGGCATCGTCAGTGCGCTGGTCACGTGTTTCGTCCGTAAAAAAAAAAAGAGGGGAGGGGGCACTCACCGCTCAAGTAATAGTCGTTGTAACGGTCGTAACAGGGGATTCGTTGCCGATTCTACTGAGTACCGGAATGTCCATCCACCCGTCAGTGCTGTAGCTTTACCGGCAACTTTGTTGGCGTAGTTCGGGATGCACGCGCGTTCAGTGGATCGCCGACGGTTAGGCCGTATACCCCGATGGAATGCTGACCGTGTTAGTTTTGAGTGCTGTCGGTTCCGCGTTTCGCTCCACAGCAGCTATATCGTTTTGTCCACTCTTTCTTCGGCCGCGTTCATTTCTCGGTTACCGCGACATTCTTTCATCCATGGTAAAAACCTTCCGTAAGTTCGGGCGTTCGAGTGTGGGTGCCTTTTGGTTCTGAAGACGAGCAAGAACATTACGGCTGTAGTAAAAAAAGCGGGGTGCTAAAAGTGCCCGTCTCTAACTAATTATTTTTTATTTGACTGAAGCTTGACTTTTGGTGAATGGGCGACTGCTCATTCAGCAACTACCATCAGCTCGCGGCATCTGAGTTCGCAGTTTTTGTGTCGTGGTTGCGGCATTTGTGTCCAATGGTTTTCTTTTAGCAACTCCAAGACATAGCGAAAGACGATGGCTGAAGGAAGAATTCGTGGAAACTGATTTATTTTTTTTCATTGTAGTTGCCGTGAGCTTTCCATGAACGCCATCCCCAATTAGCGCCACACCCGAAACCCTGCTCACATATCTTATTCTATGTTCACTTCCGAAATTTGGGGAGAATAGCAAATAAAAGTTGTGATTTTTTTGTGTTTACTCAAAACCGAACGTTTCACTTTGCAAGAACGGGCCCGCTAGCATGAATACTATCTCTCCCTAGTTGGGCGAAAATTTCGTCAGCGTCCCGGCCGCCTCATTCGTAGTCTCACTTTGCTATGGCTGTATGGTAAGTACCGAAATCAGTCCCATTCAAGTACTCGTTTGATGGCATGGATCTGATCTTACTGAAAAGAAGCATGGATACGTATCATCGTGTGCGCTACATGTGTCCTTCACTTTCGACACCGCTTTGACGAAGAATGGGGAGCATCTGTTCCCAATTTTTCAAATTTATTGTGCAGATATCTCTGTCTTCCTTTCCCTCTCTCTCTGTCTCTCAACGTTGAAGAAGACGTATTTATGCTGATAACTTTCATTTTCTCATTCAAGTTCTTCCACAGGCGCTGATAGCCTAATTTGAGTTTGTGCCATACGGCCGTATTTAATTATTCTTTATTTTACTCTTAATCTAACATCTATGAATATAACTCTGTTTCTTATAACCATCATCATTTTATTATTGACCGTTTTTCAACCTTATAAAGCCTACATCTTGATCTCATATTGTAAGAAAAGCAAGGTCAATTGTGCATGTTAAAAATACGGCCCATTTCCTGCGCGCGCGCACGTGTGTGTGTGCGTATGTGTGCGCGTGTGTAGGGAGTTGGGGGGGGGAGGGGAGGGGTTGAGGGCAGGTAGGTTTTCATTATTCTGTGGAACTTTCTCGTGGATGGTGTTGCTTGCATTAGTGACAATCAAGTTTATACACAAATCAACATGTGTGTTGTAACAACCTACTAACCTTCTTCATTGGTTTTTTAATCTTTCCATGTTCTTTATCTTTTAACTATTGTTTTTTTTTGCCTCATCGTCCTTTCTTTGCATTCTGTTAGACTTATAATTGCTGTATTTCTGCTCGTTCGTTTTCTGTTTAGCTTGCTTTAATTATTATATGATGTAGTGTTCTTCTCTTATATGTATGCATTGCGGTGATTTATAGGTTCACTGAGGCGTGTAAAGTTGGTAAAATTTTTAACACAGACATTGTATCTCAATCTTCGTATATACAAATCAGTTTATTCTTCTATGTACGATAAATTAAGGAAGATATAATATGCGAAAGCACAGTATTGGTTGTAACCATTTCTCTTAAGCTAAAATGTCGCTTGTCATACTTGTAGCCTCTATAGTTGCTTTAGCAGATTCACTTCTGCAGAAATGCGTGGCTGCTTTTCATTCGAAGCTAGAACATGACATGAGCATCGTGCCGCTTATTCAATTGCGCATTTTGGCAGTATATCATAATTCAATGGCGTGTATCGAAATTTCGCTTCCTCAGATAAGTCATCAAGGCGATCGGCAGGCCATCAGAGAAGTAGTCCGCTTCGGCCCGTGTTTAGAATGGCGGCCGTGTTCAATTAATAACAACACAGAATGCGAATTGCTACGCGAGGTTAGACATCCACTTGTGAGTGAAAATAACAACACAGCATACAATTTGCTAGGCGAAGTGTTAGACATCCACTTGCACGTGAAATTCGTCACAAGCTCTTTCGGCGGGTCGTCGGAATAGGTGGCGGGCAATGAGCGCTCACCTGAACACGAAGAAGCCGTTTTGACTGTGAAGTTCGCGTAAAACGTGCGACGTTTTCACATGTACGAAAACGCGAAATCACACTGCGTAATGTAAAACAAATAGGAGTATCTCGTTCGTGCGTGCTGCGTCTCTTTTTGAAGAACGTTTCGTGTAAAATAAAGTGATGTATTTGATAATTCTCACGCCGAAAATACGAACGCAGTAGTGATTGCACACGTCCCCTTTCGCTCTCTGGACCTTCCTTTAATTGCCAAGAAAAGTTGTCTGCAAGTATAGTTGTAAGGCGTCGACGAGCTTCAATGTCTGTGAAGTGCTTGTAACTTAGCTGCATATTTTTATAACAATTTTTCGTCCTCTATTTTACCTGATCTTCGTGTTTACGTGCTTTACGAACCTAGGTAGACGCCTCGTCACGTGGTTTAGAGTGTCGTGTATTCCTTGCTCGCCACCAGACCTCCTAATAACAGATTTTTAAAGGGTCACTAAGTTATTTTTTTTTCGTCATTTCGCAGATCCGCTCATCAAACTGTGGACATCAAACTCAAGTGACAACACCGGACCTTATCCATCGAGGTGAGTAATTTTACGCGTATTTTAAGCTTGAGAAAGCCGGCTCGACTCCCGGTAGCCGTATTTCGATAGGTGTGCAATGTGAAAAACGCCCGTCTACTTTCGATTTGGGTACACGTTATTCAACTCTTGATGGTCGATAATAATACGGAGCTGCCTACTGAGGTGTGCCGCGTAACCTGGTTTCGGTGCGTAGAACCCGGGCAATCACGTGGTAATTTAATTATACGTGCACTAAAACACCCTAACGAATCAGTTAATGCAGTTCTTTCTAAGCCATGTTTTCATTATAGTGCTGAAGAATAAAAACCCTCTGAACTACAGCCATATAGCGAATATCGCATGCGTTCTTCCTTAAAGTTCGCACCATCGGGTCTGTGCCATAACGAGTTATGTCACAAATCTAACAGTGAAGTCTTTTATGGACGAGGCTTTCAGCGGACGATTGGCGTAAGTCGGCTCGAAGCTCCTAGTGGTGATGCGTTGCCGAAATTGTGCGAGCTGCGCTGCTCACCTCGGGTCCTCTAAAAAAACGAATATTGCCACGTTCCATTTCCCAAGTTTTTTGTTATCGTCCCAAAACACCACACGATTCCCAGCGCAAACCGCGCCTGCAGTTTTCGAGAAGGTTCCGGACCGTAGTAGATCATTTCGATAAGATCACGCCCACTGTGCGAACGGTACAGATTGTTCTGGAACCTACGCCACCGCCAGCGATAACGCTAGAACATTCGACAGCAAGAGTATAAATGCCGACGCGCTTCGCCGCTTGTCAGCTGTTGATCGAAGGCCGACGCTCCGTTCGCCGCTATCAGTCTGAGACTGCTATCTGTGCGAGACTACTGCTGTAATTGGACTTTCCGTTTACCGGGCACAGGTTCGCCCAAATAAACAGTTAAATCCCAACACGAAGTCTCCTGTCTTCGGCCACGTCACGACCCCGTGACAATATGCTGTCCACAACTAGTCTGAACGTCCCGCGAACCACGCACTGTGCAATAAAGACAACGTCGACATTCGTTCGCCGGCAGGAGGCAAGCGTATCTGATCCAGAAGCCCGGCTGTGTTACTTAATGATCGGCAATCGGTAAAGTCGTATTCTCGCAACAAGGAGGAGCTGCCCATTGGGAGTGTCAGCGGTGATTCGTTCGGTAACGCCAACGTCGACGTCGTTCGAATCTAGAAGCGCGCGCAGGAGACGCCGTAGTCTAGTGCAAGCGTGACGCGAAAGACCCAGGCATTCAAGTCATGGAAGCTGACAAGAGACGCAAACCGCTTGCATCGGGCCCTAGATTTATGCAAAACGAGCCGACTCACTTCACCGTCTCTACAGTCCTTGCTATGATAATTCGGTGAATTTGGGCTAATTTATGAGTGATGAGCACTCTGGGGAACTGGGCTGTCGTGTGCTGTCGCACGCTGTCGTATGCTGTCGTAGGTGCCTGGCGTACCTCAGGCGAAATGACGTGTAGCATGATCATCTGTAGCACACTGAGAGCGCCCTCGTGCGACGGGAAGAAATATTCCTCTTCTTCTTCGAGCAGCTTGATGATGACATTAAGTTCGCGGCACTCTAGTGGACACGACTGTCGTGTGCTGTCGTATCCTGTCGTATGATTTCGTCGCTCGGTATAGTGCGGACAAAACCTCGTATACATATAAAAAGGAGGAAAACAAGTGAGAAACAGAAAGAGAGATAACGAAAGGGGAGAAAATTGAAAAGAAAAATTGAAATAAAGACAGAACAAAGAAGGAAACGAGTAAATATGCAAACGAAGACAGAGAGGAAGAAAAAAAGAATGCAGAGAAGAAACAAAGAAGCCACCTGTGCACTTGCTTCAGGCGTGTGCCTTAATTTTTTTTTTCAGTCTTCTCGTATTTGGCCCGCGTTGCTAGAAAGGCCTCGAGATTTGCTGGAAATTTTTTCTTGCTTTTTTCTCGACACTTTTTTTAGGTGTAGGGAGAGTGCGGAAGTGGGACTACGAGTGATAGCGTACTGCCTTTTCGTCGATGCGTTGAAGTCTGCGGCCTGCTAAGACCACTGACGAGTGTGAGGCACGCCCTACAGTGCAGGACTTCCGATTTGAACCTCAAGCGACTAGTGATCCATGCAGCTAAATAGAAGTACGCAGGTTGCGTTGAATTTTAACGCGACAGCGTTAAGGAGCCCCCTGTAGGAGACGTTCCGGTGTCGTCGTCGTTGGTTGTGAGCGAACAACCATCATTGCCCGTGACAGAGAAAAAAAAAACGAGGCTCTTTTCTAGAAACTCCTTCTAAGAATCGGTATAACACGAAAGTGAAACACGTTGTCACAGAGGTAGTTGAGCGATTATTGTGCATCGTTTCGCCACAAGGGCGAAGCAATGAATGCTTCAGCAACAAAGTGTGAAGTGAAGCGAAGAACTGAAAACACTTGCAGCGCGCATCTCAAGCGGAAAGCACGCACGAAATCAGCATACACAGGACGAGCGCGGATAATCAACTTTCACAGCGTGACACTTAAAGCGCGCTGTTCAAACAGAAAAGAAAAAGACGCAGGAAACGAATGCACGAACATACACAAGGCAAACAAGGCAAGCTTGAACAACTGCCACAATTCTTACTTCTTCGTGTGTGAGCAGCGAGATCTTTTCGCGAACGCTGCCGTGGCAGCGAGCGAAGTGACTTTTGTGCCCTCCCGAATCGCGAGTCTGAAGAGCGCGCGTGCAGGAGAGACCACGCCCCGTGGAGGTGGCGCTCAACGAAACGCGATACGCGACAACCTTAGCGCACCCAATGCGAGCACGTCGCGCCATCTCGCTACTGATGACGAAAACGGGCCAAAGTTTCGAATTTCTGAGGAGCGCCAAACAGTGTATGGCGCAAATAAATGGCTTGCCGTTGGAAAGCTTGACAACGTACGCTTCATCGAAATTGTGTTTTGCCTCTATCGATAGTCCAACCCGCCGCCTTGACACCTCGCTTGTCCAAATACCACGGCAAGTCCTCGACGCACGCTTAAGTACATATGAGCCTGTTTACAATGGGTCAACGGTTTCATCTCGTTTTCTTATAAAATACTACTTATAAGACAACCAATGGCAAAAAAATGCTTACGCAACCGCCGTACCGGAGCAGTCTTTAATTTTCTTTTTTTTTCGTTAGATGATAGCACGCCGTTTTCAATTCTGAGTTTTCTTTGAAGTGCTCTATACGTCATATAATATGCAGAAGGTGCAAACAGCCGATGATAATCAAAACTTTATTTCTCCCAAAGAGGGGACCGACCCGAAGATGCGTTAAGCCCCTCACTGAAAACTGATGGTGGAGCAGCGACGCCCTTAAAAGTGCTGGGCGAGCGATTCGTGGTAGAGCATCTGCAAGCCGCAGTCCCCTAGCGCCATCTCTTGGCTATAGTGTCTACTCGAAGTGGCGTCTCCCTCGTTTAGCGGCTATATTGCAGTTCGAATGCTTGCAAACTGCGACCATTTTATTTATGCGGAGCGTGCTTGAGCTTATCAATGAGGTCTTCTTGTGGAAAACAGCGTGGAAAGTGAACAAGGCAGACAAACTGCGTGGTTCGCCTTCAAGCTCATGTCCTGTAGTAGTAGTTGCAGCGACGTGAGGGTAGAAAAGGTGCTCGTTTCTACAACCCCGAACCAGACACAACGCAGCGTGGTTGAGGTCAAGTGGTCAAACAAATGAAATTAAAAGAAGATGCCACCTTAAAGAGCAAGGAGTGCCCGAAATACCGAGCGCCAGGCTACAATACGTCTTCCCCCCCCCCCCCCTCCAAAAAAAGCCTTTGGGTCCCCGGTGGCACTGGCGGTCGAACTGTTTTTCGCATAGCAAGAGAGTTGATCGCTGCCCTATTGTTTCCTCGTTTTTTTTTTTTTGCGGTTTCCACACACGCACACACAAATAATATCATTTTTTTTTTCTTTGGCTTCTCCTCAAGCAAGGCATATGTGCCGTGAAAACAGCTCTACAGGCAGGCCGGGGGCAACGTTGGCTAGAGGGTAAAACGTGGGCTAGAGGCGTTCTGGTGGCCAAGAGGTGTAACGAGACATAGTTATTAATGACTTAAGTAAATGGTCACTAAAGTAAATGGTGATTATTATGACGACGACGAGGATGATGATGATGATGATGATGATGATGATGATGATGATGATGATGGTGGTGGTGGTGGTGGTGGTGGTGGTGGTGGTGGTGGTGATGAAATAATCACATAGAATAACCTGTCGGACATTTTAACATGTGTTCACCGTTTTACCTGCCATGTGTTAGTGTCCAGCAAATAATTACTAATATAGATAACCAGTTTTGTAATAATGAATAATCAACAACATGATCACTAATAAAAAGGCCCAGGTGAGCTCTAAATGTTTTTGTTTTTTTTTTTTGCTCATTTTTGTGCCTTTTACGCATCTTATTTGCTGTGAAACGTATCCGGTGCTATACAAAAGCACTAATATTTTGTAAACAAGGTATATGAAAAAAACTGGTCTATAGTTCCTTTTTTTTTGGGGGGGGGGGGGTTGTTTTTCACTTTCCTTGACAATCTTCACCGAGCTTTAGCCTTCACGCATAGAAACTTTCACAATGTACTGACTTACAAAATGTTTTGTTCGAGTTCATTCAGTGCAATATTAGTCAAACAGAACGCGAGCGTAACACAATTTAGAAATTGAAACACTCTTTCGAATGTTAACGCTTATCAGCTTCTCAGTCAAGTAGACGTGAGATGCGTAAGAAAATTTTGTTTAAGTAAGTAAGGAGGGGGATAAATTTTGTTTGACAATTCAACGTCTAGTAAGCTGAAACTGGCCCTGAGGTTTGGATGATACTTGCAACAGTGAGTGACTTTTCACGTAGTCAGGGTGTAGCCATCGTCGAAAACTCGCGTAGTCGATTTTCCGAATCATTTGATCGATAATTTTTTCCAAATCGCATGATTCCGCTGCAAGATATTGATTATGACTGTCGGGGCTTCGCGTTAATTGTTCGGGTTTTTAAACAAAGCAAAATACTAACTCAATTCGTGCTCTCGTTTGCGAGCAGTCTCCACTTCTTTCCGAAACATTCACTTCACGATCGAGCCAGCTGCCCGCGGCAGCTACGCGCAGTCGCCGCCGCATTCCATAATAAAGCAGAGAGAACCAGCTTCGCCCAAGCAGTGTGCGGTAGCTTCATTACCTAATCTCGCAGTGTCTCTAATTTCCTCGCCGTACACCTCCCCCTTTTAAGTGGCTCGGGCGGCGGCAATTTTGATGTAGAGCTTGCGAGAGAGCGCGAGCTGCGGGAGCAGGCGTCGATTATGCCTATAAAAAACGTTTTCCTCTTGGGCAGCCAGCTCGCCGATTTGGTCCGCACCGAGGAGTTTCTTTTCCTCGACTCCGAAAGAGCTCCGCCGGGGCCCAGCGAAGCGAGCCAAAGTGTGCGTTCTTCGCACTCCGATGCGGCAACGACTTTTCGCGGTGAATGTGCGTGACTTCGCGTTCGTTCTGTACGGCCGGCGGCGAGTCTTTTTCCGCCGTGCGCGCATTGCCTAATTTCGGCCTCGACAATTAAGAGAGCAGCAGCCCGAGTGCTCGAATTTCGCTCGTGCGCGTAACAGACGACCACGGAGTGAGAGCTAGCGCAGACGCAAGCGCTTCCTTTTCGCCTCCGCCGCCTAAATTAGCCGGTCGTCGCCGCGCCGGTGTGCAAACGCAGTATAAGGAACGAAAGAGTGGTCGACGGAAAACCGTAAAGACCTCCGAAACAGGCCAACTTTTTCGCATTCCCGGTGCTTTCAACGTTATTCGCGATGCCCCAACCTGCCCCAACCTTCCGCTTTCAGCCCAACTCCTGGGAGTGTACGCTTGCACGCGTTTTTTTCCCTGACTGCGCACCGAATCCGACCCCTCCTCCGCCCCCCCCCCGGCTTCACCGTTACGTCTCTGGCACCCGTTGTACTTTACCGAAACTTCTTTCTGTCCTCGCAGTCGTGGGTGCGAGAGCAGACCTCCTCCGCGGCGCCGTTCCACTGTATATCATAAACGCTCATTACGGAGCGTAAGCGTGGCAAAAATATTTCCCCCCGGTAGTTTTGGGCGATGCCGCTCCACACACGTCTAAACGCCTCGGTCTTTTTCGTGCCCTCCTTTCGCAATTCGGGAGCTCTAAACCCGTTCCCCATCTCCCCATTTTCTCCTCGTGTCATTCCCCTCTCCCCTTTTCCTCTTCGTGCCCACGCTGAAAGTGGCGATGTACCTGCGGTGCGTATTTTTTTCGTTCGCCGCTTTAGTTCTCGAGCGCGCGTCTCCTCGCAAAAATCTTCCATCTCTCGCGCGTGTGCGTAAACCGAAAGGTACGTCTGCGCGCATCGCGGCGCGACCTTACGCACGCACGTCTCCGCTATTCCCGAACCGCTACAGTCCACTTCCCCTCTTTTTCCTGGCTCTCTTTTCCCCACACACCCTGACGGCCCCGTCTCTCCAACGCCCCCTTGAGACGTCGAGTCGTTTTGAGTTCAGCATCTGATCACCAGCCTACCATCCCCTACCCCCTCCCTCCACTACAGTCGCCATTCCGTTTTTTTCGTGCGTGCCTTCGTTCGGCTGTTCTTTATTTTTTCGTGTATGGATTTGTTCTCCCCTTCACAGCCGCAAAGACGCACAATGCAAGCGATGGGCGGGTGTTTTCATCGCATTGGCGGCTCCCTTGCCCCGCCGTCCACCGTAAACGTTGCCAACGTTTTGCGAAATTTTCATCCCTGCGACTTCTGCCGCGTGCGGGAATCCGCTCTGGCCTCCTTACTCTGCAGGACTCCGTCCCTCTCGGTTCTGTGCACAGTCACTCTCTCTCTCTCTCCCCTAGGTGGCTTCTTCATGCTCCCTCTGTGGACCCCGTTCCTGCATTTCGTTTGAATTATCTCTCTCTCCTTCGTGTCTGCACTGTCGTGAGATACTCTCTTACTTGTTTCGTCCATTATGTTGTTACGCGTACAAGTGTTCGAATGACCGGGACACAGTCGGCAGCCATAGCGGCGGAACCGATGCGATATCTACTGTGGAGATCCAAGTCCGACTTTCGTAGAGACTATACCCAACCCCTCTACCAAAATGTTTCGCGTAAAGTTGCAGTATGCGCTATCTGGGTCAAAGTAAAGCCCGAACAGCGGCAATCGTTTGTGATGGTATAGTGCACACCGTCCACCTATCAGCACGAACAGGCACTTATACAAGCGCAGAGGATGCGTGCGCCTGTCAATCGTGATAACTGAACGGCGCGCACTATACCGTTGCGAAGGCTTGCCACTGTTCGGGTTTCATTTGAGCCAGAGTAGTGCGGTGTATTTACAGTATGTAAGAGGATGTAGCGCTGACGCACTATGTCAAGTGCAAAACCGATCGATGTAAGTCCGAGTCACTTCAACTTCGTCTTCTGCTAGTATCCTCTAATCCACAATTGCAGTCACCTATGTGACAATATGACGTACGCTTTGACGAGGACATTGATAAGCAGCCCTGTTATCTAAACGCCTCCTGGGCGCAGTTAGACATGAAAGCTAAGCTAAAGTCTGCCCTAAGCTGCTGTGTCAACCCAATTTATTTAGCGCTAAACACAGACGCAACGTTGGCTGCGCAGTACTATTGCGCAGTACTAATTCTGAGAGATAGCTCCTCTAACTGCTGCCTTGTTCACTCCACTTGCTTTATATAGTAATAATAGTTGTGGTTTAACGTCCCGAAACCGCCATATGATTAGTAGAGACGCCTTGGTGGAGAGCTCCGGAAATTTCGACCACTTGCCGTTTTTCAACACGCACCTCAATTGAAGCACACGGGGCTAAAGCATTATCGCCTGCACTCAGCCGCCGCGACCGGGATTCGATCCCACGACCTTCGGGTCAGCAGCCGAGTGCCTCAACCACAAGACCACCGCTGCGGGTGCTCAACTTCTTTTGCTGTCGGTGCAGGAATGGCGAGCGCTTTTAGCGCGCAGAGCGGAATATGGAAATCAACTAACGTCCATCAAACAAGAAAAAAAAAGAATAATAAAATGTGAAAATGCACGAGTTGTTTCGTGCAAGCTTATGTGCTTAGGTTTTGATTCTCCGCCATGGTTAGGTTGAATGTGGGTGGGGTGAGGCAGTTGGCATGTAGACGTTCTAATTCATTAGACTTGCTTGCGAATCATGTGACAGCTGCAACAGTAGATATTTGTTTTCTTGCAATGTCACGCGACTATGTGTTGGCGCATCATGTGTGAACAGCTGCAGAACCGCTTGAAATTACTCTGTCTCTTGATTGTTAGAAATTCTTCGTTTGATCGCCTGAAGTTTTTGAGTCATCCAATGCCTTTTTTTTACTAATGTACATTTGTTTGTTGGTCAGCAATTTCTCTTCAAACTGGCATTCTAACTGTTCCATCTGTATCAATCTTCTTTTTTTTTTTTCAGTGAACACCGTCTTCAAGGCATCGTGTCTGAGAGGGTGCAGAAAAACAGCAGCATCGAACAGGTAAGCCATTGGCATGCAGCTTCGGCTTGAATACGCAAGTTTATGAGCAACGTTACAGTGGTACTTTAATAAGAGTGTGCTAATATTTCGGTAATGTCTACTGTCGTATCGAATAGTTCTCCTATTCGATACGGCCTTAGAATCGAATGGCTTCTTTTCGTAAACAAACATATTTTGAGTGCTCTACAAGTATTTGAATACGTATTCAAATAGGCACAGAATCTGAGCAAATGCACGAGAAATTTCTTCCCGACATGTAAGTATAAAATGTGCATGCCCACCTTCGTGCACCAAATTACATCGCTGGTGGTGCCCCACTTTACCATCCACACTGCAATCAGTCGCACTCCCCGAAAAGTTTTGTACACGCAAATATTCTGCTTATTTCTTTCTGGCACTCATATTTTGCTTTGAATGCTGAAAATAATGGCAAGAGAAGTTGTTAAACACTCGGCAACTAATCGAAGAGTATTAGACATTCAATTGTATTCTTCTTGTTAGTGGTGCTACCGGACGTGACTAATATATATGATATTTCTCCTGTACCTATAATTGTATCATATTATCAAATTATAAAGACACGTTATTCCTCAGTGACTGACACAAGAAGCTGCTTGACTGAACGACACACGTCTGTTTACTGCACCTTCACTTCGCTACTGATTGTTTCTCACAACATTTTCATTAAGGTATCCGTGCACATTTGTCACGCAAAAAGCACCTTCTTCTTGAAGGTCACGTGAAGCTTCGAAGGAAAATTAATACCGGAATGTCAGGAAAGGAAACTTTGCTCCTGCAGAAGCATTCGTCCTTGTACTTCAACTACAACCAACGATTTTTAGTTGGTAGCTTAAAGAAAATTACCGATACATTCGTGGTGTAGAACAGTCTATGACAATGGGCCTTTTTCTTTGCCCCACGCAGGAGTACCGCGACATCTCAAGCATGTGCACAGCTGCCCAGATGGAGATTCTGGAGCTGGAGCTCCGAGCCCGTGCCATCCGCTCGCTCATGTCCGCCAAGGCGCGCGACGCGACCGCTAAGACGACTGCAGCGCCCTCTTCGAATTCCAGTGGCGGATATGGGCAGCACTGAGCCTGCGCCATTGGAATTTGCCGGGCCGTTAATCTCGACAGTTTTGGAGATTGAGATTTATCGTGCCAGAATCGTCTCAATCGCCTCTTCCTAACCGGACCTTAGGCAGATACACTAAGCCCTGTATTCTAGAACACTCCTCCACTTGACACTTCACCCTGACTAAACGAAGTCGATGGCAGCGCCACCTATTGATGGAGCTGGTCACTACGCTTCACGAATGCACCACGGTAATTCATGAGGAGTGTATAGATTGTGGCACGTCTGACAGGTGGGCGAGTTAAAACCTATGCATTGTTGGGTACGGCACGATCGCCTCATAACTCTCCTCTGGGTCCCTGCGCATAGTGGGCACTCAAGCAACACGGCCGCTCACACCCGAGTCCTAGCACTCCTCAATGAGGCCCAAAGTTACCTGCCTTCGCTTTGTGGTGTCAGGGATCGACTCCTCAGCTGCCACGATATAACACTGTTTTACCGTGATTCCTCCTTAACGTCTCGCATCACACAGATCTCTTTTCAGAAACGATCAGGTTTTGTGGCGTAGACTTCAAACGGCCACATCATGACTCCTTTCTTTCTCTTTCTTACAACGCATGGCACAACCTCTTCTCACTCACACTTGTTTCCTAGCACCAGAGCGGCTTCAATTGCGTCATTGTGAATTAGCTCAGCGAGCCCAAGCTCCCGTGGCAAGGTTCAGAACACCAAGAGCGATGGGGGCGGCTGCTCTGCGCAGCTCGCAACCGGAGTTCTAGTTTTAGACAGTGTGCTGGACCGGAGGGGTCGCCGAAGAACATAAGTATCCGGCCACCAAGAGCGGCCCGAGGGTCCATCATCGTCCTGCTTCCACTTCTCCCCACACCCCTCTCGCATGATTTTTTTATGAATTAATAGAGTTATGTTACCTACCTACAAACAAATGGAACACGACGGAAAAAAAAAGGTCGGCGCTTCTATCGTCCTCTTCCTTTCAGTATTGTCCATTTGTACGCAACCCAAAAATAGAGCGCTTAGATTACACTTACGTCACCTTGGTGGTCGTGTTGGAGGACCATAATTGTCAGAAACTTGCAGCTGTTGTAATCAGGCGCATCGTTTGTACTGTAAGTTTACACACACACACACACACACACGCACGCGCGCGCGCACGCACGCACGCACGCACGCACGCACGCACGCCAGAGGCGTCCCTATTGCGTCTCGGTGACATTGCGTTGGTCGTGGCACTGACATCCTTTAGCCACCATGTTGGAGCACTGGTATGGTTGTACGTGCAAGGCATCTACGGCATTTTTCTTTAGCCAAGAAGCAGTGCTGTGCTCTACTCGTTGAAGGAAGGGGACGAATTCAGTTTAGGTTTGTTTGAGAATACCGGGGCAATAAATCTCTTTCAATTATAAAGAACTCCTTCACAACAGGTTGACGTCGCGACTTTTAGGGGGTATTTTATCCTAATGTGTTTCTTGCTCCATTTCAGCCGTTTTCGATAAGTGGGCATGGTGTCTCACGCTGTGGCAAAAAATATGTGTGAACCTTGAACTCAGTGCTGTCTAAGTCACGCAACTTCTACTTCTGTATCTGCTTGCACATGAAAACACACGCTAGCGCTGCTCATTTAGGGGTAGTTACCGGTTTCCGGTGTTACCTTTGCAGCGAGCCTTGCGTGCTATTTCGTTGTAAACGTCGTTTGTTGCCACGTATCGCGTGAATGCTGTGTATATGTTTGACGTCGTTCTTCGAAGGTTGCACGTTCGGTTTCTGCTCACGGCAGGAACCGAACCCACTTTTATTTCTTCACATTTACATTACAATTGGGTCTAATGACTTCCCCTATACATTCCTTGGAATTATTTGTCTGTTAATTATCATTAATATTCTGTCAAAACACGGAAAAATGAGCCCTTAAGTATTCACTTCTTTCGTCAACACTCTTTACCTTATGGCATGCCGGTGCTGGAAGTTTGTAGTTTCAAAAGTGATCCTAGCTGGACTTTTAAGAAATAATCTGTATGTTCTTACAGTTGTGGCGCGTCCTCGCATTGTGTCTTACCTGTATTAGGCCTGAGGGCAATCTTCTAAATAAAAAGCACGCATACACGACTCTTTATCAATCATTCTCGCAATGCTACTGTCTTACAGCAATATCACAGAAACCATGTCGACAGGCCGCGAAAGTGTGCCTAGCGAAATGCGCCTGCATTGGGAATTCATTTTATTCAGGACGTTTAGTACAGCGTTGTTAGTGGCGCTCGTTTTGAATCTCTTCTTTGTTTTCTTGTCTACTGTGTGTGCTAAAATATTCACCGTGAATGCTGGAGTGAACTTTTAAGCTCCCACCCTCCGTTCTGTTCTCAGTCATTCACACATTCCCTGCCCTCCGAAAAAAAATGGTTGGGGTATCTACACCTTTACGTCTAGTGCATGCCTTGAATAGTGAATTATATTACTTTCACTCATATGGTCAACTATACCTTTGTATACAAGGACTTCTGCCTTTTTCTTCAACTTCCAATTTCGCAAGTAGTATTTTTGTGGGACTTCGTTCCCTCCTCCACTTCTCTGGTTACCGGAAAACCTTTTCTCCACAGCTCGCAAGAGATGCGTTGCTTTCCCCGACGCTCTGACTTGACATACCAGTGAAGCGCCAGTGACCCGCCGCATGTTGTTGAATCAGGCGCGTAGACCAACGCCCGCCATCTCCCCGGTAGCTCCACTGCATTCGTGATTCGTGATTAACTTACCATCCTAAGGTTCGAAGCCCTGTGTCAGACGAGGCGAACTTGAAGAATTATCAGTCTGTCGTCGTACGCTTTCCCTGTCTTCATGTTTTTTTTTTGTTTTTTTTTTCATCAGCGGATCTGTTAAGGCCGGAAGTAATGTGTCTCCTGGATCGTCAACATGAACCTGCATGCGCTCTTTTACAGAGCGTCATTAGTTTTCTACAAGTAAGCTAGCCAGAGACTGAGCTCCAGGACTCTCATAAATGGTTCTATAGACGTTCAGGGCGTGGTTGGCGTTCAAGAGATAAGCTAGCCAGAGACCGCTAGGACGCTTGTCAACGCGAGCCAGAGCTACAGTGAACTAGTACCTTGAGCTGGAACTTAGTTTGCACTTTGATAAACGTGGGTGACTGATGGGAACTAGCTTGCGTAAGAAAGGGGGGGGGGGGGCTAAATGGGAATTAGGCATAAATATTGTCCAGCTTAATAGAATCACCACTGTAATATAAGCGTTAAAAGCTCTTGTGACTTTCCGAACTTAATTCGAACTTAATACCGCTCTTCTGTCCCTTTAGCCTTGCAACGCCATGCAAAGCTAGCCGTTGCCCCTTTTTTTTCTCTCTCTCTCAATGCGTGAGGTGCTCCACAACTGCGGTTTCCTTGTTGGTTGCTTTCATGTTCTCTGTATTTACGTGTAAACACCCCGATTTCTTTAAAAATAACGCTGTATAGTGGTGAATTCCGGATACATTTCAGCCAACTGAGGTGAGCCCAATATCAGTACCAGAGTGTTATTCAAAATGCGGCTGTCATGGCAGTGAATCCATCCTGCGTCCTCGAGCTTTGAAAATGGGACACTTCGCCTGTTAGGCTACCGCGGCCGACTTTAGCCCGGGTCCCTACTGGCTTGAACTTGCCCTGGTCGCAACTCAACGCGAACCGTAGTCGCACCCTCTCTGATTGCTTCAGAGCTGCCTTGAAAGAGTTTGCTGCAGGTTGTAGTCCCGCCAAAGCTGTGTGAACCAGAGAAAGGTGTGGTCCGCCTTACACTCGCAGTTTTCACTTGCGCCACGAAAATTGACTACGCTTTATGGTACACTCAAGCGAAGTATACCATCGTACGTAGAAAGAAACAGAAATACAGAAGCACATACACTCACACCTCAATAAAATGAACACGGATATAACGAAATATCAGTTATAACGAAGTAAATAAAAAAATAGTTTTGCGATAAATAGTGCTAAGAATAACTTTATGGCAAATTTTTGGATAGTAACGAACGAGCGTGTAAGATGCTACTTTGTTATAAAGAGGTGTTAGTGTATCACGTGGTTACGTACAGCGCTGTGTGTTTGTCTACGCGTGGCCTCAGCGGCGTGTGACCGGAGGTGATCACGGAGGTTACAACCTTTGTATTGCTCTTTCGTCTTGTTGCGACAGAAGTGCTCGGGTAGGCGGAATTTTGAAGTGATCGAAAATTCGTCAACACGGGGGGCCCGTACGGCCACCTCGTGGCTCCAGTGGCACCCCGTGTTGAATTTTTCATCTCTTCCTTTTTCTTTTGTCTTTTGTGAAATGCGCGACAGCTATAAGCTGCGTCGGCAAAAAAGAGCCAGAAAAACAGCCCTGTTTGCATTTGTTTATTTACAAAACAGCTCATTTAATAGGCTTTCTGACGTAGTTTCCTTTCCAGTATTACATCACTCTATAATCACCCATGCTGGAAAAATGTCTTCCATCGTACTAGGCACTCAACTGGAGTCAAGCCCTTCTGCTTATCAGTAATAGAGCGGTTACGCTTCACGTGCAGCCTAAGAGGTTACAAATGGCGATTTATGATGACTACGAAAATCACACCATGCGTTACAGTGATTCTGCATTTTAGGGCGTATGCTATAAATAACACTCCAAATCATTCGCACGCAAACACTCAATCAAACGGACACTTCGTGCACTTTTATGGCTGTGAAGTTGCAGACAGGTATATGACGCGCATCACTCGGATAGCAAACGCGCGCATTAAATCGCATGTATTTCGACATGCCAGACCCATTAAAAAAATATTTTGACAGCAACACACGTATCACTGTCCTCGTATCTTCGCTTGAACTTGCTCTCCTAAAATCGGGAGGAATGGTTTCATGCTCCTGCAATACTCCAGACCTGAGGCAAGCTGTGGTTGTTTCAATCCGGCTAATAGATAATGGCGTTGAGAGGCTGTTGTACGCACAATAACTGCGCATATAGGGTGCGTAAGTCTAACTTTTTCGTCGCAAGAAAGAGGTAGAAAGAGAGAGAAAAGGGGGGTAGAAAAAGAGTGTCTTGAAGGCGTGACACATAGTGATCAACATTGCGGTGCTTTGATGGATCGCTCCGAAAGGAGCACGCAAAATGCAGACATCGTATTGTGTGTAATTGTTGTTTTAACTAGTTCTTTCGCGAGGTCTGCATTCTTCGGGGAGCGGAATAGTCAGCCAAAAACACTTCATGATCAGTATGCGTCGGTTTCAAAATTCATTCACATAGGCAGTTATGTTTTGTTTGTTTGTTTTTTTGTTGTCTTGATTTTTGTTTCTGCAGTATGCGAGCACGCAGCGAAATAATGCGAATTAATTAACCAAATCTGAAGATGTGCTTAGAAGAATTATTTGACAATTTCTAGTACATCGTAGACAACTATGGCAGAGCAGTGAGCCCTCCCGATAACTGTATTCTGTGCTCAGCCAAACGTTCGACGTTTTAGAATGCGATGTACTCTACTATGGGAGAACAATAAACTGTCCCGGTTTCAAGGCGATTAACGATTCGTAGTACTTGGTACTCTACTATGGAAGGGCAGAGAACCATCTCAGCACACGAAAAAAGTGTTTAAAAATAGTGGTTAACGATTTAGAATACCAGGTACTCTACTGTGCATAGCTGAAAGCCGTTCCTTGGGTCTCACACTAGGCCAGTTTATGGAGACGACCGGTTGCCATCTTCGAAAAAGTGTTTAGAAAAAAATATTTAACGATTTCGAGTACTTCGTACTTAACTATGAAAGAGCACTGAGCCGTCCCGCTAAAATCCCTAAATTTACAAAAATCCACGCACAGTCACAAAGTGAGTTTTGTGTTTATAAACAGTGGTGAACGATTTAGAGTACTTAGTACTCTACTATGGGAGAGCATGAAGCCGTCCCGTAACAGAAATTGTCTCACAAAGTGTGAATAGAAAAAGTTGTCAACGATTTAGAGTACGATGTACTCTACTATGGGAGGGCAGAAAGACGTCACGTGAGCGTTAATACATGTACATCTTAATGCTAGCGTAGCACCACATTCGTAAATAACCACAAAGGAGTGTTTAGAAAAAAATGTTTAACGATTTAGAGTACTTGGTACTCTACTATGGAAACGAACGCTCGAGAAAACTTTTGCTGCAACGCAGCCGCAACGACGAGTGTGGTTGAATTACGCTCAATCACATGCCGAACCCTTCGCGCACGTCCTGGTATTTGCATGTCAAAACTGACTGTTAGTATACTCGCGCGTGCAATCCCAGATTAAAAGGTTTTACATCCAGCTGAACCATTGAACCGGAAATCATTCCTTTAGCTGGAAATATTGGTGGTTTAATAATTCAACTCAAATCAGATAGATAATCATCCGGAACTTTACCAGTTATCGGCTGGAATACAGCCGTGTTCCAGCTGAATATTCATCGAATTGCGTTACATTGCTGAATTAGCGAACCGCAGATCTTTCCAGCTGGACAGGTTGCAAAAACCATGTGGAACGCAACTTTTTTTTTTTTTCGTGTGAGATGGCACCGTATTTCTATCATGGTAGTGTTGTGACAAACCATTCGCTTCATTCTGCGAACTCGCGCAAGCCCTTCTGACAGTTCAACTGCACATGGCGCTGATGGGACTCATTAGAACCGTCAACTGCGTTAGTACAGTTGCAGAACGGCCTCCGTAGACATACTGTTGAGCGAGCGGAGCTGCAGGTTCACTGTGACTGTCAGACTCTGTAAAGATGCAGGAAAACATTTATACATCGAAACATCTATCTATTTATCTATCTATCTGTCTATCTATTTTAACAGTAATAACTGACTGGCTTTAACGTCCCAACACCACGATATGATTATGAGAGGTACCGTAGCGGAGTGCTCCCAAAATTTAGACCATCTGGTGGTCTTTGAAATGCGCCTCTGCCAAAGTACACAGGTTTGAATAATTTTCTGCACCATCGATAAACGCGGCTATCTATCTATCTATCTATCTATCTATCTATCTATCTATCTATCTATCTATCTATCTATCTATCTATCTATCTATCTATCTATCTATCTATCTATCTATCTATCTGTCTGTCTGTCTGTCTGTCTGTCTGTCTGTCTGTCTGTCTGTCTGTCTGTCTGTCTGTCTGTCTGTCTGTCTATCTGTCTGTCTATTTTAAGAGTAATAACTGACGGGCTTTAACGTCCCAACAGTACGATATGATTATGAGAGGTACCGTATCGGAGTGCTCCCCAAATTTAGACCGCCTGACGGTCTTTCAAGTGCGCCTCTGCCAAAGTATACAGGTTTGAATTATTGTCTGCACCATCGATAAACGCGGCCCCCGCATTCAGGTTTCGAACCCGCGACTTTCGGTTAAGCACTCCAAGAACCATGACCACTAGACCACCGCGACGGGTATCTAAGCCAGATCTACGCCTAACTATCTAAGAAGTGCAGGGACACATGGAAGCTATAACAGAGTACAAATCCATGAATCATCGCTATACCTAATTCGTTGTGCGTGCCATACAAGAATTAAATCACTGTACAGGGCTAGCAGAGGTCACTGTCGCTCACCTTCTTGGTAGAGTTGTGAATAACCGAGTTCTGTGCGACGCCGTTCTTGTTCATGGTCACCCTCGACGGCGGAGTGTCGACGTCAAAGAACACAATGTTCCTGACCGTCGCGTTCTGTCTCGTCCCGTTCCCGAAGTGACTGATCGACACGCGCAAGAGGTTCTGAAAGGAAAGTGCGCGTTCCGCATTAACGACAGCATCTTTACGGTGTATAGCCGAGCTGTTCAGAACAACACTGGACGATCGCACCTCTCTCACCCCCACAAAGAGAGAGAGAGAGGAAAGCAGGCTGCCACTTTACCTGGGCGAGAATGAAGCTGAAGAGGTCATACTGATTTGATTCAACGGTGCCTGCATGAAAGCATAAAACGTAGCAAAAAAAAAAGGTTGTTTTTAAAACACTCGCACAGCAATAAGGAAATTTTCTCTTTGCATTCACTGGGATCGCGGGGTATAGTTGAGGAAATCGGTGAATAAATATTGTTTTAGCCTGCTTCACTTTCAACAAAACAGAATCCAAAAGAACTGCAGCGTCTAGAACAGTATTTTTTTGTTCGTTTTTGCTAACTTCGTGGTCTCTCATATTTGCGTAATGGAAGGCTCCAGGAGCCTGCCAAACAGAAATTTGTTATGCAATTATGTACAAAACGCTCATAAACCCTAATACCAAAGCTACCTTTGTACTAAAAGAAAAATGAGAACCGACGTATATCAAGAGTATACTGTCCTTGAAAGGCAGTGATAAAAATTGTGGTGCCTGTGCATATGATTGGAGATACGCAAGTTGATTGTATGTGGGCTTCAACGTCCTAATACCACTATACGATTATGAGAGACGCAGAACTGAAGGGCTCCGGAAATTTTGACCCCTGCTGTTGGTGGTGGTTCGAGGAAGAATGTTCTTTAACGTGCAGCCAAATTTGAGAACTCGGGCCCACAGCATTCTCGCCTCCATCGAAATTTCAGCCACCGCTGCCGGGATTCGATCCCGCGGCCTGCGGGTCAGCAGCCGAGTACCTTAGCCATCAGACCACTGCGGCAAGGCTGAGATATGCAACTGCGTGCCAGATTCAGTAAGTGCGAAACAGGCTTTCGTGTTAGTAACGGATTTGCAAACCAAAGACTACTATCGAGTGTATTATCCGTATTTTGTGTTTTATTTATTACCCAATTTTTCGTGAGTGGTTTGAATAATGTTTACCGCAATATTTACGTTGGTTATCCAATTCATGTGTGCCTCGCCTTCACAAAGCTCGACCTATGTGTTCGTACTTAACTTTTTTTTTTCTAAGTACCGTCCGTGTCAATTTGAGGCCATTTACGTTTCAACTTACCTTGAGATATGCCGTCATCTACAAAAAGTTCGCCGCTGGCGAATCCGTCTTTCGGGTAAACATATAGGTCATACGGAACTTTTGTTCTGCAAGAGATATGTACACAAAACACAATAAGTAATAAACGTTTGGGACAATAATGCTTACGGCAAACGCTTAAATCTCGAGTTTCGCCACAAACTTTATTGAATCCACTGCTTGTAGGTGACCTACATTACGATGAACTCTGCTACGAACAAACGATATCACGGCGCTAACGGGACTTCTGTCTCGATATTGTGACTGCTTATACCCGAAAATTTACTGCAGCTGCCCTAAGTGACTCAGCAGAGGTGATGCGATACCGTTAGTCACGCGCAATTTCCTCACTACGTTCGAACAACAGCAAAAATAACAGAAAAAAAGAATCCTGCATTGAATACTGCAAAAAGAATCCTGGCACATCCTGCATTTGGAAATTCCTTTCCTTAGCACAGTGTAGACGGTCGTTTTAAGGACTGGCTAACTTCCCCATGTTTTCGTTTCTTTCTCGCTTCCGCCTCCGCCTCTAATAGTCATGTCTGCTTGTGGATAAAATTGTCCACAAAGCAATATAAGCGCCAGAATTAAACGTACACGTCACCAGGTTCTTTCTTTTTTTTTTAGGAACGGGGGAGCACTGGCTGCATGCTTTGACATTTCGAGAAAAAAAAACGCCAGGCCTGCGCGGTTGGCCCAGCACAGTCCCAGCGAAAGCTAGAAGAGCGGCCTTTCAGAACCTTTTCAAAACGCTTATTGAGTAACTACTGCCAGCAAACTTGCTTGGTACCCACTAGGGCATTAATAATAAACTTTTGGGTAGTAGGTCGGCATTCGCTATGTTAATTTTCGTCATTCTTCAGAAAAGCGTGGTATCCGCTAAACACTTGCAAGGAATTTTGTGCCAATTGCCCATGCAGTGACTTACGACGACGATGAATTATGGCTCAAGTGGACATGCGCCACCGTTAATAGGGAAACGAGAACAAGCTTTTGTGATGGTTTGGAGCATCAGAGGGCCCACTCGTTACGCTATTCGCATTGTGCGACGACTGGTTGTTTTTTCGTTGTTTTAAAACGCTTTATAAGTCGTATTAACGCGACTGCTTTCGCGACATCAAGCCTGCCTAAGGCACGTTTGACAACAAGTCACAAGCACCGGTGTATATCAGTGGTAGACAACTGGGCTGGCAACCGGTGGACCCGGGTTCGAGCCCCACTGTGCCATTGGTGCTAGGTCACGCTTGCCTAAAGACAAGTTTGACAACTAGCACCAGCGTAACTCAGAAGTAAAATATTAGGCTGGCACGCAGCAGACCAGGGTTCAAGCCTCACTGTGGCATTGATGCAAGGTTGTTTTTTTTTTTATTTCGCACGATGTGGTTACGGATACACGCAGCGGCGGACAATTGCGCGTGAACCGAAAAGTGACCTCGTAACAGCTTTCACTGTAAAACTTTTCTTTTGTGAAATACTCCCTCCATCGAAACTGGGGGAGGGTGTGCTCTAGCATACACCCTCCCCTCACCCCGGTTTCTGGCTGTGGGTCTGCGACCAACACTAGGATGTCGCAGTAGACTCAGTGTGTATTGTGTAATAGGGTTTTGTACAATATGGTGCTATATATATGTCGTTATGGGGTTTTGTACAATATGTATACCTCGCTCGTTTCCTTGGAGGTGGTTGGAAAGGGTTGGGGTGCTCTCTGCATTGCTTTTTGTTTCTCTCTCTGTCTTGTTCAAAATTACCATTTGACAACTGTCCTATTATTTTTTTTTGAATTCGGTAGCCTGCGATACTTAGGGGCATTAGTCGGGGCTTTGTTTGTTGCTTTATATTCACATTTTATAATCAAATTTTATCCACACGAACATATGAGTCAGTCGACGCACGCACTTACCTGTCCATAGTGTTCTTCAACGTGGGCTGAACGGGGAGAACCTGGCCTCCCCGAACGTGGACAAGTAGCGTCGAATTCTCCGTCACGCTGCGGCTCATCATTTCTGTGGATCCGTCTTTTCGTAGTCCCTGTGGAGGCAAGCAGAAGGAAGCCACGCTTCTGCTACACGTCAGATCTCGAGCTGTAGAAGCATCGGACATCGTAAGATGAAGGCCCTGGTCAAAACAGGCACTGCTGTCTGGACTGAGTCTCGGGCGTAGTATTGCGACGGTGAACGTATGATGCTGTTTCGAGGAAACGTATTGGATGGTAGCTGTTTGCGTAACCAGAAGAACGTTTCGGTGACTGTGTACGATAATGTAGAGTTTTATTTTAGCACGCGCAACGGCCTTACGCACGCAACGGTCGAAAGAGAGCAACACTGCGCGTGCGCCGAACGTAAGAGATGAGCACGTTTGCGCACGCTAGATCTCGGCGCTTACGTTGCGCCCGCGGTACGGCCGTTGCGTACCTTACCGGAGGCTGTCTCGCGAGATCTGGACGGCTGCGAGAGTCGACGGCAAGGAGGTTCCTCCTTGGTCGACGGCGTGGCTGCTGCGAAAAAAGACCGCGTCCGTGGCCTACTGCAGTTCATTTATTCACCTATAGATGGCGCAGAGCAGCACTCAAATTCAAGGCTGTTCACGCCGAAGCGCACTACGCATTTCGTTCGTTGCGTACGGTAAACTAACGTTGTGCGCGACAGCCACGGCCATTATGTACCCAACGCGCCGTGCGTTGCGTTCCTTAGGCGTTGCGCGTGCTACATTAAAACTGTAAAATAATAAAACTAATTGATTGATATGTGGGGTTTAACGTCCGAAAACCACCATATGATAATGAGAGACGCCGTATTGGAGTGCTCCGGAAATTTCGACCACCTGGGGTTCTAAAATAACAAGACTATAGTAAACCTGATAGACGAACTGTGACGCAAAAAGCTGCTTTGCAACCAGTGGTGCGGAAGTAAGTCGAAATCTGGGCAGAAATTTAAAAACACGTTATATTTAAACTGTTGTAATTAGGCACCCCGAATAGGGCGTGTGAAACGATTACTTATATTTGATATTCGAGCCACAAAGTACATCATCTCGGTGAGTTTTACGCAGGCTAATGACAAGTCTCGGCGAAATTTCCAGAGGCATGTTTCAGTGGTGTGTCACCAGTGAAACTGCGTTGGCAAAATTACTCATGTCAATGTGCGTTCAATACTTCCATAAACTTTTAAAATAAAGGAGCTATAAGTAGTGATGAAAGTGCTGCTCCAATTGCTCTAACTGCTCTAAAAGAGAAATGCTCCTACATGCTACCCTAAACTGCAGTTTTTGTCAGTAATTGCTGCAAACTTGCTCAAAAATTACACTTAGAGAATGAGAATGACGAACATTTACTCTTGGACCAACACATAAGTCCTAAAGAAACTGAAAAAGAATTTGTGTACTATCCTCCCAGTGTCCTACTAGCGTGGAGCATTATCGGCTGTGATTTCATCTGTGTGACAGAAACTGGCATATTAACCATATGGCTCATTCGGCAGTTTTTTTCTGTCTCTCTCAGCTAGACATGCAGGCTAGTGTGGTGAAATTTGAAAATGAGAATTGTTGCTTCTATCTCGCACCGATCATCCATTGCTTATTTAGCAACAGTTATATGGCACTGCGGTTACTCCTAAAATGTGGCACTCAGCTCTTCTGGTATGATTCGATTTCTGCCACAAATACTAGTATTTGAAATTGTTGCTCATTTTACAGCACATTTTTGACAACCTGCCATTGTTTGCTACACGAAATTTACATTGATTGTTGTCTAATAAATATATATTATAATAAATATTATTATTTACGAGATGCTTGGACAATGCTCGGGACACCAATAAATGTATGGCAGATTAATTATCTGCTTCTAAAACAACAATAGATGCTCCAAAGTGGCATTTTTTCCCGCTCCGAAAACACTTATGGCTGCTCCGAAGCAGTACTTTTCCTGCTCCAAAGTATGCTCCAAAAAGCAGTGAGTCACTTCCATCAACTGCACGTGTGACTGAATTTTACGCTGCTTCTAAAGACTGGGTATCGAACTGGTGATCCACATTAGTCAAACAATAACCGGCTAAAGAGGCGAGGAGGGTGGCGTTTTTACGTTCAAAACACATCATTAAGCTCTCATATCGCTCCAGAAGGTTGGGTGTTGTTTTTCATTTCTAAACACCTGCACCAGTACTACCACTGGAGGTAACTTAAATTTGTATCTTAAAACTTTATGCGTTATGCTCCTAGGAATAATTAAGCTGGGAAGATCATATTCGGAGCAAGTTCTGTAGCAATTACCTTTCAGGGACTATTCGAATGAAAAAGGAAAAAGAAAAATTGCGTTTCGGGTGTCGATGTGACAACGCTGTTTTTAAAGAAGGCTACCGTTTTGTTTCAAGTGTGAAGCGGACACGTCGAAATTGGGAACAGGCTTGCCGACTGTGAATTCGTCACCAAGCGAAGTGCCAGACGATCCAGCAACCAGTAGATATTAGTTCAATATTTTCAAGAGCGCTATGAACAAGAAAAAATTGTGAGCGTGAAAGAAAATATACTCGGCCTGCATCCCTTTGCTACAATCATGTCGTACTCGTTGCTTTAAACAACTAAATGCAGTAAGCTGATGGAAAAATAACTTTTACATGTTCTAATGCTTGCAATACTGGGAGCATTGATTGTTTGAAGTACTCACTGACTTGAAGTCAAACCAGACGTCGGGTGGGAGGTAGTAGGAATGACTAGTAACGCCCTGCAAAAAAAAAAAAGAAAAATCACGCATGAGTAGGACACTATGACAACTAAAGAACAAAAATGGTTGGACGCTGGCAATGATCATCTCGATTCTTTTTTAAATATTTTCGTCGTGCTATCACTTCGTTCTGCCGAATCATTCGTATAGTTAGTTGGTACGTGACACAGCGCACTAAGAAAAATACATGGCGTGTTTAAAGGTACCGAAACTGGCCAGAATATGTGGGATTATATCCTAGCAGAAACGAAAAGACCATGACATATAGCGACAGCTTCCAGCATCCTTTTTCGCGTTGTGAGTAGGATTCATAATTTTAAAACGTGCTCGAGTATAACGAAACCCGTTACGTCACGCCACCTAGCGGAAGAAGCTGGATTAGGAAATGTCGAGTCGATGACATTGCTGTACGTAGTCGTGTAGTCTGATGATGCCATGCACGCTAGTCTTCAAAAATTAGGGTACGTATACTATTATGCAGCCCCGCTGAATTCCGTGCTGCTTACGACGTGTAAAGTGAATCGGACATTGAGAAGCGGCGCTGCCGTCGCTGCCGCCCGTGGACTTAGTCGAGCCGCGGTGCATGCGCAGTAAACCAACACGCTCGAACACGAACCGCTCTCGTGCTATTATCAGCATGCTGATAATATCAGTACGTTGATTATCGTGCTATTATTAGCAGACTTCATATTCGCTGCAGGTAGAAAAATTCTGGTTCCAAATATTTCGCTGAGTTTCCCAATTTATCATTTCGGGATTAGACTCACTGATCGGGGAGCATTCCATTGCGCTGAAAAACAAATAAGCACCATAAAAATTGGTTTTCGGTCCTTTTAAAAGAGTATAATAAACTAATAACGCGTTCGGGTGATCATTTCACAATGCTCTGACTCTGTTTTTAAAGTGGCGTATTCGACAGCTTCGAAGCTCTAAAACTAGAACAGTCATGTTACCACTTCCTCATTATATATTGGCCCTATCATTTGAGCAGTTTCCGATGGAGGCGGAAATGCTGTAGGCCCGTGTGCTCAGATTTGGGTGCACGTTAAAGAACCCCAGGTGGTCGAAATTTCTAGAGCCCTCCACTACGGCGTCTCTCATAATCATATGGTGGTTTTGGGACGTTAAACCCCACATATAAATCATTATCGTTTGAGCAGCTATGTTTTTTTTTCTATTTTGCATGATTTTTTTCAGAACCTCCGCAGAGGGCTCGAACATGCCCAGTCGAATGTGGCGCGATTATTTTTTCAGCTATACCAGATGGTCTGTCGTTACCGTATCCGGCTACACCCTCTGAAAACTGTGGATTCGTACCGTCTTATCTGTCGCACCGCGGAAAATGGGGAACGTGGCGAAATTCTTGTCGCCCCTTGCCAGTCTTCGCGCGACTAGGTTAACTAGTTTACACTATTATTTTGAGCCACCAGTACGAATGGGATGCTTTCAACCGGTAGTTCACTAATAACACTCATTATTAGAGTAGGTCCGCCTTTTCTATTTTCCTGTGCTGCCCTCTGCCGTTTTGGTATAGGGCACTGGCAGGGGCCGGGACAACCGGCATTTCCAAAAGCAAGGCCTCCGAGATGAACAGGCGTTTCGTGACTTTCGCGCTAGGTCAGGACAGGAAACAACGCTAAATATTGTTTGCTGTCTCCCTTCCTAGTTTTCCTTCAGCTAGCGCAGCAAGTCGAGTTTTCAAGTATAAGCCAACTATTCTGCAGAGAAGTATTGTTTCACTTAGCGGGAAAGTCACAAAACGCCTCTTCATCTCGGATGTCTCGCTTTTGGCAATACCGTTTGTCCAGGAGGAAGACAGTAAAGAACGCTCTCTCCTGTCTTCCTTCTCGTTTTCCTGCAGCTTGCACAACAAGTCGAGTTTTTGACAACGCGGAGTGAAGGCCGCTTGCGCTGGAACATCGTGAAAAAGGCGGATTTTCCCAGTGACTCAACAAATCATCGGTCAACGGCGCCATGTGGTGGAGATGGCGTTTGATGTTATCACAGCACCTGCATAGTGGAAGGAAAGCGCTGAAACCTTACCTCGTCTAAAATTGGAGAAAACAGGATGGAGGAGCCCCACATGAATTGCTCGTCCAGCGTGTACGTAGCTTTGTCTAGCGGAAACCTTGATAAAAGAACAAGAAATACAAAGTGGCCTGCGTGGGCTTTCACGTTCGATTAGTGTCGCACAAGCAAGCTTAAAATGCTCAAGCGATACCTGTCTTAGTTTACGGCAGTAAAAATACGTTAAACCGCTATAATTCGAGCCACGGTGTGAGTTATCGGAGCCGTATATCACCTTCGCTCTTTGTTATCGAAGCTATGGCTCTGGCTATGGCTCCGGCTCTGGCTGTAGCTCTGGCTGTGGTTCTCGCTGCAGCGTTTGTAATGCCGTATTCAGCGGCCATGACTTGTCCTTTGAAATCTACTTAGTCGTGTCTTATCTCGGAAGCAGGGAAGAGGTGCCACCTGCGAACTGCGCTTCCCAGAGTTCCTTCACCAGCTAAGGCACCGGAATTGTCGCTTTCTGACGACACCAACTGCAACAGCCATAGTCGCAGCAAAATCAACAGTGACTCTAATGGTCGTGTCAGCCACTAATTTATAGTCAACGACGGTACTGGCGCCCCACATCTCTCCCGGCAAAAAACCAGGGCGTTGCTGTGATAATTCGATCTCTTCTGGAAATCATGCTATGCTTTTTAATAGGCTAACTAATCTGATAGTCCCAACTGCTCCGCAACTCTTCAAGGTCCTTAATTCGGTGTTTTCAGCGCTTCATTGATTACCATGGCTCGCCTACGGTTGCCTCAGAGGGCGATATTCGCTAATCAAATGCCCCAGCGCTAAAGTCGTGTAGGTACGAAATGCTCCAGCCTCAGTGATCGATCGCACCTCTTTGTACATGAAGTGCTCTCCTTATCTCTCTCCTTATCTCTTTCCTTAACTCTTTCCTTCTCTTTCTGATCCACATTTCTTTATCCCTTGTGCACGGTAGAAAACCGGCCGCTCGTCTGGTTTTCTCTCCTATTCTTGCTTTCTTTCTCTCTCCACTGTCATCGTAACCATCACAGCCTTTATTACGTACACAGCACGACGAAGGCATCGGATGTCTTTATCGTATGTATGTAAATGCAGATTTTACGAACTTCTTTCTTAATTTCATAATGCTGCCTATCTGCTGTCATCACTTGTGCTCTCCTTCCCTTGGCCCCCATTCCACATATTGTAACGACGCTCGACTCTCTCGATTTCCCTGGTGTCGCTTAAGCCGCCGGACTCGTGCGCCAAGCACTCCCTTCAAACTGAGGTAGACTATCAGTTATGTCCCCTATTTATTATATGACCTGTGATACTCCAGTTTTAAAGACGATAGTCTTTCTTAGGGACCTTCGACGCAAAAATTTTTGTCTGTCTGTCTGTTAATTTGTCTGTTTGTCCACCCTTACCAGCATCGGATAATTGAAACGGCCGACCCCATCCGCAGCACCCACCTATGTTGCTCAAGATTCAGCGTTCATACTTGGGCGTTTGTCGATTAAAAAGCAATTATTGCGCGTGTCTGGGGCACCATAATCACACCTATATATTCTCCAAGCGCCTTTTATTAGAAAAGGCATGCATAAGTAATTTTAAGGACCGCAGCGCTTATCATGCTTCGCTGACTATGCAACGCTTGCACGGAAAGGTGAGTGTTTCCAACGCTTCGCTAAAACAAGACAGTGGTGGCGCCTACCCGTCGCCTTGCGTTCTACGCCTTATCACTTCTGAGGCGGGAGCGCACACCCGTCTCAGAGCCACGCGCTTCGTTTTCGAACAAAAACTGACAGATGACGCTCATGTCTCACGTGTGACGTGACGTGACTTCATATGCTTGTTCGCCTCCGCTGCACGCTCGAGGCATTCTAACGCAGCGCCTCCATAATACCATTCATCGATTTTCTTGAGCAGAACATCAAATAAACCTCTTGTTCACTCTCTCCACACGCAAGACTATCGTCTTTCGACGGCATTTGCAGATTAAATGCTGATACGGGGCCAAATTTTCTCTCTTATTACGTCATCTAGTGTACTTGATTCCCTTTTGTGTCCTCTAATGCATGCTTTCTTTCTAGAAAGAAAATTCTGCTCATAGCTTCTTGCGTAGTTCCTAACTTTCCCCTAACTTCGTCACCGATTATGACAAGAATCTTCAGGCTTCCACCGTATGTTCTGGTTCTGCACACATGCGAATTTTACATATTTTTCAAGTACATATGTGAGTGTTTAGAGCAATAATCCGCGTGAAGAACTGATTGTCTCCGCTCTTTGCTATGCATCCTCAGTCGTGTGCACCAGCCAGTCGAGTTCATATTTCCCCAGAGCAAGCAGTTGAACACTCGAACATATCTGGTGGGCTGATCGCCCCGCCGAGGTGGTCTCGCGGCTAAGGTACTCGGCTGCTGACCCGCAGGTCGCGGGATCGAATCCCGGCTGCGGCGGCCAGATTTTAGATGGAGGCGAAAATGCCGTAGGGCCGTATGCTCATACTCGGATGCACGTTAAGTAACCCCAGGTGGTCGAAATTTCCGAAGCCCTTCCCTACGGCGTCTCATAAACATATGGTGGCTGTGGGACGTGAAACCCAACATATCTATCAATGGTGGGCTGATCAATGTGCGTGGTGGGCTGATCAAGTGGGAACTACCCCATCGACATCGAGAGGCTCGAAACCAAACTCAGCACCAATACGGTGTTGATTTGCCGTATACTTACACCTTTATTGAGCGCTCGCGGCTAATGTTATAATGGTTTAATTTTTTTCTGCGACATTAAACGTGATGTACGACGTGGCACACCGGAGAGCACGTGTTTGGAACTCACTCGAAGAACAGGGGTCTCACGACCGTTCCACCGCTGAGGCTGACCCTGAAGAAAAGCGTGTACAGAACAGGCAAGTAGACTGTATCTCATGGAGACCGCTTCAAGGAGCTGCCGGTGTCATGGGAAGCGTGTCTGCCTGCGCCAAACAGAACGGCGAAAATGCAATCGATTAGGCATACCTTAAACCTGAGTCATTCCTAATCTCGGATTATTCCGAAGGTCCCGTTGCAGTCTGCACTTCGGGACCCTCGTCTGTGTATTTTATACTCTTTAAGAACATTTTCTTTGCCACAATAGTAATAAAACGATTGATTGATTGATTGATTGATTGATTGATTGATTGATTGATTGATTGATTGATTGATTGATTGATTGATTGATTGATTGATTCTTAACAACTCTCACTGTTTTGTGCTCGCTTTTTTTTCTGTCGTATTGCACATTGCTATGTTGAATCTGTTCTAATTAAGACTACGAAAACACACTGAGCACGAATGGTGGCTAGCGGCCACCAGCGCACGCCAGGTGCCTTGGCTACATACCACCGTCTGGCCAATTACATGCAAGCAAGGTTTTTTTTATGTAAGACAAAACCTCATTTCACTGTTTTTTAACCCTTTCATTTTCGTCGGTGTTTATTTTCTTTTAATCTTGCCCACTGTTACTCAGGTTCAACAACACTAGCGTTATAGGCGACAGAAGTGATATGTTTTGTGCTTATCAGAAAGGTGGCATAATATTGTCTTTTTTTTTCTAGAAGGAAATTTCTTCAATGTATGAGCCGTTCAGTAGCACTCACGCTTGATCGCTTCATCCTGAAGTCGAGCCCAAGAGGAAAGAAAGCACCCATTTCAATCCATCGCTGGCACAATAGTGTCGAACTGGTGCCCGAACATAGGGGAACTCCAACCTGTGCAGATGTTCTAGTGTTATCTCTATGGTATTGCGAGCGTTTATAAATAACACACAAAGTGTGACAAGCAGTAGAGGGGGGGGGGGATTATCTACTTACATAGGGGATGCCGAACATGTTGAATTCCAGGACAGCTACGAGAAAACACAAAAATTGATGTAATGGCGAGGAGTTGGTTACACTGACCACAGCGCATGCCACCGATTACCCACCCACAATGGCTCTCCGTAGGCCCGACCACTCTCCGAAGTCTGGCAGTTCGACGAGATGACCCGCATACCGGCCTGTCGAAGGGTACGTCGACTCTGAAATCACGAGGGTCCTGTCGCCGATCAGATCGGTCAGAGCCCTGCAAGAGTAGAAGATATACCTAAATCTGGGCGCCATCGTTTATGCACCAGCCTAAAATGAGGTTAAACAGTCGAAGTCAGCAGCGTTAATCACGGTAGCGGGTGAGGGGGTCAAGTTGTATTCAGGCTAGGCTAATACCCCTTGCAAGCATCCTCCCTACAAATATATATCCAAAGCATCTAATTCGAATTCTCTTACAGCTAAGGATAGCGTCCATAAAACTGACTCGGAAATGAGACGTCCTTTCATTACGCAGAAACGAAGCACAAAAGTGAAAGCTTCTTGTCGTTGAAAAACAAAAAAAAAGCATTCTAGAGCACGAGCTTTGAAATGCAAAGTAAATAATGGCGGAGGGGGAAGGACATTCTATTGTCGGTGCTTAGCAAATACGTGCATTGGTACAGGTTATGGCACTATGGCAAATTTGAATGTGAAGGCCGTGCTATCTACAACCTGTAGTTTGAGTTAATAGGTTATTGAGAACCAAAGATTCGCCAACATTTCTTTGTACACCAAATAAACAAACAAAATGTCACAGCTTATGACGAGTTTTCAGTGTGCTAGCATTAAGAGGTATACGCTCATACAAAAAAATATGTATTTTGTGTAGGTTTGTCGCCACTCAAGGTAACTGAAAGTAATCGAAGGTAATTGTAGGTAACGCTAACGCATTTCCCTCCAATTTACCGTTACGAACTACCGCGGGTCTCGTTTTTTTTCGAGCAACTTATTGGGGCTGCTGCCTCACTGCGGCCGCTTATTACCATTGCGTTGCCGAGCTGTGGCTCCAGCCGTAGATGCTGTGAACATCGTAGTGTCTGTACCGCAGCCGTTCGCCAAACGCCGCGTTCATGCAGAGGGTTCCGTTGTGAAGCTGCGTTGCGTTGCCTTCTTCGGTCCTGTAGGCGACTTAATTAAGAAAAACAGCTAATTACTCATGTTGTCCACAAGAGAACGAGAAGTGCGAAGATGGAGAGAGAAAGAGAGACGAAAAGAACTAATTGTTTGTGTACTGTGTTAAAACGAAAGCTTTTGAACTTACCTAATGCTGCACCTTATGAAGTCTATATACATATTGCTTTTCCTAAATGTTATTTTTATATTAACAACTAATTAACAAGGGGTGACCATCTCGAAGAAATGGCAAATGCTTTGTTTGTTTGTTTTTATTTATCAATAAAGGCATTTTGTTCGTTCCTGAAGAACCTAGCGTAGACTTAAATACTGCGTTGAGAATACAGAACGTATATTGGGGCTCAGAAAACAACATAAATTAAATGCCTCTTAAGTACTGCGTTGAGAATACAGTCGAAAGTCGATTTAACCAAACGATGACGTTCCAATTATTCCGCTTTGCCAGGAATTTTGTAAAATTAAAAAAAACAGAATTTGCAGTCTCTAATAATCGAAAATTTAACGTAGTGATGCCTAAAAGTATACCACAGCGTTGTTTTGCCGGTAATCCACAACTGCGCATCAGAAAAGTCCGCAAAGGCGGTCCGAGGCCGGACACGGATGACATTATCCGGGTGATGCAGGCCAGGCAGGCGAGTCACGTAAAGAACTACGATAGTTTGCCGATATGTGTTGACGCGGAGAGCGAACGGGATGATTATGTGAGCGATCAGGTCGAGCAAGAAGGTTGCGAGGAGATTATCAATGTTATGTGTCACGTGATCCGATATTAGTGCATTTTTTAAAGATGCCAACCTTATTTTTGTCAGTGTCGGCTATTATATGTTGCCAATTATGTTACTGTTGGCTGTATGCATTGGTAACTCTTCAGTTTGTTAACATCACCGCATATTCACATATATGAGACTGTTGAATACGTTGTTTTAAAACAGGAAGGAAGACGAAGTGATTCTCTTGTGGAACACATCTTGCGGTCTGTGCTGTTTTTTCTGCGTTCCACGGCGCAACAGCGGGGTCTCCAGCCCCCTACATCGCGGTCATGGATGTACAATCCCCGGAGATTCCGCCCAGTACCAGTTCATCCACGGGCATTGCTTCAAGAAAGCGTGGTAATCCATCTAGTGAGAGCGAGGACACCGAGCTGTACTCTGCATCAGACTACGAGTCCTCGGAAGACGACTTCGAACCTGTGCTCTACCGCAAGGCCAAACGAAGAATCATGAACGCATCATCGACATCTAGTACAGCCACTGTGAGGACAGCGCCTCAGCGATGGCCTCACTCCATTCTGTTTGTGCCGCAGACTACTACTGCCAATCTACGCTTCCTCAACAGGCAAGCACTGTCCTTGTACCTTGAAAACATTGTGCCTAACGAGATTAAGGACATCAGGATAAACACGAGGAAGAATATTTTGGCAATCGACGTGAGGAACCCGAGTGCACTGAACACGCTACAGCATGTGTCAGAGCTGGGAAACATCAAAGTGCGATCCATCATACCAGCGAATGGTGACACCGTAACAAGAGTTATCTATGACATAGACACTGAAATCGCCAATGAAGATCTTCCTGTACTGATAAAACCAGTGAGTGAAAACAACGTCACTGTGCATGCTGGTCGCCTAGGCAACTCTTGTTGTGTGCGACTAACATTCAAGGGTGACTGTCTTCCTCGCCCATTTATTCCGAAGCCTATGCAGTGTTTCAAATGCCAGAAGATGAGCCAGGTGAAGGGCGTTTGCAGAAATTCCGAAGTGTGCCCCCAATGCGCTGAACACCACTCAGAAGATGACTGTAATGCAACTACGTTGAAATGCTCCAACTGCCAAGGAGCTCACAGTGCTTCCTCCAAGGACTGTCCTCAGATTAAGAAAGAGATTTATATTCTGAGGCAAATGGTGCGAGACAACTCGACTCACAGAAAAGCTGCGCAAAAAGTAAGGCGAAGGCGCCGTCAACGTCGAAGGTCCTCACGAAGGACAGTGCAAAATCTGACGAGAAAGTCAGAAACTCAAGTGAAATCGACAAGCACGGCTCCTAGCACGGCAAACATCTGCGCTGAAAGAGAAGATGCTGGAAGATCTCTCTCTCCAAATGAATGGCCACCCCTTCAGCCTAGACGATCTGTTGAGCCTACACAGAAGCCGCCTACACGACCTGTTGAGCCTCAACACAAGCCGCCTCAAGAACAAGCACAAAATGCTGCAACGGCCGGGAAGCCAGATCATCGCGTGATGGTGATGCTAAGATCATTAGTGGACACCATTCGCATGTTGTTAAGCGACATGAATACACCGTCAGCCAAAAGTGCCCTTCAAGTACTGGACGCGCTTAGTCCAGTGCTAGCAGCCCTAGAGTAGACCATGGCTAACCCACCACTGTCTTTCAGGGATGAGGTTCGTAAAGCAGCAATACTGCAGTGGAATGCCAGGGGACTGAGATCGCGCATTGGTGACTTTCGTCGATTTGTGTACGTCAATAGTTTTCCCGTAATCGTCATTTGTGAGCCGAACTTATCGAGTGCAATACGACTCTCGGGATACGAACCTTTTATGTCGTCTACTATTACTGAAAGCAGCAAGGTTCTGGTGTACATTCGCCGAGACCTCACTTACAACCTTCAACCTGTACCACCTCATGACGGAAACCAATACGTATGCTTAAGAGTAAAAAAGAGGACGCTCAACATCACTGTGGTTGGCGCATACCTATCACCACCAAGCCGTTTCGATCAAAAAAGACTTCGAGACATCATAGCGTTAACTCCTGACCCGTGTGTTATCATTGGGGATTTCAACGCTCATCATACATTATGGGGAAGTCAGAATACCAATATGAAGGGAAGAAAGAAGCTTGGTGTCTTTTGCCTCCGACAACCAGCTTTGGTTACTGAACGATGGCAGTCCTACATTTTTACGTGGCTCCACATACAGTAGCTGTCTCGACTTGGCTTTTGTTTCGCGAAGCCTAGCGAAACATACTGAATGGTTCACGGATATAGAAACGCACGAGAGTGATCACATTCCAACATACGTCAAGATCAGAGGATTGTCGCCTCCTAAAGTGCGCGACATGGTTAAAAGAGTGGACTGGAAAAAATTTCAGTCCCGTATGGAAGACCAACGCCAAGAACACATATCCGATTTACAAGAGGCCATCAAGAGCACTGTAAAAGAGACTGTGTGTACGATCCCATGCCCTGTAAGAATCACGGACATCGACATAGAGCTGGAGCGGCTTCGCGCCTTGCGACGACGAGTTGAAAGAAGGTACCGGCGTACGAAGGACATAGAAGATTTACGGACTGCTAGACGTATGCAGAAGATCAAACGTCGGTTAGACAAGCTAGAATTCTAACACTGGATTACTTTCCGCGAGTCACTCGACCCTCGTAAGCTTTTATCGCAGATATGGAGGACGGTTAGAGGTTTGCGGTCATCGCCCATTCAGAAGTCACCATTCAAGGCCTTAGCTCTTAACCAAAATCGACCAGATGTGGACGTTGCTGAAGAGTTCTGTGCCGGATCATCAGGGCAAACTCCAGCCATCAGCAGCTCACCACTTTCGAGCAGTTGTCCGCCACCACGTGACTCCTGTATGGACCTCCCGTTCACCATTCAGGAGCTCAAAGCAGCACTCGCTTCATGCAAACGGACCTCCGCACCAGGACCTGACGGAATCTCCTACAGAGCCCTGTGTCATCTGGGTGAGCGCGCGAGAATAGCTCTACTTCAGCTATATAATGATTGTTGGCTAGAGGGCACTGTCCCCTTAAGTTGGAAAACTAGTCGTCTAGTACCATTACTAAAACCTGGCAAATCACCATTGGAACTCTCCTCCTATCGCCCGATCACATTGGCTAGTTGCGTAGGTAAAGTGATGGAGAGAATGATTCTCGGCCGACTCGAGTGGTACTTGGAGTATCACGAGATCTACCCAAATGCCATGGCTGGCTTTCGACGTGGTCGCTCATCGATCGATAGCGGCATCGACCTAATCACGTACGTTGAACACGAGAAAGGCCATAAGCATCTTTGCGCCTTTCAGTTCCTTGACGTCAAAGAGCCTATGATAACGTTACACATGAAGCCGTCCTTACCGAACTAGAAGAGATTGGAATGGGTGGCCGAATGTTTAAGTGGATACGCAGTTATCTCCAAATGCGATCTTATTTTGTGAGTACAGAGACCGGGAACACGTCTACACATTTCAGTTGTCGTGGCGTCCCTCAGGGTGATGTACTGAGCCCCGTGCTATTCAATATAACACTAATCGCTCTCAATACGCACCTACCAAACAATATTTATCTATCAACATACGCTGATGACATCTGCATCTGGACATCTGCGGTAACTCGCCTGCAGTTACGAGCGAGAATACAGAGAGCTGCTACTGCAACTACTTTGTATCTACGCAATCGAGGTCTGGAAATTTCCTCCGGAAAGTGCGCTCTTCTGGCATTTACGCGCAAACCCATGTCGAATTACAGAGTGTCAATTAACGGTCAAAATATACCATATCGTCGATCTCACAAATTTCTGGGTGTCATAGTCGACAGAGACATATCATGGAGCCCTCATGTGTCGTACTTGAAAAAGCGATTGACAGGCATATGCCACCTTTTCAAGTTTCTCGCTGGAAAGACTTGGGGAATGCAGCCTACTGCTATGTTACGACTGTACAGGGTGCTTTTCCTTGGCTTTTTACGATACAGTTTGCCTGCATTATCAAACGCCAGCAAAACAAGTCGACGCATGATACAAAGCGTTCAAGCACAGGCGCTTCGAATATGTCTAGGTCTGCCTCACGGTGCCTCAACAATGGCGACTATAGCTATAGCCAAAGACCACCTCGTGCAGACCCATATTGAAATTGAAGCTTTGAGGACACACATAAGGCATGTGGGCCGGACTCCCCATCACCACCTAGCCTCTCTACCAGTGGATAGACCTCATACTTCCTTTTGTCGAACAATAACTACACATGGTGACTCCCTACCAACTGGTTTTACGCCCGCGGCGAGACCTTCAATTCCTCCATAGTGCCTCAAACAGCCAGTCATCAACTTGACAATACCAGGCATCCAGAAAAAACGACATTTCTCAATACCAGCCCTCAAGCAGCTCGCCTTACTTCTGCTGTACGAGAAGTACCAAGACTGCACCCACGTCTACACCGACGGCTCTGTCCTGCCAAACAGCTCAACAGCGGCGGTCGTTATTCCAACGCACGCCACAACCATCAAATTCAGGACAGCTCATGCAACCACAACGACCGCAGCAGAGCTTGCAGCGCTTCGCGCTGCGCTGCGTTTCATTAACGACGAAAGCACGCAACGGTGGACGATTTTCTGCGACTGCAAGGTGGCACTGCAGTCACTTCTGTCAAATCTACGCCGTGGTCCACATGACCAGTTGGAATTTGAAACAGCAGAAATGACACCATATAACAGAGAAAGGGCACCACGTTATAGTTCAGTGGTTGCCAAGCCACTGTGGAATTATCGGTAACGAACGAGCTGATCAAGCTGCCCGATCAGCCCATACAGAAGACAACGACCAGTCAATACCTCTCTCAAGGACGGACGCTGCTAGGAGGCTCCGCATTCTTGCTCGCCAACGCTCCATGGCTCTTTGGAATGAGCCTCTCTTTACGCATGCAAGATTACGATCCCTTGACCCAACGTTAAGCATGCAGCTTCCAACAAAAATTCGACGAGGCGACGCTACTGCTCTGTGCAGACTATGGTTGGGAGTCGCGTTTACCCGTGCGTACGCGTTTCGCATAGGCATGGCCGACACCGCCGACTGTGCACACTGCGGAGAGGAAGAAACAATTCGACATATCCTGTGTGACTGCCCGAAATACAACCTGGAAAGACAACACCTTTCTAATAAACTGAACAGGTTAGATGACCAGCCCCTGTCAGAAGAAAGTATACTGCGCCATCGTCATGACTCATCGTCACAGAAGAAAGCCGTGCAAGCGCTACTGGGCTTCTTACGAACTACTGACCTGTCGGAACACCTCTGAGTGTACTGATTTTGTGTGTGCGTGTGTGTCCGTGTTTTTCTCTTATTTATTTATTTTTTAACTCTCCCTTTCTCTTTCAACCCCCTATTCCCCAACCCCAGTGTAGGGCAGCATACCGGATACTAGCATCTGGTTAACCTCCCTGCCTTCCTTTTTTTCCTCGTTTCTCTCTCTTGTTTTGAAACCTAATGTCCTAACCGTTATATCTTGTATATTGTTTTGTTATAATTGTATACTGTATGCGTTGTGGACTTCTTACGATTGGAGACTTGAACCCACCGTGCTCTATGTTAGATACCTCTAAAGGAAAAGGAGTAGCCGGGGCCTAATTTGTGCGCCAACATCGTCTTACGTCTCGTCAATAAAAAAAACAAAAAAATAACTAGAGCGCCCACCATCGCCTCCAGCACCAACCGGTGCGTAATGAACGCTGTCGAGTGTGTTGTCCGTACTCCCGTGCATGGGCGCAGCGTGAAGTCTGGTCGAAAGCTAGCGCCGTAAACAGGGCGCTCAATGTTCGATGCAACATTGATAAAACGCATGCTTGAAAAAAAAAAGAATAGCCCGTCTGTGTTTATGCTATCAACGCCCTTTACTCTGTTAATACAAAGAAACTTCGTAAAATCAACTTTGGTGGCCACACTTGTTCGTTTATACATGTTGATGGCAAAACTGGACCCTATGGGTGTTCTCCGGGCAATATAATTTTTTTTCGTTATATTGAGAACTTCGTAAAATCGGGGTTCGCTATATCGAGTTTAACTGTATGTTAGTAATATGCTAGTAAAAAATGACGACAATGATGACATTCTTGACGTCACGTCGTCACGTGTTCTAATGGGCGAATGAACGTGCTCAAAGCAATATCAGGCGTCCCGAGTATTACTCCTGAAGCACCCCTTTACGGCTAAGTGCTATACATCATTATACTTAGTATCCTGCTGGACAAAACTGCGAGAAATCACTATATTTTAGGCGGCAGATGTCTGTTCTGGTCTTTTCTGTTCTGTTCTGTTCTGTTCTGTTCTGTTCTGTTCTAACTGACATGTGAAATAGGTTGATGCTGAGATACATCATCTCTACGGCTACATTCCTATAGGTCTTTCAGCCATAAAAAAAAGGTGGAGGAGGGGGGATTGCAGATGTCACGAATGACGTATCAAAAGCTATTTCATTCTCAGGACTACTACCTGGGTTTAAAATGCTTTGACGCGCACTATGAATTGACGATCAAATGATACTCTAACAAGTCACCGTCATAAGAAGTTGTGAGGCAAAGTTTTGTGATTATTTCCCTACTGCGATCTCAGCTTGTTATACAAGAAAGAATGGGGGATTGTACTAGATCTACGGGGAGAGTTCCAGACGTCGGCGTCGTATAAGACGAATAAGAAATTGATAAGGAAAGGCTAATATCAACAAACGCTGCTAAACAATTCGTGTCTTGCTATCTTAGCCATAAGATCTAGCATAACAAATTAACTAATTAGGCTTAAGCAACTCCTCACCAGGCACATACGGCGGGTATTCCCACCGACTCTGAGGACACACTTGGCACCATACGTCGTTTTGTTGGCAGGAAGCGGATCCGCTGAACTCGGCTGGTTCATTCATCCTCTTGAAGGATACGTGCACAGAAGAAGTAAGAATAATAAGTAATGGCGTTCAACGTTCCAGAATCGCGATATGATTATTACGAGAGATGCCGTAATGGAGGGCTTCAGAAATCTTGACTATGTGGAGTTCTTACAGGGTTAACCCTGTGGATGCCCACTGTACATATTTGAATATAATACCTCAATAAAGCTACTAAAAGCTACTAGAGGTGTCATGATAAGCAGCTATTGCAGATTTGGCATGTTATGAATAAGGTGCAATAACTTACATATTATGGGATATTAATTTTTACTTCGAATTATTACTAATTAAGTTATGCCTCAAACAAAACTTTATTCATATTTTTCTTAAAATGAACTGTACAAGTAGAGTAAAAACAGCGCTTTCTCACAATTTTTCTGAAGGCATAACTGTTTGTCGGCATTACAGGGTTAACGTGCACCTAAATCTGAGCACTCAGGGCACGAAAACGCATGATTTGCAAAGCCCTCGAGTGAAACTTGGCATTTCAGAATCGCGACCTACAGGCGCGAAGTCTTCAGGCTAAGGCGAAGCATACACAGTGTGCCCTTTTAGAAGTACTTTTTTTTATTAAATAGCTATAAGCACAGTGAACACGAGAGTTTCGTAGAGATTTTCAGTATGTTGCAGCCCGAAGTTATTATATACAAATTTTAAAAAGTCTTCCCTTTTTTTTTCTTGCTGCCTTCATGTCTTTTTTTTTCATACTGCAACTTAGGAGGTAAAGACAGTATTTATTTTCATCCCCACTTAGTAAAGAACAAACATGAAATACCCACTTGATATGAGATGTTCATTTCTAAATTCAAATGAGGCAATAATTACACAAAATAACAGTCTAAACATGAAAATATCTAATATATTTGAGCTATTTTGTTTCTTTTGAATTGATCGGACCTGATAAATTTGGAGTAATTGACGCCAAACAATGTTATTTCTCTTCTGTATCTCCTTTGTGAAGCCCATCAAATTAGGTGTTTCAATATTCTCGATGTACAATACTATTGAATGCGCTAATTAGGACACGCCAAACTTTCGATAGACTTACGAGGAACATCGCGTCAAAGTCAACCGTGGATTCCTGGTAGTCTAGGATCGTATTCCTCCACCACTGCCTGGTGGAGTTTTTCAGGAAATCCGGGAATGCCGAAGGTCCCGACGGAAGCCCCTGCCCAGCAAGACACCGTATAATTACATGCGCGCGTACCACACTCAAACTATAAGCAGTAAGCGCTTTCAAGCAAACATGGGACATGCGTTTGCGCAAATGAAAACTTGCAGACAAGTCATATTGTTGTTTATTAAGCTCATTATTGGTGTGTCTAACAAAGAAAACGAACCCCCTAAATTTTCACCTCTTACCTTTGCATAAAGTACAGCGTTAGGGTCAGAACCGCTCGTTCCTGACCCTCTCTTTAACGAACACGTCATCTTCAAGTCCCGTTGTGTAGGGGGCGTACCGCGTTACGTTGTCGGCAGGAATGGCCGGATTCTGCGAAGGAAGAAAGTAATGAAGAAAGGTCAGTTCAGCTTCATTTTCTTAAAGGCCCCCATTCAGCGGGAGTGTCACATAAGGGTGAGGTTACAACTAAAAATCTAACACTGATGATTCAATTACAATTGCAGATGATCAGTGATGTGTTCTTGGAAAGTATATGATGAGGCAATGTTGATGACTGTCATAGGGTAGGCCACTCCAGTCTGAAGCTGCTCTTAGGAATAACGAGGCAGAAAACTTAGTGGTATGCGATGGTGGGTGGGCAACTTGAAGTGGATTACTGGTCCGGTGGGAAATGCGTTCATCAGGTCGAGCGATCATCAGAGCTAAAGACAACATCTATGTGCGTGGTGGTTTTAATGATCATACGATTAAATTTTGATATGTATCGCTTGGTATTTTGTATCTATTATCGCGTTGCGTTAGTGAAAGCCGTGTTGATGTGTGGGCACCTCTGTGATAGTTATTAGTCGCAAATAGACTTTATTTTAGCACTATTTTACATGGTTTGTTGAGGGATAATCAATAATTCTCCGTCTTCGTGTAAATTTTGGTGTATGGCGGCGTTCATCGTACTCAGGTTCGACTGTATGTGTCATTTTTCAAGCGCGACTACACGAAGAAAATGAGTTATGGCATACAGTATATTCCAAGGATAACGCAAAGAACATTACGTAAAGACATGGTTCGATATATTCGGCAATTCGAAGCGCCCGAACAAATCTATAACGAACTGTATACAGTGAACTATGTCTCATTGTACGTGTTTGTTAAAAAGAGCATGACATGGACTCATATTACTACACGAGGCAAAAAAAAAAAAATCTTCACACGCCAACTCCCACGTAATTGTCGCACTGAGCCTGAACCCTTGCAGTATGCAAACAGTTGGCCTTGTGCCACTGGCGACGGGAGACGCTCGGTGAATTTCGTGGCTCACAGTCTCGGCCCCTACGTCCTCTCTATGACCACCTTTTGAAAGATTTTTTAGTAGCGCGAGAAGACATACGGAAAAAGGAAGTGATAGACTGAGAGGACAGAGTTATTATTTCGCCTCGCACTACAATAATGTATTTTAAGTGCATCACCAACAAGCCCACATTGCAACGCTCGTCTATGACGACCGCTCGACGACCAGGACCCCGTCCGCGGACTTGTCTCGCCATCTCCCAATCTCTTATTTTTCTCTAACTTTCCTTCTCTATCTCTTTTTACCACTACTTATTCCTTCCCCTGTGAGCAACTGCTGCTGTGTCGCACTCTGATGCTGACATGACTGAGAAAAATTGCGCTACGATTGCTGCTGAAAATGAAGTTATGGAGGAGACAAAAAAAAGTGGACAATACAAGTGCAGGGGGTTGCGCTTGTACTGTCCACTTGTTGCGCTTGTACTGTCAACTTGTATTTTGACTCCTCCCTAAGGCTTCGTTTTCCGCAGCAATTGTAGCACAATTTTTCTCAGTCACGAAAAACCAACTAGCCCAACGCCTCACTTTGCTAACCTGATGCAGACAGTTGCGGGACCTGTATAAAAATCAATGCCCCCTCGTCCCCCCCCACCCCTTCCACGGGCGACGGGTGTCAACAGTTTGTTGAATGCAATGTTTTGTCAGTTATTAGCCACGTATTTACCGTGAATGACGGCCTGACAATTATACGAAGTGGTGTTCGATGTAGGGAACCATTTGTTTTATCGAGGTTTGGCACATTCGGGTACGTACTGTGACCAGGCCCACTTGAACGCCCGCGCTCGCCAGTTGCCGGACGTAGGTCTGAAGGCCGCCGAAAGCGGAGTTCAGAGTGAATGCCTTCGAATCTTGGAATACGTCCAGCCAGATCATGTCCTGCAAATAAGGCAGTGTTATTCCTCTGGATAAAAAAAACAGGTCGATATCTCCCGGTAAAAAATTGTACGACTGATTGATTTCATTCAGTGAAGCCGGAGTGCACTTGTCACGGATCGAAGCCGTGAAATGAAAGGATGACTTTCATTGTCCTGTTAAAGAAGTTAACCAAAGACTGAAATCTACACTAATTTGTCTCGTCTATCAATTTATTGAAGGCAGCAGCAGCAGTTAACATTCCCTAAGGCATTTCACTAAGAACTAACAATTAGTAACCTTGCTTCAACAGTCCATTTAAATGATCCAAAGCGAAAACATGCAAACCCCGACACGCATGGCAGCGATTCATACATGATGAATAATTTTCAATATAACTTGCATCAGAGATACGAACACTGTTTTTGCATTGAGCTGCTTTTACTGTCACACATGAGCAAACGGTCGCCTTAATATATGAAAAAAGGCTTTTCGGCACATTACCGTGGTATTTCAACGAATCAATAAATAAATAATTAAATAAATCAATGTTTCTTTTTTAAATTTTTTTTAAATTTAAATTGTGATTAAGTTTGCAGGAGGAGGTCCCAAGGTAGTAAGCCGCAGGCGGGACTCCTGTGTTAATACAAAGAAAAGGCTAAAATACGAATAAGGAAAAAGCAAGTCACAAAAACATTTCGAATTTTTTTTACAGACGAAGCAAGATATCAAAGATTAACAAAATGCAGCAGTTATACGTTTAATTGAGACTTTTTCAATTTTTTCTTGAAAACATGAATGCGCATTAGGTCTTTCAAGTCATGTGATGAAGAATTTCAAAATGAAATTGATGAAACAATTATTTCATTATAAATTATTTTATTATTAATTTGAAGGACATGTGTATTTCACATGTACGCATTAATATAATAATTTAATATTGCTGTAGATTTACAGTGCCAAAGCCACGATATGATCATGCCGGAGGCCGTAGTGGAGGGCTCCACAGTTTTTTTTTTACAGCCTGGGATTCTTAACGTGCTCCTAAATCTAATGCACAGCTTTTCGTCTCCATTGAAATGCAGCCAACGCGACCAGAATCGAACCCGCGATCTTCACGTCAGTGACCGAGAATTACACACGCACAGCAAACTATGCGCTCAACAACGAAAGCGACTTTAGAATTTTTACTTCCCCTATCAGTGTTGGAGTCTCAGGAAACATGGTGATCTGGGGTTCAAACAGCTCCGGCGTTATCTTATCGACTGCAGCTTGGCACCGCTGCTGACTTATTCGTTATTTATTAGTTATACAAATATGCTTTGTCCATGGGCTCGTGTGTGAGCATTGGCACAGTTTATTTGCTGATCTCACCTTGGGCAGGCCTGCTTGGTCCAGTGCTGTCACCGCGCCCCTAACCTCGTTGAGCGACGTGTAGTTCGGTCATCCACACTTGATAACCCAGAGCCCAGATCGGGGGCATGAAGGGAAGACCGACGAGCTGAAAGGCAACTGTCGTGTGTATCGAACGAATTCGGTCGTGTGCACTCATTATATGAATGAACGCTTCACTTGTCACAACGGCATATTCCTTCCGACGAAAATGGTGATTTTTCGTCCACTTCAATTATTTCAATTTGCATCACGATTAGTACCCTACAATTAAGCCAACAATTACCATCGCATGTTGTTTCTCTGGCCTATGTATGATTGATTGGATGCGTCCAACATATAAATGAGCACCTCGAGAAAAAAAACCTTCTTTTAGGGAGTTTTATAGTATTTACGAACTAAAGCCGCCAAGTGCTTTGTACAAATTTAAATTCTACATCACCAGTTTCTAATTAGGTGGCGTGAAACTTGCGGTAAACCTTGCTGTCAATCTACTTGCTTTTTTTTAATGGATGCATAATCATTACGTATTGCCTGGACTTTGGAAATGATTAGCACCAACGCACTTCGTCGTAAACTAGAACGCATACCTCTAAACAGGAGTCGTTTTCAAAGTGTGCTCAGGATATACACACGCCGTTAGAACGAAGCAGGCACATACGATTCCTAAGGTGCGACTTGTCCAAGATGAATAGTTGAAAATTCAACTAGGATGACCTTGTCTGTCGTAGTCAATTAGTGAATTCCTCGTGAAAATAATCAACATCATTTCGTACTCCAGAACTGTGACGGCATATACTGGGGATTTTATAAAGTGTTAATGTTTCAAAACGCACCCTATTTCACAAGATCGAACAGTTATAGTAGTCGGGGATCCTTACATAAACAAATTAAGCGGGAGTGCGTTGTAAGTCAAATGGTGCAGGCGCACGGGTAAATGATTGTTGTTAAATATACACAGTCTATTTAGTTAATGCGACTTTTTGATGAGTCAGTAATACTGAAAAGTCCCGACGTGGAACTACATCGTCATATGGAAGTGCAATTCAAGTTAGACCACTCAGGGTGCTGTCATCCAATTATTCTGGGTTTGAACACTTGGAACACTCGTCCGTCTAGCATGGCGTTGCGTGGCAATTGCACAGTGTTGCCCACCGATGTCGAGAAAGAAATGCTTCAAAATAAAACATAGCAACTCTAAATATTCGAGCTAGCTGGTGGGGTCGTCCTCAACTATTCTCCTATGCGCACAGTTTAATTTTACGCGTGGAAAAAACAAGAGACCAAAAGATACGAACAGCGTCGACTTCCAAGTGATTTTTTTAATTGCCAAGAAAACACTTATATGATGGCCACAGTGATAGCTCAGTGGTTAGAGCATCGAACGCGTTATTCGAAAATACTTATATGGTTGTTACAATAAAACTACTGGCGCGAATACGTTTTTGTCCTGGAATAGTCAGAAATATAGTTTGGTGTCATGCTTAGGACACGGGTTAGAATAAAACAACTTAGCGTTTTATCGTTTAAAACGACTCATGACACGCCAACGCCCATGTTTATACAGCCTGCCATTCATCACATGATTTTATCAGACGAAGCATTAACATAACGCTATTGATGATGTCATCATGTGACGTCATAAAATGACGTCACTTGGCCACGTGAACTTTGTTACCACTCATGTTCACTATACCGGTGGCCGCCGTTTCTTCTTTTTTTTCTTACTCGTGAGATCTTTAAGGTTTATCTGGTTGTTTTTTAGCCATTTCTACCAACATGCACGCAACCCTCAGAATTCAGTCTTCATTAAGACTCCTTAAAGTGTACAGCCTAATGACTTCCCATGCTCAACTTCCTTCAGGATGCCTAACTTGGTTGAATGCTTGATTTGTGGAGTTTAACGCCTCAAAGCCACCATATGATTATGAGGGACGCCGTAGTGGAGGGCTCCGGAAATTTCGACCTCCTGGGGTTCTTTAAGGTGCACCCATAATCTGAGTACACGGGCCTCAGATTTGGGTGCACCTTAAAAAACCACAGGAGCAACATTGAACAACATTTCAGTTTCCATCGGAAATGCAGCCGCCACAGCCGGGATTTGATCCCACTACCTGCGGGTCAGCAGCCGAGTATCTTAGCCACTAGACCACCGTGGCGGGGCAGGATGCGTAACTTAGAAAAAGCACATAGTTCGTCAATTATGCCGCTATATATAATGCACCTTTCCGGATGATTCGACCAACTCTTGGTACACCGTCGCGAGAAATGCATTTTCGAGAGTTGACCGATTACTGTGAGTCAGTTGCCTCAGAGAGAAGTCAGTTGAGTGTGTCTTACCTTTTGGTATTGTTGAACCACCTGAGCGGGTGTGGATCCCACGAAGAAGTAAAGGTCCAGGATGCCGCCCGTGGTCGCAATGGCGATGTTTCCGCCCGATGTCACCGTGTAATCTGTTTGAGTAAATGACATACAAACGCACGTTTTGTGGGTGCCTGGAAAAACGGCACCAATGCGTTATTACCAAAGAAAGAAAGAAAGAAAGAAGAAAGAAAGAAAGAAAGAAGAAAGAAAGAAAGAAAGAAAGAAAGAAAGAAGAAAGAAAGAAAGAAGAAAGAAAGAAAGAAGAAAGAAAGAAAGAAAGAAGAAAGAAAGAAAGAAGAAAGAAAGAAAGAAAGAAGAAAGAAAGAAAGAAAGAAAGAAAGAAAGAAGAAAGAAAGAAAGAAAGAAGAAAGAAAGAAAGAAGAAAGAAAGAAAGAAGAAAGAAAGAAAGAAAGAAAGAAGAAAGAAAGAAAGAAAGAAAGAAGAAAGAAAGAAAGAAGAAAGAAAGAAAGAAAGAAAGAAAGAAAGAAGAAAGAAAGAAAGAAAGAAGAAAGAAAGAAAGAAAGAAAGAAAGAAGAAAGAAAGAAAGAAAGAAAGAAAGAAAGAAAGAAAGAAGAAAGAAAGAAAGAAAGAAGAAAGAAAGAAAGAAGAAAGAAAGAAAGAAGAAAGAAAGAAAGAAAGAAAGAAAGAAAGAAAGAAGAAAGAAAGAAAGAAAGAAAGAAAGAAAGAAGAAAGAAAGAAAGAAGAAAGAAAGAAAGAAAGAAAGAAAGAAAGAAGAAAGAAAGAAAGAAGAAAGAAAGAAAGAAAGAAGAAAGAAAGAAAGAAAGAAAGAAAGAAAGAAGAAAGAAAGAAAGAAGAAAGAAAGAAAGAAAGAAGAAAGAAAGAAAGAAAGAAAGAAGAAAGAAAGAAAGAAAGAAAGAAGAAAGAAAGAAAGAAGAAAGAAAGAAAGAAGAAAGAAAGAAAGAAAGAAAGAAAGAAAGAAGAAAGAAAGAAAGAAGAAAGAAAGAAAGAAAGAAAGAAGAAAGAAAGAAAGAAAGAAGAAAGAAAGAAAGAAGAAAGAAAGAAAGAAAGAAGAAAGAAAGAAAGAAAGAAAGAAAGAAAGAAAGAAGAAAGAAAGAAAGAAGAAAGAAAGAAAGAAAGAAGAAAGAAAGAAAGAAAGAAAGAAAGAAGAAAGAAAGAAAGAAAGAAAGAAGAAAGAAAGAAAAGAGAAAGAGAGAAGAGAGAGAGAAAGAAAGAAAGAAAGAAAGAAAGAAAGAAAGAAAGAAAGAAAGAAAGAAAGAAAGAAAGAAAGAAAGAAAGAAAGAAAGAAAGAAAGAAAGAAGAAGAAACGTTCTCGTGAGTACTATCGCGTTAAATTAAGGGTTAAAATCCCCCAAAAGAAGAAGCGCTAAGTTATCCATCAAGATAAGAAGGTTAATTATTAAACTCACCCATCGCGTTGCTGTTGAGGATGAGAACTCCCCATGCTGTTCCGTCTCCTTTGGGATTCATGAAGAACGGGTGAACTCCAGCGAAGTTATCCCAGTTCTTGAAGAAGATGTACGATGTGTGTAATCGTTAGCTTCGCTGCTTGAAATACTCATCAAGTACACTTGTAAAAAAAAATATAGGGACGAAGGGGGACTCATACAGACCCATGAATGTGAGAGTCGGGGCTTAACTCAGGTTAACTTCATTCTGAGATCGTTATTGTGCTCCCAAACTAGTTATAACACATTAACTAAACACATTGCTACGCATGCAGCCGACCTGCTATTGGGGTCGGTTGCACAACGATTCACCATATAGTACGACACGATGCGCACGGCTGGCACATCGCGAACGCATCAAGTGGCTAATAAATAACCTCCAGAGCCCCCCTTTACCAAGTACAAGAAGGTATACGCGTTGGCTGCGACAAATTTAAATATTAGTTTGCTCGATCTAGCCGTGATATGTTTATCCCAGCTACAAATACGGACATGTACGCGTAGGCGTCTACAATTTGTTGAGTCATTTATTTATTGGATACAAAAATTATATAATTAAATACACTTTATCCGAAGCGTTGCGTCGTCAAAAACGATGAGAAGCAGCAACGATGTACGTTTCTAATACCGCGATGCTACGCCGAAAAGAAAACGCAGGAAGTGGCATCACCAAGCAAGTTCGCCACCTTGTGTTACACCTTACGTTTAGATAAAAAAAGTTCTTGCATTTTTTTTTGTCACCTTGTAAAGCATCGTGGCATTCTTCGCGAACACAGAAACGTGGAGATGTTTCTTGTCAGAATTCAAAATGACGCTAAAGTAAGTAATGATTTTTTTTTCTGTTGCTCGTTACATAACAAGAGGTAAGGCGAAGCAGCTTGAAATGCGACTGTATTCCTGAACTCTACTCTCAGTAAAAAAGTGTGCAGGGAGAGAGAAGCAAGCAAGTGGTCTCCAATAAATGCTTCCGGTAAGATCGGAGTGTATATACACGTACTGCGATTGCGTTATCCATGGCGCTGTAGTTGCTGACACGCCTGGAGAACATCGTGCCGCTTCCCATCGCAAGGTTGATGTGCTCGTGTCCGCTCTCTCCGAATCCGTACAGCTGTTCGCCGCTGTAAGGTAGCACCACCTGAAGGAACTGCTCGGTCATCACCAGGTGCCACGAGTCCAGCCTGGGTTTCAAGGGCAAATGGTCATTTCGGCTTCAAAGGTTCCTGGGTTTCAAGGGCAATTGATATTTTCAGACGTCTCAATGTCGTCGCAAAGCAAGAAGTGAACTTCGTTAGAGACTTCGACAGATATAGATGATATATGGCTATTTTTTAATATCCGCAGTATCGCCGCAGGAGCGAAGCAATGAATGCGAGAGCAACAAATAGAAATATTATTCTAAGGCCAGCACCTAAATACTATATAATCCTAACTGGCGTAACTCACCACCATTAAAACATTTCATTGATGCCGCTACTAACCGCTTCGAACATATGTAAGCTTCTTGTTTGCAATATGCAAAGTGCTGTATTCTTGCGAATTGCTCTAATATATTGTTGTTTCTTGCTCTGTTGCTTTCGTCCTGTATTACTCATCCACTCCTGCTATAGCCCTGTACTTGGACTGCTGTATAATCAGATAAATAAAATAATAAATAAAGTGCAAAGTAAAGAAACGTGGAGGCTGCAATGAGTAGAGGGACCTTCTTGCTGCTACTTCAACGCAAAATGAGTGGTGGCAACACGGCACGTACTAAAGGTATGAGCCGTCTGCTGATCCCTGTCAACATAGGACGAGGGCGACTGCACCTGGTAGCTCAAAGTACACAGTTCCTGCCGGAGCCACAAAGCAGCCCCCACCACCACCACCACTACAAGGACCTTTAGCGTCAACAGATTGTCATTGCGTAATTGTCGGCTCCTTTCGCATGATTTCACTTGCACATGTAACATACGACGCGCGGGCGGATGTTGTCGTCCTTGAAGTTTTTATAGAGAACCTCACGGCGACGGCGACGGCGAAAAAGTGACATTGACAATTTTGGATGTAGGCACTTTTGTTTTCGCTTGCTTACTTGCTATTTTTGTGCCTGAAGTCAGACCTACGCCAATAATTCGTGTGTGCGTTTTTTTCTTCGTTATTATACATTGTACATTCGTTTTTGCTTGTTTTTTTTTCTCGTGCGTTATTTTTATGTAGAATTATTCATATTCACACCTTTGTGGGATAGTTCGTGACATTCAATAATGAGATAACGAAATTGATCAGTAATTCCTCCGCATTGGCGCTGTGATACACATCACAAAGGACACACCGTAGGCTGATCAGCGCCTGAGGGGTTTGTAAAGCTAATTTTTTTTCAAAGCAACACAATTTAACGGTCGCTTTAACTTGGCTTTACCAACAGGTTATCGGTGACACTGGGACTCACATGACGACGTAATTGTCCGAGCGCAGCACCCTCAGCCTGGCGCGTCCGCGTCTCGTCTCGTTGGCCTCGATGAGGTACCGCAAGCGGCTCCTGTCCACAGCGGGAGGGCTTCGCATGAGCGGTGAGTCGTCCAACACGGGCACCTCGTAGCGACGTCTGTCCTCGTCGTGAATCTGTCATCCCGCGCATATCGTGCACAACGGAGGCAGATTTGATTAGGAAGGAGAACGACAAGAGAGAAGGCAGGAAGCTTAACCAGGCACGTGCTCGGTTTGCTACCCTACGCTGGGGAATGGGAAGGGAGAGTACAAAGATGAAAGAGAGAGAAGAGAAGGAGAGACGAGGAAACGGTCTGTACATGGGATGACGTGTGTGCTGTGGAGGTATATCGCGAAAAAAAATATCAAAGGCGTTCACATATGCCCGTAGTCCTCGGAAAGAGCAAAAGGGCTTTGACTGCCTTTTGGCACCGACGAAAGACGAGAACGGTGCTTCAGCCAGATTCCGTTAGATTACTGAAATAACAAGCGCCAGAGGTCAGGTATAGCGAAGAAATGTGCCCTCGGGTTTGTTTGTCTTTCATCAAGTGAAATGACCATTGGAGAGGTTGGGGTGTATACTGCTGCACCGGCTACTCCTTCTCGCTTAGAAAATGAAATATACAATACTGAAAAGAAAAAAACTATCAGAAAGACACAAAATATGTTAACACATGTCGACATCTTAATCCATGACAAGTCTCTGTGTAGACTTAGAAAGAAAGAGAAATTCACGTTCGCAGACTTTATGGGATTTGTTGGAGGAATGCCTAAGGACATATTGCCATAAAATTACAACTACCAAAAATAAATACTACTCCTAGGATTTGCCTTCTCTCCTGAAGTTTAATCCGAAAAAGTTCTGGAAGTTGATAACTCCTGATCATGACGATATCCCCATTTTGTTGCACAATTAACACAACACTTCTTTTGCCGACACTGATTGTCCTTATGTCTTTAATGCATTCTCCTCATCCGTGTTTACTAGAGAACATGACCAGCTTCCCGAAATTGTCGAAGGTGATTACTAATTCATGACATCTATCGATATAACAATAGAAAGTATATCTAAAAAACCTGAAGATATCTTCATCTTCTGATATTGATGATATCAGTTCTAAAATATTAAAAAAAACACTGTATATGCCTCCAGTACCATTTTATTTGACATTTTTCGGCAGTCGCTCACTACAGGAATGTTGCCTTCTGGCTGAAAGATAGCGAAGGTAGTGGCAGAACATAAAAGTTGCAGTAAAAGTTCACCTGAATGTTATCGCCCCATTTCTGCGACGTGCACATGTTGCAAGATGTTTGAGCATATTTATTTATTTATTTATTTATTTATTTATTTATTTATTTATTTATTTATTTATTTATTCTGCAGCCCTATACAGGGCTATGGCAGGAACGGGATATTATACAATACTAGAAGCATGGAAAAAATCAAGAAAAGTAACACACATGGCAAAGCAAGAACACATCAAATCATAGCTTCCAACATTTACACTCATCTAAAATCAAACAATTTATTTTTCTGTAACCAGCATGGGTTTCGAAGGGGTCGTTTTTGCGAGACTTGACTCTTTTAGTTCACCGTCGACTTACATTTTAACATGAACAGTAATATGCAAACAAATTAGTTATTCCTTCACTTTGCAAAGGCCTTCGATCGTGTTGCTCGCTGTCGCTTGATTTTAAAAATGGTATCTCTAAAACTACATTACCTTACGCTAACATGGCTCAGAAACTAACAGGCAACAATTCACTATCGCGAACAATCGCTCTTCATCACTTTCTTACGTTTCCTCTGGTGTTTCACAAGACAGTGTTCTTAATCCCCTTACTTTTCTCGTCCACATTAATGACCCGCCGGACAACTTATCCTAGTTTGTGCGTATAAAATAGGGTGTTTGGAAGCAGTCATTGTTCATCAGACAAGATAACAGTCTCGACAGCTGGCGTCGATATGGTGGATCCAGCCAGATAGATAGATAGATACCGCCGAGAGAACAAAACGCCATGATCTTCTCGTCCTGGCAAGTACTCGCTGCCTCCTCGAGAAGCGTCCATCTTCTTCACTACAAGAATATTTGCTGACGAGAGCATTGTCTATCGTCTCATCCGCAACAGTAGCGATTATCTCACCCTTCAAAAGAAGCGTTTTAGAGAGAAAGAGAGAGGGAGAAAGAGAGAGAAGAGAGAGTAAGGATGAAAGAAAGGCATGTAGTTTAACCATGGTTGAGCCCGGTAGGCTACCTTGCACTGGGGAGAGGGTAAGGGGAATAAAAGTTAGAGAGAGAGAGAGAGAGAGAGAGGAGAAAAATGTCACTCATGCCGTCGACAAAACGGCAGTTATAAGCGGATTAATGAGTGGTGAAAAACGAGGCAAACGACACTAAATGTTTTCAGATGCAAACTAATCACCTTTAGTCGAAAACACGATAACCTTAATGGTCAATACATATTTGATAATATCATTGTATAACCCACCGAGCATTACAAGTACCTAGGCACAAACTTAACTCCTACTCTTTCTCGTTCTACACATACCAATTCCATCTGTGCTAACACATCAAAATCATTAGGTTTTCTGTGCCGAAACCTATACAGTGCTCCCTTCGATGTACGTAAACCATGGCTTGTCTTGCTCTAATCCGTCTTCAACTAGAGTTCGCCTTCTTCATTTGGTCACCACATTAACAATACCCCATACAAAAGTTAGAATCTATACAGAACAGAGCTAGTCGATTCATAGCACGTAATTACAGCTATATGAATACCCATCCAGCGTAACACAGGTTAAACAGTTTCGCAGTCCAACCACTGAAAATTCGCCGCGACATTTCACCTTTTTCACTATTCAACAAACTCATCCACACCATCACGATGCTATCTGTTCACCTTAATCTAGCTCATCAAATTACGAGCTGACTTTGTAACAGCGTTAGTTTATCACGCATGTACGGTAATACTATAACGCTTTCAACCAATCGACTCTTCCACGAGCTATTCGCTTGCCAGATGATCTTTTCTCAGAGCAAGACCAGGCAAAGTTCTGCCACGCTCTTAAAAAATATGTGTTCACTGAAAACTGGTGTATTACATTTATAGTACTGCTACCTACGTTTCTTTTTATTCTTTCTCCTGCTTTTTTCTTATGTACATTTATTTGCAGTAAACTGTTTTGTCAGTTTTCTTTTTATATTGAACTATTGCTGGTTTATAGTTACTGTTAAATTGCCTTTTGCATTCCACCTTCACATTATAACTTACTTTTCTAGTACGTATTGTGCTTATATGTTCACGAGTTGAATCGTATTTTCTTTATAATCAATATTTACCTATGTATGCATATATATCTCTCGAGTATAATCTGTACCGCCCCCCCCCTACACAATCCCCCTCGAGGGTTCTATAAGGTACTGTAAATAAGTAAATAAAAATAAAGAAACCATTATCTGAAAACTAAGTACAATCCAATGGCACGTGAGTCACAAATATTATTTGTGGTTGCACCAGAGTCACACGGTCACGATACAGATCGATCAATGTGAAATTTTGAACAGTGATTTCTGAAGCTTACGTAAAGGAGCCAATTACGATCGAAAAATTCAATCCCCATCATCCCCATCGTGATCGAACGTGACCGCGTGACAGTGCTCTGAAACGAAAACTTCCGACCGCCACTTGTCTGTTCCCTCTGGGTCAGTAGAATGTAAACGGCTCGACGTGCGCAGGGTTCTTCATTAGGTGTGGGGAAGAGGGAAGGGGGCAGTGTTTTTTTTTTTTTGCAGCTTACCCTCTCAATTGGTAGTGTGTGTAGTGTCCGAAATCCAACTTTCTTCACAGCGGGCGAAAAAAAAAACGGAAATGAAACCATGACATGCTTCTTACAATGACCCGCATTTCGTCCGTCCCTGGATTTCCGGAAGTAAAAAATGAGAAGCAAGCATTTCTTGGAATGGGGGCCGTTGGCCCCCATCATATATCCAAAACCTGCGTTGCCACAAACCATGCTCTATTTAAGAATTATGGGACAGGTCTGACCGAATAAAAGTACGGCGCAAAAGTAGCGCTTCCAGGGGGCAGCCGCCTCCCCAGTGCACGCCCTTGGAGAGAGGTCAGTCAGCGCATGGCCTCCGAGATGGCGGAGCCGCGCGCCCGTCATTTCGGAGGCCATGATTAGCGCAGAATGAGCGACTCACCCGTAACCTCAACGTATCTTCAGTGAGGTACACCGCCTGCACGCGCACGTTGTTGATGACATCATCGGCGAAAGGGCCCTGCGAGGTCATGTCGTAGGTGAGGCTGTAGTTGACCTCCCGGTCTCCGTACGTGGTGTGCCGATACCGGTAGCCGAACGCGTCGTCCCGCAGAAAGCAGCGAGTGGCCCCGCCGTGTCCTGGATCCGGCATCGCCTTGCACCCGTGCTTCTCGCAGTCTGCGCGTGGGAAAAACAGAGTACAGCTGTCGTAATTGAGACTGGGAGACACAGAGTGCGTCTCTTTGTACACGGCCCTCCGACTCAACCACGCGACGAAGGGCCATCCAGCGGCTTGAGGAGGCCCTGGCAAAGCAGAGGAGAAAGGGAGCCGACGCCCCGGACAACGGGAGCGGAGGAGCCCGAGTATCCAACGCCTAGCCGGAGCACAACGTCCTCAAGATCTAGGGCCTGGTACTATAGGACTATTAGCCATAGTCTTCAGATAGGGAATACCCGCGCCCTGCGTGGCCGGTGACTTCCCGCACGCCGGATGCGTGAATAAATGGTGTTTCTCTCTCTCTGCACGGCCCTTCGTTGAGAGAACCGAGGAAATGTACGCTCCTCAGAATTCCCTAACTCAGCACCTATAGCTGAAGGTGTTCGTGAAACGTGTGTTGACAAATTCACGATAGTTCACGGGGTTGTGACATCAGAGAAGTCCTGCAGGTTGCCATATCAGTAGCGGCTTCGTTTGTAGGTAACGGCATAAGATCGATCAACCGACCAACCAACCGATCAGCAAATCGATCATTGACAAATCAATCAGTCAAAACATCACTCTTTATCTACTTATAAAACCTACACATATATATTGCTTATTCGGATGGAGGTCCATGGCTGAAAAAAGATCTGTTAGAAAAACTGGCGCTCTTTAGCCTTAGATGCCCTTGCGCCAATAAAACATAACAATAATAATAATATTAATAATATTAATAATATTGTTAATAATAATATCTTCTAGAAATGCAGTGGGCATAAATACAAGAATATAGCAACATAACAACTTCACTCAATCAGCTAAACAATAAAATCACTGAAGGTATACGTGATAAAGCGACCTTTAAATATTTAATGGCATGGTGTACAAAAAATGTACTCAATATGTAATATTCTAGATACCACGTAATACCATATGTAATATCACTCCTTCCCAACCGACTGGGAGAGACGCTCTAGGTGCCGACCAGTGCGGACGCGCGAAGATCGGCTCCTGCTTTCAAGAATGTTTTCCTGTGGTATTCACGAATTTGTCGCCAAGTTTTCAGTCCCATCGTGTGCCTAAGTTCCCAAGAAATCAGCAGATACCACCTTTGTGCTGGTGAGTGGACTTTTACACCGTTTTTTGGGGCATTTTTACATGGCAACGCCACCGGGGGATTTAAGCCTAACCAAGGAGGCGATTGTCGCCGATGGGCCGACCCGGCGCCAACGTGACTCAACGCTCTGCGCGTTCCAGAACCTGCAACTGAGAATGGAATACCAAGTAGATGGAGAGGACATCTCTCCAGAGGATTGCACGGAAGACATGGATTGGAAGGAAGCCGAAACGAGACGCTCAAGGAATAAGCAAGCCACGGTTAGCGTTCCTGCTGCCAAGGGTTCGACCAAGGCTGGCGTTGCGGGAGACGCTCGAACCAGTCGTAGTAGGTATGATACCAAGCATACAATCGTGCGAGCTGGACGCATGCCGCCACTACCCAAGGACTTCAGCAAAATTGTGCTACGACCACGTGGAGGTATAAATATCTCGAGAATTGGCACTGGAGCCGTGGCAGACGCGATAGTACTGGCGGCCGGCATCAAAGAGGAGGAGGCCATGCAGGACATCATCTGTTCCAACTTGCAGCAGAACATTATGGTGGCAAGCACTCCGGACCAAGAGAGAGCTTCAAGATACCTCAAGGTCAAGCAAATTGACATTGGAGGCAAAGTTTTCGAGGTTAGCGCGTACGCCACGGCACCCCACGATACTTGTAAAGGAGTGATCGCGGGATGCCCGTAAGCGATACTCAGGACATTTTGACCCGAAAGATTGTGAACGCGAACAACCCGCTCGCGCTGCAGGCCAAGAGAATCAAGGACACCGGGACAATCATCATAGCGTTCGAAGGACACAAGGTGCCCAGATTCGTGAGATATGGACCTTCACTTTTGCAGTGCTCCCTTTACCGCAAGAACATCGATATTTGTTACGTCTGTGGAAAGCTGGGACATCGGTCTGACGTCTGTCCGAACCCAGCTGAAACCATCTGCAGAGGCTGCGAGATCAAGAACCCAGATAGCCTGCACCAGTGCAATCCAAGATGCAGGCTGTGTGACTGGTCACCATCCCACGGCAGACAAAGAGTGCAAGAACAGGTTCTTAGTGCCATACGTCGTCAGACGCAGACGTTGGGAAAGATCGCGAGCAGCCGCAGAAGCCCGGGACGCATCAATCACATCGAGTCCAGACATCAACGACAAGCAGCTTATTCCAGCCTACGGGACCCAGAGCATCAGACTACTCAAGAACAGGAAAGGCGGCCCCACTCCAGGGGGAGGTCGCGTTCCAGAAGAGGTTCTAGACCCAAGGCCCGCTCCCAATCACGGGGGCGCTCGAGTTCTCAAGGTCACCATCAGGGTCGGGATCAGCCTGGGCGGCACCCGAATGGCCAGCTGCCTGGCGTTCAGTTCGAGATCACGGCTTCACACCCGGGGAGGACGCCTGCAGTTGCATCGAAAGGCAGCTGGGCTGAGCGAGTGCGCAACGGCGCGGCAGAGGTGATGACAGGTAAGCTGCCAGAGCATGATAGAATTGCACAGCTAGAGCAAGAAAACGCGAGACTTACAAAATCGAATGAGAGGCTATCAGCTGAGTTAAAGGAAATAAAAATTCTTCTCACTAAGCTAACCAGCGCGCAGTCTTCACAGCCAATGCCTCAGCCAGTCGATGTCCCTGTGGCTGAAAACGTGGGGGACTCGAGAACCACAAAAAAGAGGGCAGTCATGGCAGAACACGTGGAAGCCAACCAAACGAGCATGTCAGATATGAAAGAGGTCTTTGACACGCTCAGCAAAGTAGTAGCCAATCTTAGCGAGCAGATGGGTAGGCTACAGTCAAGCGTGGCGGCACTGGAAGAGCATATGACTTTGCGCATTACAAAGGTCGAAGCATATCTGCACAATACAGCAAGGCCTCCTCATGCACCAAACTCACCCCTTCGGCCACCAATACTAGTGGTACCAAACCTGTCGACAGGTGCAGCATCAGGCTCTGGCCTCCCATGTAATAACCATGATGGCAGCGCTACGTGAAGCATTTCGTATCTGGCATTGGAACTGTAGAGGTTACCTTAAAAGGAAGGCAGCCCTACAGCAGTATATCAGGAGCAGCCAAGAAAAGCCTCATATTATATTATTACAAGAAACCCTTTCACCGCAAGCAACGTTGCCTGGATTCCGGCCTGTAATAGGGGATACTGAAGGGAGGGGAGTCTGCACCTTCGTATGCAACAAACTAACGCACGTAACCCACGACCTCAAGATAGAAGCAGGCCGGTTGGAACACGTCATGGTAGAAAAGTGCCAGGTACCAGCAACCGTCAGAGCATTTTCATTTTAATATATACAGCAGTCCAAAGGAACAAAAGCAAGGGTTCAAGACGGTTCTAAAGAAAGCTGTTAATATCGCCGGGGAATGTCCACTCGTCATAGCAGGTGATTTCAACGCCCCTCATCATACATGGGGTTACAAGTACAACACTGGGAAAGGAAATCGACTTTGGCAAAGTGCCAGTGAACTTGATCTCACCCTAATCACAGACCCCAGCCTACCAACAAGGCTTGGTACATCTTGCTGCAGGGATTCCACCCCGGACCTTACATTTGTAAGGAACATCAAGAAGGCCCAGTGGATGAACCTTGCTGTAGACCTAGGGAGTGACCACTGCATTCTTGCCACTACCTTCTCCGTGGAGGGTAAAAAGCAGAGAGAATTCCACTTCACAGACTGGGATAGGTTCAGAAAAGATAAGGATGGAAAGGGAACAAGATGGCCACAGACAAGGCTTGGAGCAGTGGGTCAAACAGATTAAAGACGACATCAAATCCGTCTCCTCCACCATTACCACAGATTTTCCGGTTGAAAGAATGGATAGCCGGCTCGCTCATCTTCTTGAGGCAAAGCAAGCACTACTGAACCGTTGGAAGGGTCAGCGCCTGAACCGGGAGACTGAGGAAGAAGATAGCTGAGGTAAACAGATCAGTCGAGGAACATTGTCGCGCACTATCTAGGCAGCAATGGGACGAAATCTGCAACTCCGTCGATGGTCAGATGCGCAATGGCAAGACATGGAATATGTTAAAGCATCTCCTCAACGAAAACACCACCAAAACAAATCAAAAGCATGTTATCGCTCGAATTTTGCACAAAGAGATAGGGCTCACTACAGAACAGCAAGTTGTGCAGCGGCTCGTGCATAAGTACCTCCCAATCAAAAGAGGATTGGCACCACCAAGTAGACAGTACCAGGGCAGGCCCAATCTAGGTCTTGAGGGCGACTTTAACATCGAATCAGAAGAGCCTTGCATGATCTCAACGGCAGGTCGGCCCCTGGCCCGAACGGTATATCAAACAAGGCCCTTCGTAACCTTGATGATGATTCAATTGAAACCCTGAAGGATATGATCAATGCAGCATGGAAAGAAGGCAGGGTGCCAGAGCAGTGGAAGCTGGCCAGGACGATCCTTATTCCTAAGCCAGGAAAGCCCCCTAACTTGGACAACATGAGGCCAATATCCTTGACATCTTGTATCGGCAAGGTTGCAGAACATGCCATACTGCACAGGATAAACAAGTACTTGGAAGATAACGACATATATACACACAATATGGTTGGATTCAGGGCAGGGCTATCCACACAAGATGCATTGAAGCTTATCAAACACCAGGTCATCGACAACGAAACGAGAGACGTGAGAGCCATTCTGTGCCTAGATCTAGAAAAAGCGTTTGACAACATCCACCACTCATTCATACTCGAAGCAATTTCCAAGCTTGGTCTGGGGAAAGCCTTCTATGACTACGTATGGTCCTTTCTTACAGATCGGAAAGCCGTGATGAAGATTGCAGATATCGAGACCGCAGCAATCGAACTAGAAGCAAGGGGCACGCCGCAAGGGGCAGTGATTTCACCAATGCTGTTCAACATTGCCATGATTGGACTGTCAAAGAAATTATCGAGCATTGAAGGATTGAAGCACAGCATCTACGCAGATGACATTACCATCTGGTGCACAGGTGGAAGCGAGGGGCAGATTGAGAGCGCCCTGCAAGAGGCGATTGACACCGTAGAAGAGTACCTTCGTCCTTCTGGGCTCAAGTGCTCCTCGAGTAAGTCAGAACTTTTACTGTATCAGACTGCACGCCGGGGACCGAAACCCAGGGTATGGAAGCCGTTAAACCAGATAGACATCCTCCTCCGTACAAATCAAGGGGATTCTATCCAGAGGGTCGACTCCATCAAAGTCCTGGGCATGCTGATAGAGTCTATCGGCGCCAACAGCAGATCTATAGCCAAGTTAACTTGGAAAACAGACAGTGCGGTGCACCTCATGCGCAGAGTGGCCAACAAAAGAAATGGGATCAAGGAAGACAACCTCATCAGGTTGATGCATGCGTTTGTTCTAAGCCACTTCACGTACGAGGCAGCAATGCACAACTGGTCAAGAGCAGAGTCCGAGACACTGAATTTGCTCCTCAGGAAAGTTATCAAGAAGGTTCTGGGCCTACCCATACATACCAGCACCGAGCGTCTGCTTGAGCTTGGCATTCACAACACGCTCGAAGAAATAGCAGAAGCCCAAGAGAGAGCACAGTTTGCAAGGTTATCTACAACAAGGTCGGGAAGAATGATCCTGCAGGAGCTGGGCCAACACCCAATGGCAATCAGGCACAATTACAATGATATCCCCGACAACATCAGGGAGAATATCACGGTGTCTCCTATACCAAGAAACATGCATCCAGAACACAACGTCGGAAGAAGAGTAGCGAGGGCCAGGACTATACTTCGTCAAGTCTCAAACGAGGAACGAGGGGTCGTATTTGTTGACGCGGCTTCCTACGCCAATGGGAAAGCGTTTGTGGCAGTGGTGGTCGATGGGGCTGGCCATGTCGTCAACTCAGCGACGGTCAGGACGAAAGACCCAATCATTGCGGAACAGGTGGCCATCGCCTTAGCACTCAAGATGGATAACATTGAAGTCGTCTACAGTGATTCCATGGCAGCACTACGGGCGTTCGCCAAGGGGACGGTCTCTGAACAAACGCTGAGAATACTGCAAGGCAAGAACATAACGCATCATCTTCTGAGTTGGTTCCCAGCTCACCTTGGGCAAATCAACGATTCCCCTCCCAATCTCAATGAAGCAGCACACGAGGCGGCGCGAGAACTCTCCAACCGCGCCTCCCCGGGGATGCGTTCTACCGGTGAAGGGGATAACCGGGAAATTCTTACAACATATAACGAGCTCACTAAACATTTCTACCTGTCTAGAAGGATTTCCCCCCCCCCCTTACAAAAATCTAACCCGGCCCCAAGCACTTACATTAAGGCTTTTGCAAACGCGGATGTACCCTACTTTGAAAATGTTACACATCATGTACCCTGACCTATACCCAAGTAATCTTTGTCCACATTGTGGGGAAATAGCTTCATGAGAACACATGATCTGGCAGTGCACCAAATTCGCTCCTATATCGAACATCACCTCTGCCAGATGGGAGGCGGCAATCCGCAGCTCATCCTTGGCAGATCAGCTCTGGGCTGTCCACCAAGCCCGCGAGGCGGCTGAGGACCTTGGGATCTCAGTCCCCACGTGAGAGCTGCCCGCAACACAGTGATCTGTGTTTTGGAGGACCAAATAAAAGTTTATCCAATCCAATCCCAACCGACTGGTGCAAGTAATGGCTGAAGGTGGGAGAGGTGTGTTGTCATACGGTAAATAAAACGAAACAGAATTTTAAGTATTGCCGCCGCGTGGTCGTAAGACCATCGCACAACTCTGACTCTCCCCATCCACGCCGCACGTCGTGACGCGATGATCTCTATTCGCAACAGCTACATGTTGAGCATTAATATCTCCGCGGATCAGAGTTGTCTCATTCGATAAGCTTGATCTGGTCCGCAATAATACGGAAAGGCGGGCTATGGAAGTAAAGTATTAGATTGGGCTAGTTGGTAATGCCTTATTAAACTTCTCAGCGCAAATACTTCCGACAACTAACATAAGAGACGAGGACGAGCGCAGACTTTCAACTAAATGTATTACTATTACTTCGCACATATATGTGTTACAAAAAAGACGATGAGATCACTTGCTTAAGCAGAAACCAAAAAACACAAAAACAAAAAACACAAAACCAAAAGTCAAAAGAGACAGCGAAAACCACGTGCTCACCTCGCGCTCGTCCTCGTCTCTGTTGTTAGTTGTCGGAATTTTTTTTTTTTTTGTCTTGCGCTGAGAAGTTTGATAAGGCGGGCCAGTTGGTTTTCGTGCATACTGATACCTTAGCGCATATACACACGAGGACACAGAGGGACGCACCTGTGCTGGTCCTTGTAAGCCTTTCGACTGTGTCCTCATGTGTGTGCGCTAAAGTATCAAGTATTGATCGGATCCATGCACTCTAGACAGGTGCCGATGCTCATCGAGTGATTAGGCATAAAATAAATGCACTGCGCGGACGCCTGACCACTCGTTGTTCTAGCGAGAGCGACTGCAGCCAATGACGTTCTTTCTCGCACGTATTGCCTTAAGGCCTGACCACTCGCATTCGTTGCTGCACGTCAGTGCGTAGATTTCTGGCGCGGCGTCACCCCCTCTCCCTGTGAGGAGAGAAAGCGTGCAGCTTCGCGTAACCGCGCGCCCTCTTTTTCCATACGAAGGGAGAGAAGGCTGTTCTCTCTCCGTACTGTACATGGCCTTTAGCTTTGTTCTCTTGCGAGAACGCGCCGCGCCGTCTTTGCGCCACGTCATCTCCGGTTTTTCGCAGCGATCTACGTCATAGCGCTGCTGCGCCATCCCACTAGCACGAGGCAGGTGCCGCCACGTGAACGCACTCCACCTGCTGCACAGCCTCAGCACTTTATTTGTCTGTACAATTTCGTCTACATACAGGCGTGAGCTGGCCAAATACACATCTCCCTCAGCGGAGGGGAGGGGGTCACATAGGCTAGAAGCAAGCATATTTGCTGAAGTTCAATTGTGCTGTGATCGGCGACTGCAGTCGTCTCGATCAGTCCGATGTCGTTCGAGGGATCAGCTATCTCAAATTTGCGGGACGCTTACCTTCGACGGCTTGCACCGGACAAGGGATGTCCGTGATGATATCGGGCTCGGATGGTCCAGGACCTCCTCCGTCGGGGCCGCCGCCACCTGCGGGGCCTCCCGCCGATCCCGCAGGGGCCACGTTGTAGTAGAAGTAGCGGTGCGTCGCTATCGTCACGGCCAGAGCCACCAGGATGATGATCATGCACGCCATAAAGAAGACCACGCAGCCGATGGCCAGGTGCGTCTTCGATATGTTCGCTGTCGGGGAGACCAGACCGGCAATTAAATGAAATCTTGATAATATTTTACTTCTAGCAAACGGCGAAAATAAACCGCAGTCCTGTGAATGAGCGAGAAATTAAAGGGAGGAATGAAGGAAGGAAAGAAAGAAAGAAAGAAAGAAAGGAAGGAAGGAAGGAAGGAAGGAAGGAAGGAAGGAAGGAAGGAAGGAAGGAAGGAAGGAAGGAAGGAAGGAAGGAAGGAAGGAAGGAAGGAAGAGGAAATAGAGAGGTTTTAACTAGTCTAGGAGGACCGGTATGCTAACCTACACAGGAGAAGGGATGGAGGGGTTGTAGGATACAATAATAATATCTGGTGTTTCACGTCCCGAAACCACCGTATCATTACGAGAGACGCCGTAGTGAAGGGCTCCGGAAGTTTCGACTGCCTGGGTTCTTTTTTTGTTGTTGTTGTTCGAGGGGGGGGGGGGGCTCAGGGGGGCGCATAAGCTCGGTGTGCCAGCCCTTGGCTACACCGCTGTCTCGGATCTTTTTTTCTTTGTTTTTTTAGTAGTGTTGCGTTCCGAGTTTAAAGTGACCACAGCCGTGCACACGGCGGTGGGGTCGGGGCTGCCACCTAAGTCATTTAAAGATGTGTGTGTGTGTGTGTGTGTGTGTGTGTGTGTGTGTGTGTGTGTGTGTGTGTGTGTGTGTGTGTGTGTGTGTGTGTGTGTGTGTGTGTGTGTGTGTGTGTGTGTGTGTGTGTGTGTGTGTGTGTGTGTGTGTGTGTGTGTGTGTGTGTGTGTGTGTGTGTGTGTGTGTGTGGCGATGATGGTAACCAAGGAATCGTATAGTTGGACACAAAGAACTCTTTGCATCCTATATTTACCCCGGAAAGCAGGGTGGGTACCTTTGGGAGAAGCACGCAAATGCTTCATTTTAATTTTCTTGCATCTATTACGGAGCTCGTTCTCTTTCAGAATAGCCAACAAAAAAATGTGGGGTGGCACTCAAGAGTGCGTACAATTTTCAAATAGCTTATTAGTGGAGAACACGGCGCACGCCTATGCCCCTGCATGATTTATTCACTTTGTATCTTTATGTGCACTCTGCGCCTATGATAGAAGTCTATTTAACTAGAGTATTTCTTGTTTTCACGTGCCGTTAAAAGAGATTGTGGCACATTAATTAAGGATCCAAGAAACCACGAGCGCTGAGAATACGAATAACCATCTCCGAAAAAAACTCCGCTGCCTTTAGACAAAACGTGTGCCGTAAATGGCATCCTACAGTTTTTAAAATTCAACGAAAACTTGTAGAAAATGTACTGAAACGCGCAAGTGTGCTTTCGCATCGAGGCGGACCTCTGGCGCACAAAGGGGGCAGGAGGTGCAGCCGCCACCCCCCCCCCCCCCTTGTCACCTCAAAGGGGACGGAGGGGGTTAAAGTCTGCCCCATACAGTGCCTTAGTGGAAAGGGGGGGGGGGGCGACTATAACCGTTTGGCCCCATCCCCCTGACGGAGAACCCCGTGCACGCTAATTCGTGTTAGGCCTAGCATCGTGTTAGCCCTCACGATCATGATGGCGAGCTGTCATGTCGCTGATCTGTTAATACAAAGCACGCTTTCTTGCTATAGATCATTCCAATATTAGCATACATAATCATCAACAGCAGTCAATGAATTACATGCGTGTATGTTTGTTATAAAACAGAAACATTCCGTACACCGTAGGCCACGAGCCGGAGATTGGGAAAGACCAGGGAGTTTTGGGGAAGACACACTTACGCATGTGTAGCCGCTCCCAGCAGCTCGTGCTGGCCGTCGAAGCCGTGCGATCCAGCCTGAAAGTGTGAGACCGTCCAAATCCACTGCCGTCGACGTCTCGCGCCATGTAGGCAGCGAGCAGCCAGTCCTAGATCGCGCCCGGCGCGGGCCACGTCCTCGGCACGGTTACGCTCCGGCTCTCTGCCCCGCTTCCAGGGAACGCCAAAACCAGAGCCGCACCGCGAGCGGCGTCGCATACACACGGCTCGATGCGACGTATATCGGCCGCTCTCCGAGAGCGCTCTGGCTTGATTCCTATGCACAGCGGAACAATGGCCGCCCTGCCGTCACGACGCGGCTCAATGTCGTCCGGAACGACGGCGTCCGGTGGCGGGGGCGTTGGGACCGTTAATACATTGCTTAATCCGGCTTGCCGTCCATATCGCAGCCGTCGGAAAGCCGACGCATCACATCAAGCGTTTCTTTTTTTTTTTCCCAGCCCGCCAAACGAGATGCACATGAATTAACATTGAACGACCATGCCACCCCGGGTGCGCCGTTTGTGACGAGACTGTTGTTCCGGTATGCCCGCAATGCGACGCCAATGTTCCAGCGTGTATACGTGCAGCAAACAAACGAGAACGCGTATGCTATAGCTTCGCATGTACGCGTGCAGGCGACGTCCTTTCCAGTTAAGCGACGGCAGGCCTTCGCTGCTGCACGGACTGCGTAATCTGCAATGGCTGCGCACGAGCGGTTGCGAAATGGACATTGCGGAGCATCGAGTTGTCAGTGAACCTTAACGGATGCCCATGAGTGGATAATTATGGCGCTCATTCGCTGAGGCGCGTGTCGTGAGCGGGGCGCATCTAAATTGGTGCGTCTTGAAAGGTTTACACTTGAAATGTTATACGCCTTTTCACAGAAGCCAAATAAGCATTAGGCAACCCCCCCCCCCTCAAGTCTAAGAAAACGCAACCCCTCTTGGCTACGCTCTTGTACCATGGGCGTAGCCAAGAGGGGTTAAGGGTGGGGAGGGTTCAAACTCCTCAAAACTTTTCAATTCTGATTCCGTACATATATACACTCACACATACAAACGCACCAAGAGCATATATATTGCATGAATACACCCCCCCCCCCTCAAGAAAAAAATTATGGCTACGCTCCTGCTTTAGTTAAAAAACGAAGTGTTCCTTCTCTCTTGTCAAAAGTAAAGAGACTTGCCATTGTGTGACATGGGCCCAACAGGGTGTGTTCTAGCACCATCTTTTCCAGGCTGACCGCGTTCGTTCATATTGCTTCTCCAACATTTCCTTGCTGAGCGGGAGATGTAAGGTATAATTCAATTTACTGTTTTACTCTGTGGAGATTAGAGTGTGCGGGAGCAACTAATATTCCAGATTTATTGCGGTACATGACATGGCGTAATTTGTCTGCTTTGTCGATGGCCGGACACTGTCACCATCTGCTACTGAACTTCGACTACCTGCCGTTTGATGCAATGAGGGGGAAACCAAAATCGACAGCTCTGAGCGCAAGAGGCCCACCAAGCTGATATGACCTTTCAATACAAAGAATGTAACTCTGCACTCGGGCACTGTGTAGTTGCGTCGAGTGACTGTTTGGCTGCATTGAAAACTAATCACACCAGCTTACTGTATTTATGTACGATTAGCAATAACAAGAGGCGTGCGCAGCGCTCTCCATTATGAAAGGCGTAGTACCACCACAGCGCCCCCCCCCCCCTTCCCAACTTCAGTAGCCGAGTCCAGAATAAAGATTAACTTCGTAACTTCAAAGAAAAACAACTCCGTAACGGATGCAACGATCAAATTGAAGCGATCACGTGCTCCACACAAGGGCCTGCCTTCAGACCTTTTGCCCCGTGTGCGCACGCCTACAGAAATAGCTAAGACTGCGTGTACAAGAGCTACAGAGCTTCAAGCGTGAAGGCGCAGAGCATGACCGAACGTCGCGAGACCACACACAAGGTCTTGCTAACGTTAGCGTGCGTGGGATCGCTACAACAGAGCGCAATATGTGTCACAGCATGTCGCGCTTCCGGGTTTGCCACTTTGGAATCCGTAATGACGCATGTCTCGGCAAAACAGCTGCACCTCGTGCAGTCAAGGTTCCGGTACGTCAAAGTCCTGCAGCCAAGGCCCCCGTCGACGCGTTTTTCCATTACAATATATGTAGTTGCGCAGGTACCGGTATACGCCAAGGTATTTCACCTTTGTCGCAGCGGCAAATGAAACTTGCAAGACAATAGTCAAGCGGCGAACACATTAGCTGTATGTCATATATAGCACAACAGCAACAGCAAACGTGACGCCTGTCAAAGAGAACGCGTGGTTCACGTTAAAGGGGCACAAAACGAAAATAATTCAAAGTAGTCATCGGTGACTCTAAATCTGTCATCATCTGACTCGTCCGTGGTACGGTCACACCAACTAGGGCAAGAATCCTCCGACATTTGCCCCAAGTGGCGTACAATGCCTCAGGCAACACGGCCATCAGCAGCGCCACCGACGAGGATCTCACTTAAATCCATTTCATCCAACTCGTCTGGGTCCCAGTGCACGCAGGCGACGCGGACAACGACGCCGGACCAGACAAGCTTGAAGAATCGTATGCCTAGCGGTGCGTCAGAACGTGAACACACGGCGGAGAAACTAACGAAACCACTCCTCCTTTTACCGACATCGTGCAACACATGTTAACCAAATCATTCCCGCAAACAGGACTAAAAAAAGCACAAAAATCACTTGGCGGCGGCTTGAAACTTATTCGTTCCCATCACCGCCCACCTGTCGACGCATCTACCTAGCCCTCGTCACATCTGCTTGAACTCTTTGCAAGACACAGACTGCGACTCTGAACCGCTGCGTCATTACAGGATGCAGCAGGGACCCTCCCCCAACATCCCTCCTGGGACAGTCACCGTCAGTTGAGGCCTGGAAGAGAACTCTCACGACCAGAAATCCTGGAAGGCCAGTTCCAGGTCATCAAACTTGTAGAGGAGGCGAGCAGGCCCAACCAGAAAACCATTTCCGCTGCGAAAACCGACGGCTTTGCGATTGAAGTTGTTGACTATTACTACTAGTATACTACTACTATCACTACTAGTCAACGCAGACTGTTGGAATGTCATTCAAACCTCGCAGCGCATTGCGAGCCAAGAAGATTTTTTATTTTTAAAGAAAAGAAGGTTATAGACATGGTGCAAGCGTGTGTCTTTGTTCATCTAAACATAACGTGTCTAATCGTACTGATTCAATTGCCTTCGCAAATCTTGCCAGTCAGTTTGCATGTTTTCAACACAGTCCGAATCAGTCTTTTACGAGAGAGTCGTGACAGGCGCATACCAACATGCACTGTCTTTTACTGTCGGACATTCGGCGCTACCACTTCTCGCATAAAAAATCATCGCGCTGAAGTAAACGCCATACGGACGCCATGGTATTTGTCTCTTTTTTCGGGACCACACGCATTTGGGCTGGTCGCGGTTAAGAACAACATGTGTTCTTCTTTTAGCCATTTTGCGCGAGACAAACACGGGTTGAATCCGTTTCAACTAAGCTGCCTCGCAGTTTTGCTTCAGTTAATATGTGTTTTTTGTTTTGAGTTGCTGTTTATTCTCTAGCTGTATAAGGGGCTTTTTGTATACCTTAATAACACCATTATAACTTCAGGGATGGCGGGGAGCTGAAGATAGGGCGGTGGCTGCTGGCTCACAGCTGCCACCACCACACGTACAGCTAGCTCGATAACTTCACTGCAATTAAAAACTGCAAATAGTAACCACTATGCTTTCCTTGGATTCAGTGTTAATCCGTCTCATTGGGTTGTCTCGACCAAAAAAAAATGCGATTCGTTACTTTCATTGTTGTCAAGTGCTGTCACAGCTTAGATGATACCGCGGCACCCCTTTTCTTTCCCGCAGGCGGGGCTCCCGATATTCAAAGAAGTGATTCAAAAAGCGCGCTCTCAACGGTGGTGGTGGTAGTGGTTAGAATGAAGAGGAAAAAGGCACCTAATTTCTGTCTGCCTTCAGGCGACACGGCGCAGTGCCTTATAGGGTTGGGGGGAAGGAGGGATAAAAAGAATAGAAGGAAAATAGACGGAGAAGAAGACAGCCAACGAGAGGAAAAAAGAAGGAGATAGGAAAGTGGGGATCCGGTCGAAGCAGTCCAAGGGCGGGGTGCCACAATGCGAGAGCTGCACGGCGTCAGGAGACCGCGGAGGGCGAACCAGTCGGCGGGAGCTACGCTGAAGTCGGAGATCGCGAGGGCACAACCGTCCAGCTTGAAATCCTGCGAGCGAATCGGCACCAAAGCATCTAAGCTTGAGCCACGGCCAGGCTCCTCCTCCGCTGAGATACAGTTCTAATACACTGTATCTGAGGGGAGACTCCAGAGTAGAGTTTGGCCGTGCTAGAGCGCGCGTGATATTACGACGCCCCACCGCCAGGGGCGCTAGTTTACGATTCTTGGCGGGCGTTTTTAAGTGACGTGGAAGTTGGTTATAATTACCCAGGAGGCTTTAAAACAAATTGCCGGAGTGCGAATAATTGCCCGTGAGTGCCCACAAAACGTTGGTGCCAACCCAAAAGGTGGCAACAGCAGCCGCCATCTTAGTACGGGCATGACGAACTGTCGGCATTTGATGAAAAAAACTTATCTTTTTTTTCTTTTTCGCACGCTCGAACAGTTTACAACTTTTTCGAATCAGATGCTGCTCTGCATCTGTCTGTGTTTCTAACTTTTCTTAATAGATCTAAAATTCTTGCCAAATTTTTATTAGGAATTAAGTCACCAATATTCGACTCGATGTGTTATTTCATCGCGAACAATTAAACTATACAATAAACGTAGCACTTACACTGATCTCTAAATGGGCACCACCATAGAAGAGCATGTTTCCGTGATCTTCGGAAAGCAAAAGCTGGCGTCGCCTTTGCTGGCAAGGCGTTGCTTGCACGAAATTAGACTCAAGCAAGTTCTACATCCTTGTAGATGCTAACGCTAGTGCTAATTATACACCCATTTAAAGGGGGCGCTGACTATGCCCCCGACTTGGCGACCTGTCACGTCATTGTTTAAAGTGCAGGCTACTATGAGCGTGCAAGACGGGAACCAAAGGCAGCTCGTTACGAGAAGCACGTTATCGTTCCATATTGCTTTGAATCCAGTACAAAGCTTGTTTTTGTTCGCACTCGACCAACAGGGGTGTGAGTTATGCTCACAACCCGCCTGTTTCATTTTCCTGTCCTGCTTTCTGCCATTTTGGTACGGGCCAGAATCATCGGTATCGCCAGAACGAGAGCCTCAGAGATCAGGCAGGACTTTCCCGCCAGAAAGATGCGTGCGCCGTGGAATCGCGAAAAAGGGGGCGGATTGCTCGCTGCCCCAGAGATAGAATTACAGTGAGTAAATATCACAGCAACTGAAAGCGGTGCATAGTTCAAACACGGGCAGTTCACGATCTCGGGGTTTCTTATGCGTTCGATTGAGCACTTTGTCTGTTGACAAATACTTAAGCATGTGCTTTCTTCTCGTAATGTACAAATCACACAATGCAAAATTAATAGGCAGCAATACTCATGAGGCACAACGTAAACCAAAAATGTTTTAACATTTTTTTATAAACTTAAGGACATAGATTAGATTTAAAGGGGCACTAACAGCCAAGATTTTTTACGTATTAATAAAGATTTCACAATCCCAGAAAAGCCCCTCACCGTGATACGACGCTTAGCAAGCGAGAAAATGCACGGAAAGAAAATGTAAAGGGATAAGAAAATGTTGTAGAGATACTGTATATGCTACCTTTACAGTAACTCTAATAAAATGCATGTGGAGACGCTACCTTTGCGATTCCCGCACCAAGCACCGTGACGTCGTAGATTTTGAAGGCATCTACTGGGTCCTACATAGCTTTTGATAAATGAAGTACATGGCCATCACTGTGTGCCATTATCTCAGCATACAAAGTTTCAGAAGATTTCATCACGCGAATCTAGCGAAAATACCAATAACACATATCGAAATTTTCGACGTCACGCGCGGACTTTATCGGCGCGAATTTAAAAATAAAACTTCAACCTTGGCTTTTCTCTGCTAATAATAAACCTATGAAATTTAAAAATAAAATTTTCAACCTTGATTTCCTCCGCTAATAATAAACCTATGATAACAAAACGTGTGGCAATAGAGTTCTTAGAGTGCGTTTTGTCAATTTCAAACAAATCCTTGTTTCTCTTCAAGAGCTTCATACATTGATTCCCTCGAAAGGTCGGTCTGACACAGTACACGATTCCACGTATGTGACACAAGAACAGTCCGTTATGGGACTCTTGACAAAACACCAAATTACATGCAAAGCAGTAATAAATTTCAACTGCGTGGTTGACTTACCACCTCCGATAAAGCCTAGCAGAGAAAGTTAAGCAAGAAAAGTCACTGAGACAAAGTTCGATTATACATGTCAGCCTTTTTATTGTTCCACAACACACATTTTTTCTAGTGTTCGTTTGTAACTTCTGAACACGATTTGTTTTTGAATAACATACAAAAATAATGGGAAGTCGCAACGCTTAAATGTTAGTTCTCTTGAACACACAGAAAAAGATAGTACACCGAAACACCACTTTCAGGTGGCATGGTGCTCACTTTTGCAAGTAGGAGCAGATGCACACTGGACTTCTATGTACAAAATATTTAGGAAGAGGGGGGGGGGATTATGGGGTCAAGCCAAACACAGCACTGTAAAAACGAATTTCGCAGGCCGCATACAGCAACAACAACCAACACCTCTAGGCCATTCAGAAGGCCACCGAGGCCGCAAATAAGGATGAGTTGGCAACTATGATACGATGAATGTACATGGTCTTTCTTCAGTGAGATCGACTGTGGTGATGCCCGTTCACCGTCGCTCGCGATATCGGCGCTCGACACGGCTTGGCGGGGGTCGCGCTGTTCTCCTGATGAAGTCGTCGACCGTCATTTCGTACTGTGAATGAACGAGAACAGAACAGTAAAAATGGTTGTAAGCCTTTCGGTCGCATTAGTACCTCTGTCATGCCCACATGCCTGACTGTTCAAGTCTGTGAGCGCTATTAACTACTGGTTGTGAGAAGACTTGTGCCAACATGACCTTTGCATTGACACCTTTTCATGAAGTGTGACACACCAACAGCCAGCCTTGAAAACAGGCACAAAAGAAAATGGGAGAGGGGGGCAAGAAAGAAGCATACACCTTAAAGGAGGAGTAAAATTTCAAACCTTGCTTTCCTGTTGCAACTAACAACAAACAGCCCACTTATCGAAACCGAAAATGCTGTGTGCTCAAGAGTGATGGTTACTTATTTGGAGGCGTATTAGAGCACCCAGTTGCAAAATCAGAGAGAGTGTGATCCAGGTGTGGATATTTTGTAAACAAGCTGGCCATGTGAGAACGCAAGAAAGTGACATACTTTCCATGCACTCCACACGAGCATAGCTGTAAATGCAAACTTTAGACATGTATGTTTGAAGGTTGCTTACATTAAGACCAAGTTGAGTTTGACGTTTCAAGGTACTCAGTTTCACATGCAGTTGCGTAATAAACACTTTAAAATTGATCTGAAACACATTCTCGGCTACATTAGCTGTTCATATCTGGTCACAATTTAACGTGCCTTCGATATCATGCAAATCTGCGTGTCCACACAAATCAATCTCGCAGATTTAACGCGCCTTCATAATTTTGTCAGAACTCCTTAAAAATAGTACAAGGAAGTGCAATAATCTTACGAAAGCCCTGTCATCACGCAAGGCTGCCAAACCGGCACCTAATAAGTTCACCAGAGTGCCAGACAAACATGAATTTTCGTACCACTAAGAAATTGCGGAAAGGTGTCATTCGACGTACCGATCGCTTCTCTGGCTGCCTTGAGGGTCGTGACGGCACACCGTGATTGTACTCGACGTGATGGAGGCTTCGCTCATAGTGGTAGGACATGGCATCCATGGGGAAAGGTGGCTGCAAAAACCAGAAATACGAGGTCCAGTTGACCGCTATTGAAATGGAAGCATACACGTTCTGTTGAGTTGAGGAAAAAGCAGCTCATTGGTAATATTTCATGACCACAATAATGCCAGTGATGTGCATGCCACTGCGTGAATAAAATTTTTTAAAATATTTTATGGCATCATGCAAAGTACAGTCGACTCTTGTTAATTCAAACTCGAAGGGACCTCTGAATTTCGTTTGAATTATCAGAAGTTTTCAGATATATGACTGTGGGTGAGCTGACACCTTACTTTATGATTAGGCATTGATCTTATCAGATTTAAAAATTTTTACAGCGTTTTAAAACACTAACTGCACACTATGAACAGAAAGCAAAGGTGTAAGAGCCACAAGTTTATCGGCCATTTACTTCTGATCAGACCTTTTAAAGAAATCGTAAATTGCCAACCGATTCCTTGCTATATGTGCCTTCAACACAAAGCTTTCTATACCAGTTGAGAAGCATCACGATTTACCAAGCTTGTGCTTCGTTTCAAACATTTGTTTACTAGCAAAGCCTTCTCCCTTGAAAGCCTAAGGCGCACATTTTTGCATTTTTAGACTGTTAGGATCATATAAGCACGCAAGTTTTAAAACAGTAGTGGGAAAGCCGCAGATATTTTTTTGTATGAAACCTCAAAAAGAATGAATTAACCGAATAATAAGAATTCAACAGTACAAGTGGCAGCACTACCAAATCTCTAAATAATTCAGTACATCAGGCCCCATGACCTTGCGCTTGAGTGACTGAGGGAACGATCTAGATTATAGAAGCAGTGTTAAGCAAGGAGTGAGTGTATTTACTATGCGTAACAGTACCAAACGTTACATTCTATTAAAAAATTTCTCACTGATACTAATTAATAATATATGGCAAATTAAAACGCTCATGCATCAAAACTTGACCTTTCGAACAAAATCGTCTTTCTAGCAACCATCCAAGTTCAGTAACATAACATTTCTGTGAAAGCTCTTTAAAAAAAATTCACTCACTGCACGGAGCAATGCTCGCTGTATTCCTTTTAAAGAAATAACGTGAGAAATTCTGTACAAGCAGGGCTTCGCATAACTGCATTGGCCAATTGCTAATGGCATTTACAAAAAAAGGGTCTTGTTCATGAATACGAGCCTTCACCTTAAAAAAAAAAGTATGCCAGCACAGCTTTAACACATTTATGTAGTTACACCTGCAAGATCATTAACAGAAGCAACAGCAGTTACTCTGCTCTCTAGGAATGCCAGGCGGCCTGCTTACAACAATTTCGTTCTAGCATAGGTGTTCTGTCATTCCAAATGTCAGCATTAAATGATGTAAAGAAAGTCATACCGGTGGCCCATATGGCATCGGTGGCAAGGGTGGCCTCTGATGGTGGTGGTACTCCCTGAGGTAGTCTTGGTAGGCCTAGTGGTTCAAAACAAAAGGCAGGGGAACATGATCACGACAAAAGATTAGAACTTTCGCCTAATGTTCAAGAAAAAACGTACGTCTAAAGGACAATATAACACACGACGCTTCACATTGTATGAACTGCACATAATGCCACAGTAGGCGGAGAACTTGCATCAGTGCTGAATAGTGCATTGAGTTAGTGCACTGGCATCAATTCTCCCAAGCGACTAATGAGCTTTCATGAGATACGCCGAGCCTCATGTGCCATCTTGTGTGACTGCACAAAGTAGGCCTCGTTCTTCATGTTAGTTCTTTTCCTGTGCTTCGATCCCCTTCTTAATCTAAGGCATGCAAATCAATCGAAATTTATAGGAAAATGAACCTTATCTATGTCTGTTTTCATTATTTGTCTCATAATTATGAAGTTATTTTTGGTAAACAACAGTTTGCTTACTTAGAAAAATTAAAGATGGATAATTTCACATTGCAAACAACTTAAGCTTAGTCTACACAGTATGTGTGACCTATCTTCGGAACTATTGGAACTACCAAAATTTAAGGGGGGACATGGCAATGAGAATTGTAAATTTGGTGAAAATGCTGTTTTTCAATAAATTTTTTTTCTTCAATCCTGAGACCATTTTTATATAATAGTGTGATTTTAGACCATAATAAGTAGTAGAAGTTGAGAAACAACTATTTTACAGATGGGCTTTAGTCAAAAGCTATGTGAAAATCGGGCATAGCAAAACGCAAGTTTGCAGCTTTCCCTTCGCAAAGTGCCACCATATTGGCATCATCATAAAGAGGACAGATTGGAGCTTAAGATAGCCTCAAAGATGCATTTCTCCGATGAAAAATAAAGCCAGCTTCCTTCCAAATTCCGTTTTATCAGCTTCTAGCTCCGATTTCTTTGAGCTCCATTTTCTCAGGTTTCATTTTTTGAGCAGTTGCTGTCGGTCATCCCTGTGCCATTTCACAACAAATTAAGCTACAGCCATTCCGTTTCCTGCACTAGAATTCTGAGACATTGGTGAGCGCCATAAAGCTGTCCATACCTGTGTGCACATCATACAGACTTCTGTATTAATTGGCTTTTTGTAAAAATTGTTGGTAAGACAATATGCTCAGGACATTTGAGAAAAAAAATTTTGTGTGCTTACTTCAATATTAAAAATAAACCAATAGCATTACGGCACAAAATGGACCCTTGTAAATATTCTTATGAAAAAACGTTGACAAACTTGTGCCTAATTAGCTAATAAATTTTAGGGTGAGGAGAGTCTATCAAGTGTTGTAACTCAAAAGTTATACTAGATAGCTTAAAACCAACTTCAGTTATGATATCAGCACAACAAATGACATCTGCATGCTGAATTTCATCCCTTTAGCTTCATAAATAACAAAGATAACTTTCATTGCCATGTCCCCCCTTAAAAATCGGTGAAGTGTCAGGTTACATTTTTTACACAGCACACCTTAACGCTAAAACTTGAAAACCTCTGTTACGTGCTTAGAAACTGCAGCTCAGAACTTTGATATAAGCAATAGGCAAGATAATAACCACCACAAAAAGAAAAAAAATGGAGAAGAAGAAGAAGGCATGCCAAGCATACTTGCAAGTGTATCTCCCAGAAAGACTTCTACACATGCAAAGAAAAATATCAAGGAAGCAAAAAAACAGTGAAAATAACGAATGAAAACAGACACTACAAGTGACATGACATACAACAGAGAGGACACAACTCCGTGCACCATGTTTTGGCAGAATGCCCAGTAAAATCTAGTCTGACTCTCTAACACAGTAGTGACAGCGTATACCACAAAGCATTTCCACAGGAATCATTTAAGGGAAGGGGGGGGGTATACCACAAAGAATTTCCACAGGAACCATTAAACGGGAGGGGGGGGGGGGGGGGGTACACCACAAAGAATTTCCACAGGAATCATTTAAGGGGGGACAGATAGCACAGACAGGTGTGCAACTACTACTGCCCATCGTTCCGTTATTTTTTTTTTAAAGCAAGGTTTACAAAATTTTGCAAGTTGCTTGAATGGGGATTTTACTGCATGTTTTGTGAATTTGGCGAGTGAAGGCGAAGCCATTCTAAAAACAATTAAAAATACAGTAGAACTTCGATTATACGTCACCCGGTTTCGCGACAACCTGCATTTTACGACGAATCAGTTTGGTCCCGGCAAAATCCCCATAGAAACAATGTATTTTTTAAAAACCTTGGTTATACGACGCAGTTATACACTGACCCCGCATCTTACGACTTTCAGATTCCGTCGGAAAGAAAAAAACACCTTTACTAGAATCACACGTCGACCAAATATTCCCGAGTGCAAAATATGAGCATTCATACCCCAAGGAGGACTGCAGGAAAAGTAGTCATCTTCATCGAATGGAAAATTTGTTCTCCCAGAAGTGCATACGTATGTGCACTTCTACATACGCCTCAATCGCATGCATACGTATCCGGGATCGTTACCTAGTCGAGCTCTATCCACATATCGTAGGTTCAGCCGACCAAAAAGCTGATATTTTCACATTTTCGGTTTGTCGAAACATTTCCTGGTCGACACACGGCCAATCTCCTGCTTCTGCCACACTCACAGTCACTGGTTTGCGCACGCATAAGGGCACAACGCAGCTGCTTGCGCCATGCAAAATTACTTTCACTTAACGTCAGCGTTTGTAACAACAGCGGGACACTGCTAGTTGCACTTCACGAGGCAACAAATTACAACGCGCACTAACGCATCGTACATCAACTCCGTAATAAACTCATTGTCCCTTGCCATTATGCGATAGTGATGACACTGCATCTGACTCTTCTGATGGGAGGCTCACGGCAACATGGTTTCATTTCCACGTGCAGGCAATTTACGGACTCTATTTATCGGTAGAAAGATGTGCGTTGGATTTGATTGTTGTAAAGGATGAGAATAAAGATTCGCTCAGACCTCCTTCAACTAATTATTTTGCCATTAGCTATCACTGGCAACAATAGTTTAATCTAGCCTCATTGCAGAGGCAGAAGGTCGTGCCATGGGTATATTCAGGCAGTCTGTACCCGTTTTTCAGGCAAGGATGAGTGTCGCGGTCTATAATCTTAGGTTTTCGATTATATGACGCCCAGGTTCTGCGACGGTTTTGCGTGGTCCCCTAAAAGTTGTATAATCGAGGTTCCACTGTAAATTATTTGACTGTTTTTATTTGTGAAGGAACATTTGTCAAAAGATTTTGCATGTAAAATGGTGAAATCTCAGCTGGTTATAACGTGTGCCCAGGGTATCCTTCATAACCAAAACAATAACTGTAGGCACGACCATTCTATAAATGACCAAAGATACAACTGTCTTACGACTAGAATTTTAGGCCTTTTCGTGAAACTTTCACTTTCATGAAAAATACAATTCTGGCGGACGCACTATTTTTTTTGCTTCAAAAAGGGCACATCTTATTCAGAAAGAAGCCACAGAATTTTGCATTCGATAGCTTCTGCAGTTAAAGAGAAAATGTTCGTTTTTGTAACAACGTAGTTCTAGAAAACAACTCCAATTAAAAGGTCGAGTTGCCGTAGTGCAGTCACAGGATCAGGCGCATTCGGGATCACTTTTAGATGCTTCCCACTGAGCTCCCCACTTCGTGGAAGCACCTGTCAGTACTTCTGGAATATTGTGCCATGAAAATTGAAAAATCGCACTTTCAGTAGTCTTTGGCCTCCATCCCCCCTTAAGTGAAATACTGTGCGACTTGCCTTAATACATCTATCAATACCATGTTAATAGGGCTTGCAAAGCAGGCACAAAAGTGCTGAAAGCAACCAACTAAACCAACAAGCCATTCTTCATCTATCAATACCTCTCACACTTGGCCTCAATTATTAATTCACCTCCTTACAAGTTGAGCTTTTCAGGGGCCTCTGTTTGGCTTCCGACAGAGTCAATGTGTTGAAGCTACCAGTGACAGAACAAATGCTCAATTATACATTATGACATTAAGCGCGACTGCGAAAATAGCAACAGCGCGAAGCCCGGTGAACTGGAATGCTTACCTTGGCAGCAAGAACAGTAATTCTAATTAAAGCACCCCTCAAACAATTTTACCCATAAAATGGGAGCAACAAAGCGTATATCTTTCTAAGCAAAAGCGGTCATATGAAAAATTTGCTTTTGGTAGAAACTAGCAACAATGCCAGTCCTTTTTCTTAGCCTAGTTTCCCAGTGGCAGACATTACATCTAGAATAAATAAGTATGCACAAATCAGTAACTACATTTATGACTGATTACAGCACACCTTACTTCAAAATTCAAGCGAGAGAGATAGCAAGAATATTCACTTCCAACTTGAAACAAGTTCTAAGCATAGTATCAGTTTCCGCAGACTTGCAATAAAAATTACACTGCTGTTCCAATCACTCAACGCATGCGTGTAGAATTACACTGAACAAGGCAACAACTTTTTAGTTCTACTTCGAATGATCTATCCGTAGCACCCACACAAACAAAATTCGTTCAGAGCACGTACCCCGTTCATAGAAGGCTGATCTCTCCTGGCTTGGTATCGGTCCATTGGTACCCTGTAAGAAAGTTTTGCACCCAATTAAATCAGTAATTGAATACACATCCCAAGACACATCACGCCAACATGGAAAGCCAGAATAAAGCATTCATAAACTCATTTGCTGTCATTTGCTGAGAGATCAAGTGAAGTCACCAACTGGTGGAACAAGATGAACTATGACAGTCTGGTTGACGCGACATGTCGTCTGCTAAACTGTTAAAACCTTCGAAAGCATGGAGGCTCTGCCTACAGAAACAACGCCAGCTATACACCGAGCAGTGCTGCTGCTCTAAATGGGAGCAATGTCCACTGCACGTCTCCTTTCGTCACAACACTGCTGCTCCCACTTCCACACATGTGAAAAGTTCTCATATTACATCTGTGGTGCGTCACAATGCTACCGCCAACCAGCAAAATGCTGCGATGCCCTCGTTGTTAAATACCCTTGAACCAATCACTAACTACTTAGCCATCGGAGAACCTTGTATTAAGAGCAGAAGGCCCAAAGGCTTTCTACCTTTCTTGGGATGCGGGGGGATGTCAAAAACATGTATTACATGGGTTCAAATAAAAGGTTTGACTAGGCACTGCAAGGCTTGGCTATGTGAAGAGTAGAACCACATTGTCTGGCGAAGTGTCATTGTGGAAATGTGAAGTGAACGATTAGCATCTTCTTAATTATCGCGGTATTAATTAAAAGCATCATAGCATCATAATTAGCAATATCCTTCTAGCATATCTTTAATTAGAAAGGTTTTAATGATTAACATTAGATAGCAAGATCTTAATATTGCAAAAACCGAAGATGATAAGGAAGACTAAGGGAAAAAGCCACCGCTGAGCAATACACTAGAAGGTAGAGGCCAACTATGATGGTATTTTGTCCTCTCTGCACAACCCAACCTCTAACTTAAACAGCTCCGCTGTTAAAATTGCAGTTGTCGGGTTATTTTGGTGCTCCCCCAGAAAGCAGAATTTTTGCTTTTCAGCAGTGTAGCCCATGGGAACAAACTAACTTACTGTAATCACACGCATCTAATCAAGTACTAGTTCTTAATTATTTATCACCAGCTTCTGCTTCAATGAGGGCCTGCTCTTAGGGGCCACGCCACCACAGTGCTTCGGGCTGAACAAGTAACAAATCTGGCGACAACCACCTTCACCAGCAGAGTCTGTCCCTCCCCAATGATGCATAGCTCGGCCGCGTGAGCGTCATTGCAGCGCGGTCATCGAGTGCCCAGCCTTAAGCTTGGGCTCCCATCACCGCCATTTTACGCGTTTATGCACAGGACTGGCAGTGTCAACATACAATGCTTTTTGATGATGTAAGCTGTTTCCCTCTGCAATGTAGAGTGAGCTATAGTCTTAGTATTGTACCAAGATCGGCAACTGCACGTGCCCCATGTGCAATGTGCACTTGTTTCAGGTTTGTAGCTGCGATATGTTTCAAGCAGATTATGAAATGCGTCTGGCACCCTCTTAAACTAGTCGCTGCAACACCTGATCGGGACACTTTAGAGGTCTTTTGTTGAGGTGCTTTCCGCACCTTTGAGATGTCACAAATGTAAACACAGATAAACATCAAGTACCCGAAGCAAAACTGTCTTGCTTTTCTTTTACACACACTGCCACAGCTAACTAGGGCTAACTAGGGTACACCTAATTAGTGGGAGCAGCTGTGCTTTGTTAGCCACTGCCTTGTGCAATGATGTTTTTGGTTAGCAATGATCACCGTAAAAATAAAAGTTACCTATATTGCTTATTGTATAATTTTCTTAGCCAGCACGCCAAACTGATTATAATGATTAAATTTATACTAGTTTAAAGGCCTGTACGATGCATAAATTCTGCCCACTTACATGTGTCGTATGTGACAGAAAACAGCAACTGCCTAAAGTTATACACAATACACCATGCCCTACACACGTGCCTGATGACCTAAAAGCTTGTACGCACTGAATATCCACACACACAGTATTTAATAAAAGATAAAGACCAGATACTAACTCATGATCAGGACAATACCTCCCACGACGAACCATGCGGTAACCTAAATGAGTGGAGGAGAATGCAAAGCAACAGCAACATGCTGCAAATGGTTAATCTCTCAGTGAAGCACACAAAAGGCCAGAATATATTAACTCTATTCTAGCGCAGGCGCTCACAACACACTCGAGATTCACTCCTAAACACAAGCAACGAAGATGAAATACAAGGACCTTAGAGAAAATAAGTTTTAATAACTTTTCGACTCGGTGACTAAACAACTCGTTAATTAGAATTTCACGGGAATGGCAAAAGATTAATTGAATGTTGAAGCTGAATTATTATTTTGGGCAAAGGTGATGGCCTGGTTTCACTGAATGGTAGCATATTGGCATAATAGCAGCATACAAAACATGGAGCATTACTGAAAGGTATTCCTAAGGAAAATAGTTCACTTTTGGAAGAAATCGCTCATTCTCACAGTATGACATCAGGTCTATTCCTGCTGTTCATCCCTTCCTAGAAGACAACCCTCAGCACACAAACTCACATTTCAAGAAGTTGAAGCAAATGAAATTTCAGACTTATAGAACAGTGCGTAGCCCTAATTTGGGAAGCTCTGACTCTAGCTTACATGAGCAAATCTGCTCGCATCCTGAAAATGTACAGATATACATTACCATCATCCGAACTTTCCCTACGGTGTCTTGGTCGCGGCGAATGTGAACCATGGCTATTTCTGGACCGGCGACTATGCACTCTGGAAAAACGGCGCAAAAAAGCAAAGGCAGGTTAAACATGTACACAAGCACGATCGCCGATCACATAAGACCGTCACATTTATGCCAAAAATGCACGGCGATTCTGCCAACACTACCGACAATAAAATACGTCCTACGTGCGTCGCACTGCTACAACCAGCCGCTCATGACGTTGCACCTGCAAAAGAGGGCAAAGATCACAACAGCCAAGAGGCAGGAAAAAAAAAAAAAGAAACTAAACCTTCTTTCTACACGAGTTCCAATAGCTCTACTACTCTCCGCGACACACCAGCTTCAAGTGTACAGCAGCTTTTGACACCCTTAGTATAGTCTTTAATAAAAATGTCTAGCCTTGATACATTACAGAGTGCCCTTACAATTACATCCCAGTACGTAAATTCGAACCATTTCAGACTGAAGTAGTGTTATCCTTGTGTTTTGCTATGCCTCTAAAACTATATATATATATATCCCAACACTGAGGTTCAAATGAAAGCAATTTCCCTGCGGTATCTGACATAGAAGTGACATTACTGCTTGCAAACTTTTACACATAAAGTATCATGCTATGCGCAACTAAAATTCTGTAGTAAGTAAACTACTCGCTAGAAAAATTTACTGGGCAAATTTGTTCACACAGAAAAAAAGAATGAGAAATAATATGGTATCCAGAAGGCAAGGCATAGGAACCATTGCGTGCCCCTTTTTCCAGAATTGTAATTATAAACCCAACAGCGCAACTAATGAAGCAAAAAAAAAAAAACAAGAGGTGCCAATAATGGATCAAGGTAGAAAGCACGCACCTACCGCAAAAGCGATCTGGACAACGTCCACACACGTTTGAGGTCTCACTCGCGCACAGATCGCAACTGAGTGTCCCATAGTGGGCAGTGTAGGCTAAACAGTTCCAGCACAGGGCAACACGACAAACAAATTTTTTCTTTTTTTCCCAGCCAGTTGCTGGTTTGAAACAGGGGAAGGGTCTGTCAGCTCGGTGAGACCCCAACCTTCAGAGAGATAAAGTCCACGCGCACAACTGCCCTCCCTTCCGCACGTAGTACACCACGACACAAATTTCTTCCAAGCTCACTAGCCGCAACTTCTCTAGCTATGGTCCACCACTCCTACAGCCAAAACCCCCATCCCACGAGCTCTCTCGTCACATGCCAGACAGTTCTCTTAATCACAAACATCCTCTTTAAGATACGCGTTCACTGGTACGAACGGGGAGAGCTCGGAGAGCCCACGATAAGACGCTCTCCCTGGCAGAATCCTCGCACGCTGGTGGCGGCGAAACACACCATGCCGCAAGTCCGCAGAGAACCGAGCACCTTCCACCTCTCTCCAGGCAAACACGCTGTAGCGCAGTCCATGCAACAACCCACCACCCATCCTCCCTAGCGCACGCACCGCTCTTCTTTTTTTCCCGCCTTCCCATCACACTTCCCACGGCAAAAACAAAAAACTTCCATCATCTCCGGAGAAGACAGCACAAGCCGTTGCATAATAGTCCCAGCAGCTGGGCAAGAAGTGGAGCACTTCCCTCACACTGCCCACACAGTCCAGGATAGGAGGCGCCGTGGCAACTCTCCGGGTAATGGTGAAAAAAGAAAAACAGGGCAAGTGATGAGCATCGTACAGGCAGTTACGATCTTAAGCGCTGCATTTGTTTTGTTACGAGCACTTAAAACGTCTAAGCCTCAAGAAGGCCACCACTAAGCGAAGCCTTAGCTGATTCTCACAAGCTTTGTCTTCGGTAACGAACCAACAGTATAAAATGGTTCTAATTATCAACAGAGATCGACGTCTGCCTTTGTGGCGAAAATTTGTCCTTTTCAGAAGATTAACCTTGTGGTTCTTAACTACGATAACTGCCAAGCCCACGAATTACAGGTTCCCAAATGAAAGCTATCTCCTCGGTCTTCGTTCCTACAAACACTGCAAACAGCATTTCTAAACTACCATCATCCTGCCTGCAAGATAAGCTTGCGCAGCCCAAATTGGCTTTTGGCCAGACTTGAAAGAGATTCGCAGAAATGGCTTCTTGCTGTTGAAGGGCTATTGTCGCTTGCCAGCGCAATTTCTCGAATGGCCAATATCGCCAGCTATCCATGCTTCTTTCAGTGAACACATTCGAAACTAGAGGGGGGCCTCGCAACTTGCTCAGCCACCCTCGAGAGTCCCGCGGCAGCACGGGTGGTGCACAGTCCAGCACAGCCACAGCAACAAGCGTCCAGGTGTCATGTCTAACCTCGCCAGACGCAAACGAGCTTCATCCCTTCCACTGGTGCGAGCGTGGCGATGACGGTGGCCACAGGGGGATGCGGAACGACGTGATGGGGTGCGGCGGCGGTGCGTCGAGCTTCGCCGCGACGTGCGACTGCGGCGGTGCAGGATGCTGCGCAGGTCGATGTTTTCATCCACGGGAAACAGCTGGCACAGCTCTTCAGCCACGCGGGGCTCAATTTCCTGTTGCAAGTGCAAGCAGACAACAAAGAATTAATAACATAACTACTGAGGTGCTACATCCCAAAACTACAGCATGATCGTTAGAGACAACATGGTGTAGGCCTCCGAAAACTTCATTCAAGCAGCTGGGGTTCTCTAAGGGGGGAGGTGGCGTTGAAAAAACTTTATTTGTTGACCTACAGCAATGAAATTTGGCATGCATACTCATAAGTGTCTCGAATAGAGAAATATGCAGTTTCATCATGATACCTTGACTAGTTCTCAAGTTACATAATGCTACATAGTCCAATTACATGGTCTGCTTGTAGAAAGCCTAGCGCTGTAACAAAACGTGCCAGGGAGCTGCGAATAATGTTGATCTTTACTCAAAAGAAATCTACAGGGTATGACACTCTCAGAATTCTTTAATAAGTTCTTTTTATAGAGATCATCATGGCTGCCGGCACACGTCAGAAACAGTGGCACGGACAAATCATCGTCTAGAAAAAAAAAAACAGGGCCATAAAACATAAATTGAAGATACCTGTACCCACAAGCAGTGTTCAGGGATTCAGGGGAAAAAAACAATCAAAATCGGTCCAGTCATTCCCGTGCTACTCTTTCCACGAGCAATGCACAATGTCCAAAACACACTTTGAGAAAAAATGAACTTTTTTCGATGAACTTTTTTTTTCTCGTTGGATATTGATGAAAATTGGCACAGACACTAAGAATGACGTCACAGTGCTTCCATAAAATTTTTGAAGCGATACCACAAATACTTTACGAGAGACAAATTATTTCTTCATTGAACCATGTGGAGGGGCTGAGCATAATGTCAAAAAAACAGTATTGAGAAAGCTGCGTTTAAAGTTTCAACTTTTTTTTTACGTCTCTAAGACACCTAAAAATTGTGATCTCAGGTTTGCCTTGTGATATTTGACTTCTTTTCATGATTTACTCCTTTTCATGATTTACTAAGAACAAGTATCAATTTCAAACCAAGTTCTTTAAATGAAGGAATGGTGTGATACGTATGACAGAAAAGATTGTAATTGAATAAAACCATATACTGAAATTATTACACATATTTTTAGTGCTGAAGTTGTAATTAGCATAATTAAGTACTTTATTACAAATATTCACTGAACTTTTCCTTATTTGGAGAGAGATTTATTGCATCAGAAAAATGGATCACACCATGACGGCCCTTCTTTCTAAATAACAAGGTTATGGGCAGAAGACTGGTGGCACGGGAATTTCTAGCAGTATAATTAATGACATGAAACGAGCATATAAAAATTCGTGCCCCTGATTCACACATGCTCTTTCGCCACTCTAGCCGGGAAACGCATTATCATGCAGCCGGTCGTGCAAACTCTAATCTACAGCAATTCATTAACCTCGGAACATTCATAGACGTTCGTGGCGATATCAAGCACGGCTCCAAGCACGTCTGAATCGCATCACAAAAGCTTATTGACAGCACTCCATATGACCATGGGGTGCGCGGCCGCGTGGACAGTGCAGCCGGCACGTAATGCACTTGCCGGCGGCGTTCGATGACGATGCGCGAAATGCGTAACTACGATGCCAGAAAATCGGCGCGCACTGCGCTTGGCATCGCATTTTTGAATGACGACGCGCGAAACTGCTAGCCGCTGTTCCGAGCAATCCTTGGCAGTGAACGGGGGGGGGGGGGGGGGGGGGACGAGCTTGACTGTGTTGTCTGCTGCCGATGCGTAAAATGCCGGTACGTGATTAAGAGGAGCTAGCGAGTGATGTGCTACATTCCTTGCGAAGAAGCACGTCGCCAAGAGTGCGCTTGCGCATCGTTCCTGCCCGAAGTCTCGCTGTCAGCGGAGTTATGGCTAAAGCCGACTCCGATGACGCGCCGCACTCGTAGACAGCGCGCCCGCTCGTGCATCCGGTGCGCCCACTCGTAGTAATCAGATCATGCCGCCGCTTACAGCTTCGTTGCTTGCAAAGAAGCACGTCGCCACGAATGCGCCAGTACGTCGTTCCTGCCCGCAGTCTCGCTGTCGGCGAAGTTAGGGCTAAAGACGACTCCGATGACGCGCGGCGCTCGTAGATCGCCCGCCCGCTCATAGTAACCTGATCGCGCATCCGCTTACTGCTCGTAACTAAAGCGTAATTATATCTTAAGTGATCATCAAGCCGTGAACACGTCACGAACTAGCGATTTTCGAGAGCCATGTCCTCGCGACGCACAAGCAGCAGACGGCGATCTCCCGGAGCAAGCATCAGGCCAATGGCGAGGCGAGCTGAGGCAACATGGCGGCCACGGCCAATGAAGGGCCTCAAAATGACCTTCAAACATTTGCTTTTTGTGCACTTGTTGTTAAAGGGAGGAGCCAGCTGAGGCTCCTCCCTTTAACACACGGAGAAATGCTCTTTCACACACGGAGAAATGCTCTAAACACGGAGAAATGCTCTTTCTGATGAGCCCAAGAAGCCGGCTCCCGGCCCAAGCATCGCGAAGCTACAATTTTTTGAAGATCGCTGTTTTCTCGCCATTTCCAGAAAAAGTTTTGCAACCTAGGTGGGTGAAACGAATTTTCCGAAGCACTTCTGCGCGGTTTTCGGTGCAGATATTTTGGAACCAGATAGAAAAAGGGTTCCAGAAACTGAAAACTTGAGTTTCAAAAAATCAATTTTTTTGCCATTTTTCTCGATCCCAAAGCCGCATCCCCCCTTAAATTCAAACCCATATCTAAACACACAGGCCTTCAAAATTTCACCACCATCGATATGTGGATGTGGCAGATGGGATTCGATCCCCAACCTACGGGTCAGCAGCCAAGCCCCATAAGGACTGACCACCGCGGCGGTTGAAGAATTGGCTTAGTGCACATTGTCATGCCGGTGAGGAATATAGAAGAGCAAGAGGATTGAGAGCCAATTTTTATGGTACTTACTTTTTTTAGTGCAACAGAAAGCTTACTGGTTCGAGCATGGAATGGTAATACGTACAACACCATGAAGTTTTTGATTGATAGATATGTGGGGTTTAACGTCCCAAAACCACTATATGATTATGAGAGACGCCGTAGTGGAGGGCTCCGGAAATTTTGACCACCTGGGGTTCTTTAACGTGCACCCAAATCTGAGCACACGGGCCTACGACATTTCCGCCTCCATCGGAAATGCAGCCGCCGCAGCCGCGATTCGAACCCGCGCCCTGCGGGTCAGCAGCCGAGTACCTTAGCCACTAGACCACCGCGGCGGGGCACCATGAAGTTTTTGTAATCAGAATTTTTCTATTAGTGGCGAGTATGAGGTCCTATATGCAATGTGACAATGAATACTGCAAACAATGAACGCGAGAGCAGTTCATGGACGAGCACGGTGGTTTACCGCACAAGCACCGCAGCTCGACATGGTTCGCTGGAGGCCACGAACGCTGCGTGACTTCTTACCACACAGCTCGGTTTACCTAGTAGGCAGTGCAGTATTGAGCACAGCTGGACAAAAACATACTCTTGAGACCAATATTGCACGTGACAGCATCGGACGCCGAAAATGACGAAAATAAACTACAGTCGAAACCCGCAATAACGAAACCCCATGAGTACGAAATATTTCCGGATCTCCGGCGACAGTTCATAGAAGCCCATGTATTACGTATCTCGCTGCAACAAAATGTTTTTGGACAGCGATCCCGCATTAACGAATTTTCCACCACGGTACTTCGCGATGGCGGGGCCGGGAGCCGGCTTCTTGGGCTCATCAGAAAAAGCATTTCCCCGTGCTTAACTTTCCCGCCTCAGCTGGCTCCTCCCTTTAAAAACAAGCGCACAAAAAGCAAATATTTGAAGGTCGTTTCGAGGCCCTTGATTGGCTGTGGCCGCCATGTTGCCTCAGCTCGCCTCGCCATTGGCCCGATGCTTGCTCCAGGAGATCGTCGTCTGCTGCTTGTGCGTCGCGAGGACATGGCTCTCGAAAATTGCTACTTCGTTATGTGTTCACTGCTCGATCATCACTTAAGATATAATTACGCTTTAGTTAGGAGCAGTAGGCGGATGCGCGATCAGGTTACTACGAGCGCAGCGCATCATCGGAGTCGTCTTTAGCCCTCACTCCGCCGACAGCAAGACTGCGGGCAGGAACGACGCGCTAGCGCACTCGTGGCGACGTCCTTCGTCGCAAGCAACGAAGCTGTAAGCGGCAGCACGGTCAGATTACTACGAGTGGATGACCGGATGCACGATCAGATTACTACGAGCGGGCGCGCGGTCTACGAGCGCGGCGCATCATCGCAGTCGGCCTTAGCCCTAACTTCGCTGACAGCGAGACTGCAGGCAGGAACGACGCGCTAGCGCATCCGAAACAACCCGCGGGTTGTTTTGGATGCGCAGGACACCCTTCGCTCCTTTGGCGCACACGATGATGATGTAGCAATAGACCACTTTTTCCAGTGCGAAGGCAGAGCTTTGAAGTTGTTGCATGGCAAGGGTCGGCAAAGTACCGTAATTACTCGAATCTAACGCGCACCTTTTTTCCGGTTAAGCGAGTTCATAAATCGCATGCGCGTTAGAATCGAGTACGAACGAAAAAATTACGGTAAATCTATTGCCATCGGCAAATCCAAAATGGCCGCCCCCTATGTGCGTCGGGCATGGCGCGTTGGCCATTTCTGCCTATGTGTTTCCCATGTGCGGCACTTCGTACGTGTGCTGAGGAGTTCGTCATCTAGTAGTGCATTAGCATCGACGGCGTGGAAGGGCCGACTCCAAAAACTCGAGTGCACCATGATGCCGCTTTTAAAAGAAAAGTCATCGCGTTGTGCCGAAACGGACGGAAATCGGGCCGCATCGCGGTCGTTCGGAGTTCCCGAAACGTGCGTGCGGGATTGGCGGAAACAAAAGCAGAAGATTGTCGACAGCAAACATTCACGCAAAGGTTTCAGTGGACCACAGCAGGGTCGGTTTCCGCAAATTAAAGAGCTGCTCGGCGAGTATGCGCTTGAGCAGCGAGCGGCACAGCGGCCCGTGACAACAAAACTGCTCCAAGTGTGGGCTATGCAATTAGTCTTAGAAAAAGGTCTGATGCGGAGCCAGTTTAAAGCGAGCAGGTGCTGGCTAACTAGCTTTATGAAGAGGAAAGGCTTTTCCCTCCGAAGGGGAACATGCATATGCGAAAAGCTTTGCGGAGGAGTACGATGAAAAGCTTCATAGTTTTCAGAGGTTTGTCCTAAACTTGCGGCGCAACAACGGCTACCTGCTTGGGCAAATCAGTAAGTTGACCGACTTCTGGCAATAAATTTTCATTCTGCTCGCCGTATCACAGTTTTATATAAAGTCTCATACTCGCGGCAACGAAATTCTTGCGAAAACGAATTTTTTCGGTTTCCCCGGCGATTTCGTTATTGCGGGTTTCGACTGTACATTGAAAAATTACACGATGGCCACTTTCGCTCGCTCACTACGGCCATGCTTGCTGCCATCAGCAACCAATAAGGTTGTTGTATCCCCTTTTTAGCCCTACCTGTCATCCTGACTTTACAGCTTATACATTCAAACCTTATTATAACAAAGTTGGACATTGCATCAAAAATAAGTTCGTTATATCGAAAAATTCGCTATAACAGTACATTCATAACACTACCTAATGCAAGAATATTCTTTATAGCTAAAATTTCGTAATATTCGGGTTCGTTACAGAGAGGTTACAATGTGTACCTACACGCAAGTTCTCTCTATCACAGTGAGCCTGTCAGTACATGTCAATATGAAACCAAAAAAACACACACACAGTGCACCTATGTTGCGGGGAATGTTAGATTTCCATTAGAACTTGTACTTCCTCCTACTCTTAGACTTGGGCAGCAGCTCCATGAGCAGGATCGTTTACAAGAAAGTAATAGCAGACTACCCAACTTGGCCATAAAAATAAAAAAGTTTGCTGCTGGGATAGCTAGGTTTTCAAAGTTGTTGAGATTTCAGCATGTCTATCGGTCTGATTCCCTTGAAACTCGTAGGCTTGTTTTCCATTATTCTTTAGAAATTCTTGGCCAATTCTTTCTGTGCACTTTGCTAATTACGACAACTGCTCAAAATTTTCGTGCAATCCTCTTTTCCTGCATTACCTGTCCATCCCGACCAATCTTGACTTGTTTTCCGTCATTCCAAGGGTTGTACAGATGGGTAGTCTTGGTGAAAGGTAGTTCACGTCTGAAACAATGAGTACACCGTTATGTAGTTTGATGATGCATTTGAAGAACTTTGCATAACAGTGGGTAGCAGCAGTGCGACATCCACTGCAAACTGTTTACGAGAGTACCGACGCATGTTCCTGAAGTTCCGTAAGTTTCAGACCACATACCTTACAAGTGAAAGGATGTCAACAGCACCAAAAAGAAACTGGCACGAACACAAGCTCAAGTCACCAGATGCCCAACAAATCGTTCAGTCATAGCTATAAGTGGCTTCTCGATCAAGAAACTTCAATATTCATGATGTCATAACAACTGCATGCTTGGGTGCCACGGAACGCTACTTCCTCAAGCAAGACGAAAAAACATCTGTTCATTCATTAAAACTGCACCGACATTTACTAAAGATGAGAGGGAAAAGAGTGCATGAGAGGAAAGGCTGCAGGAAAGAAACTTTAAAAGCTGCTATTAACAGGGGGCTAATTAACTGGGGGCAAATGTTGAGCCAATACATTACATAACAGGCTGTTCACTCAACAAGACTAAGCAGGTTCTCACCTGCAGATCCAGTCCACCTGGAAGACACCGCCCAGGGCCCTGGCACTCAGACCGGGCGGCAGCACCCACTGGATTGTTGGGCAGTCGTGGTTCGACTCAGACCCCAGGCGTGCAAAGCCTAGAGAAGAAAACATTGAAAACAGGGAAGTTAAAATGCACACTCCACATGTGTACAATAGCGGAAGGATGCCGAACTTTGAAGTGATAATGAAAAAAGTTTTCTTCCGCCACCATTTTCAGCCAGACAGACAGATTGGGTGCTGAAATCGAAATACCTACACAATCTTCATTTCAGGCAGAACTCAGAGAAAAATTTAATTTAATGCTTTCTTAACAGCCTGCAGTATCAAGCGGCCGCACCATGAACTAGAGGACTTCACATTTAATGCACTCAAATTTGAAATGCAATTCCTAGAACCAGGATGATCAACACTGGCAGCGAACAATTTTCCCGTATGGGATAAAGCCCTTAATGGTGGGGCATGCCTCTGCGCCTCTGTAGAAGGGAGAGAGTGAGATTTTGTAAAGAGGCAAAGAAACGAAAGAACCAGGACCGCAAGACAGGCGTTCATTGCGGTGGCTGACGTCACAGCTTGTGCTAACCTGCAGTCTTTATATAATGATATAATGTTAGTAATATACCTTTATAACAAATTTTTGAATATAACAAACTTATTTTTCAGTAAGATTCAATTTTGTCAACTGTTGAAAAAAAGTATGTGAAATAAGCTTTACCAAACAGAAGTTTGATGTTTTTCAAATTTTCTTCTGTGTTCAAGAATTAGGATTCCAGATTCCCAACAAAAAAAAAGTTCTGAACACATTCCGAAACAAGGTGATCCACCTCTACAATCTAACAAAATAAACGGAACTGCTGTTAATTGGAACACATGATTACAGTCACTTATAGTACAGGCAGTGCACGGAGGCATGCTCATCACCGCTCAAGCAATCTACGCAGCTGCACAGTTTCAGGAAACTTGTTAGAGGGAAGCTCACCAAATGAGGCATAACTGTCATCGAAACTCTCTTTTACTGGCCCACTGAAGAAGCTCATTTCAGCGTGCTTCGCACTACAGGTACAGTACCAGACGCTGAAGGTCACCCACCGCACACACAGTGTTACCATGTTACTGCGCAGTGCTTCTGTCTCGCATGTTGTTATTGCAAAGAACATGCCATTTACTGCAGCCAGTGCCTACAAATATGCACAGTCCCCAAATTATACCTGCACGCTGCACACATTTGCGGAGATAACTTTCATCACTTTACCCCGTACTGCTAAGTGCAAAGCATTTACAAACCTTGGCATGCAAGACAAACATTTCACTGATGGCAAGTGTACCAAAGAGGCAGATGCACCAGAATGTAGGAAAAGTACAGTAGGAAAAGGAAACTCGGCCACATTTTCCCAGAGTCTTTTTGGGGGCTACTCCTATAGTGTTTTTAGGATAGCCAGCTATCTCAACAGTCCGTTCACCTACGATAAAAAAAATACATGGTGTCCAATTTACGTGACGTGACCAAAAAGTACCGTAATTACTCGAATCTAACGCGCACCTTTTTTCCGGTTAAGCGAGTTCATAAATCGCATGCGCGTTAGAATCGAGTACGAACAAAAAAATTACGGTCAATCTATTGCCATCGCAAATCCAAAATGGCCGCCCCCTACGTGCGTCGGCATGGTGCGTCGGCTATTTCTGCCTATGTGTTTACCATGTGCGGCACTTCGTACGTGTGCTGACGAGTTCGTCATCTAGTAGTGCATTAGCATCGACGGTGTGAAAGGGCCGACTCCAAAAACTCGAGTGCACCACGATGCCGCTTTTAAAAGAAAAGTCATCGCGTGTGCAGAAACGAACGGAAATCGGGCCGCATCGCGGTCGTTCCCGAAACGTGCGTGCGGGACCGGCGGAAACAAAAGCAGAAGATTGTCGACAGCAAAGCTTCACGCAAAGGCTTGAGTGAACCACAGCAGGGTCGGTTTTTGCAAATTAAAGAGCTGCTCCGCGAGTATGTGCTTGAGGAGCGAGCGGCACAGCGGCCCGTGACGACAGAACTGCTCCAAGTGCGGGCTATGCAATTAGTCTTAGAAAGAAGTCTAATGCGGAGCCAGTTTAAAGCGAGCAGGTGCTGGCTAATTAACTATATGAAGAGGAAAGGCTCTTCCCTCCGAAGGGGAACATGCATATGCGAAAACTTTTGCGGAGAAGTACGATGAAAAGCTTTACAGTTTTCAGAGGTTCGTCCTTAACTTGCGGCGCAACAACGGCTACCTGCTTGGGCAAATCTGGAATGCCAATCAGACGCCTCTTTACTTCGACATGCCTGGCACCACAACTGTCGAGAAGGGGGCGAAGCAAGTTCCCGTGCTGACATCGGTCCACGGTAAAACTACAGTGTCGGCAATGCTCTGTTACACGTCAGATGGGCACAAGCTTCGCCCGTACCTCATATTTAAATGGAAGACAATCCCGAAAGGAATCGTTTTTTCGAGTGGTGTGATCGTGCGGGCCAGCGAAAAAAATGGGTGCGCGTTGCAATCGATGTCTTACGTTGTTTTTGTTTTTTTTCCGCGGTGGAAATCGGGTGCGCGTTAAAATCGAGGGCGCGGTAGAATCGAGTAAATACGGTAACAGAATTCATTACATGAGGAACTTAAGGCGTTCACCTTTACACCTCGAATGAGCCCTGCACAAGGCCACAAGCTTCAAAACATTTATTCACAGAACAGCAAAACAAAGTTAACAAAAGCACTCACCTTGGAACTTGCCACTTTCCTTGACTGAGTAGATCAGAATGACATTTTTGCACTCCTGCAACGTAACAGGAGACAATTATTTTCTCTACAGTCTTTAACTAATGTGCAGCACGTACAGCACAGTTTACGTTAAAGAAAGTTCAGAGGTAGAATTAAACTACCGCCAATGTAAACATCACGTAGAAAGTTCCTGAAATTTTAGCAATATTTTCATTACTTATACTCAGGTATCCTAAAAACCTGGAGAGCAATGCATGAAAGAGCACCACAGTGAATGGAGCACGACAGTACTTCTTAGCATACATAAATGAAAAGGCACAGCAACAACTGACGTGTTGTCATATGACTGCAGTGGTTCGATGATGAACATTTGTACTAAGTTCACAAGGGCACAGAAAACGCTCCAGACCATTCACAGTGCATCATGATCGCTAATACATGCTGTGAGAGTTGAGAATGAAGACTAATGGAACAAGTGCAAAGACAGCTGATCGAAACAGCCACATTATTCTGATAAATATAAACATTGCAGTCATATTGGCATTATTTCTCGTTAGGCACTTCCTTCAACCCCGATTAATTGCACGTGATTGACACAACTTACCCTGAAGGCCTGATTCAGTTTAGCTTCATTCTGAGGCGGTGTTGACCACACACCCTGAAAGCAAAAAAACACAAGCCATAAAGTTATCATAATACAACTCAATACTTCAGGCATAATCTTTATCAGAAAACACACAAACATCCAACACATGCCCAAGGTAAAGCATTAGGAAGAGAGTAAAAAAAAAAAAAAGAGCTCGCACAAGATAGCACAAAATAGGGTGTTGCGCAAGTGCTCAGATGTACATTTATTGAAACAAATTACTTGTATGACCCTGTTGCGTGCAGCCTAGATGCGTTCCAAACTGGCGAGCCGATAGAAGCCGAGGCCATACAATCCAGGATTCTCGCAGCGAGCGACTCACCTTGGCCTTTGAGAGCACAACGTTCTCATGGTTATTGCTTTTCACTAGGAAGAACCTGGCGTTCCGGAAGAAGTACTTTATGAGGTGCTGTTGTTCAATCAGCTCAGAATGCTCTGAAAACAAGCGAGATAAAAAATTGTTTTCACGAGAACGACGCAAGAATGAGTAAGCGCACTGTTCTATGCGACTTCCAACACATTCACGAGCAGAATCCCAGCTTGACATTGACTCACTCGCAAATACTCAACATATCATAATATTCAGAGGGTCTATTTTTGTTTCACTACACACAGTTATGATTCCAGATTGTCACGACACCCTCACTTTACTTATTCATCAACAAATACTTTCTATCTCTCTCAGTTCAAACGATACTTGCTTCTGAAAGGCACAGAAAATGTGATGTTGTAAAGGCCCCTTATTGCACCAGAAAAACAGTAGGAAACAGGAAATCACCACACACATATACACATAACTTCGAAAGTTTCATCAAAATCGATCAATAATTATTATTTCTCGATATTTAAAGAGCACCATGTCCCCTTTAAACCCTTTTCAACTCGAAACTAGTCAATGGTGCCAAGCTAGAGCTTCACAAAACAAAAAGAATTGGCTTCAACATTTGCCAAATGTTACTGAAGGTGAGGTGTGCTTACAGGCCTTTTCATGTGGATGTTTAAGGAGCATGGCGGCAAAGTACAACAAATATGCCAGTGAATACTATGCGCAGAGCATGCAAAAATATCGTAATCATAAGAGAGCGATAATTTATTGTTAGCTCTCCCTTACCAGAATACACTAACTCATGCCATAGGCACCAGAATGCCGTTACTATTGAGTCACCACTGCACTTCTAGAGTGCTCTCTCTATGGCAAATTAACAGCTATAATTAATTATAGTGATCATGTGCATAGTGAAACCCACTTATAACGATGCCAGATATAACGATTAATGGAGATTCTGACCACACTTTGCTCAACTTGTGATTTTCCCAAGCTGCATATAGAAACTGCATCCCCATAAAGCAGACATTTTTCAAAGCCTCCAACTTTTACAAGGAACATTTCAGACACGGTCTTAGTAATATTACAGCATATGTGAAGTAAAAAAAAAAAGAATCCTTCTAAACATAAGGAAAGGCTTTCTAAGTATAGCTTCAAAGCATGCACCACTACAGTTTACTCGTGACCAAAATATCCTCCATCAGCGAGCGCCGCAATCAAGGTCGCTAACTTTTCAGACGTTTTTTCATGGACAGAATGGCAGCGAGAGATAAAAAAAATACATGAGAGGCAGCATAAAGCCTCACACTCAACCTTTATGCAACAATTTTTTATGATGACCTAGTGCCTACAATGAACCATACAGTGCCTGGGAACGCACAAAGCGTAAATGCAAGAAGCGATGACCAGGATAACTTTCCATTGCACCAAAAAGTTCACTGCGCTCTTTAATTCATTGATGCATCTTTTCCATAACAGCAGAGGCCCATTGATCGATGACTACGACTTTCGCACAATTTTCACGAATAAGCGTTAAAACAGAGCAAAGAGGACGTGGTGGCCGGCAATGGATATGTCATTATGACTCGTCACTGACAACCTTATCATAGTCATCTGCAGCCATCTGCTCAGCTGTGTGCATGGCATAAAGTGTCGGTGGTGCAAGCGTGTCACGCTACCACTCACAACATCACCACCGCCGCTTCATGCATGAAGCAACACAGCTTTAGTGCACGTCGCTTTGTAGAAATTCAAGCAGCTTGCTGTTGTTGAGTGGCACGTGAACCGAGAAATATTGACGCACTGACAGGCAAGCATACAGCGCGTGTTCTATCAGACGACAAGCCAAGTGTGTGGCGCCTCGGCCTACACGTCGCTTGCAAATTGGTTGTCTTCGCTTATCTCCCCCCAAGCACGGTCTGTGCAGGCACGAAGAATGCATCAATGCACACATAGGGCTAGCCTAGCTGTGACGGCATGAGCCAAGTAGGCAGAGCACTGCACGCAACTAGCCAGGCACGACTGCTCCACATGCGGTACCGCGCTTCAGTAAACGCTGTAAATTTATTACAAATGTGGTTTATTTGACTCGTGCACCATACAATAAACGGGTTCGACTGCATAACTTTTAACATGACTGATGTAGTTACTATGGAGGTCACAAGAGGTCAGCCAAGACTGACTTACCTCGTCTTCCAACAGATGAAGATACTCGTGGCCGCTTTGGTGTTCCTGAAAACAAGATGCCACCTGTCAGCTAACAGCACAATAGATCGGTTTGTCTAGCAGAATGGAAAATTTGCCCCACATAGGCCCCACATGAGCAACGTTCATTTTTTTACGTCCATTTACAGGCACTGCATTTGTGTGTGTGTGTGTGTGTGTGTGTGTGCAATGCTTGATTTTTGTAATTGGTTATGGAAGCACAGCTGAATCCCTTTACAGGAGACACTGATGTAAGAGACAGTTGGGTATGAGAGACACCAGTCTGCCTACAATGAAATAGGAGTCGATCAAGAAATTAGAACCTTGCTTATAAGAGATACCTCAAATAAGGGACAAGAGCTGCTCCCCAATGGGTTTTTCTCATTAAGGGTTTCAACAGTACAGCAAAAGGGTCCACTTCCACAACTTTTTAATGACGACCAGACAACCTCGTCATTTCTTTATATCTCATGAAGGCCCTCATTAAGCCTATCGAGGACATCAGTATTGCCAGCATAAGAGCTCCTTTCAAGCTGGTGTTAGCATAGTTACTTCTAGGCACTCTTGGCAGTGTGCTTTGATCCACACTAAAAGGCACATTAAACACTCCCCAATTTTCTTTTACATTTTCTTACTTAAGAATATCATAATCGTAAGCAGCCTACATCATCCTACAATGCAGCCTAACAGCCTTGCCAAATTGTGCATGTGCAAGAAAGAGTCGCTAGATCAGTAAGTAAGCTTCAAAAAATGGTACGTCAGATGTAGCACGTCACATACACCACACCAGTCATGTCTTCGACCCCGCTAGCTCCTTATAACTTGAAGAGTTCGCACAAACACTCACTTTCTACACTTCTGTTCTTTCTGTCGTAGACGATTGGAGAATGACGCCTCTTGCGAGAGACGTGGTGCCTCGGTGAACGGTCACCTGTAAAAGATTTCGAGAGCTCTATAGAGAATGACAGTAATGAAAAAAAGCAAGTTGAAGGTAATTCGTGACTTTACAATAACAGAAAGTGATGTCCCGAACTATCACACATCGATGCGAGCTGATACCAAAACTTTGCAATGCGAGACACATGCTACTAACTGGATGAACTAGCATACATTACATTTCTTGTAACTCAACAGACAACACGAAAAATCCATAGGTATGCTCTCTACCTGAGCATACATTACATTTCTTGTAACTCAACAGACAACACGAAAAATCCATAGGTATGCTCTCTACCCGAGCTAGGACTATGCTCTGAAGAATTGGTTGCACGCATCGACTTGCCTACAGTTTCCTTTCTCAGAAACTCCAGACTGATTACTTTACTATCGCAATGACTGTGTAACTCTAAAGTTTGCAACTCGAAAGTGCAGGGCACAGAAATAGTTGGCATAAGAACGGAAGAACTAAAAGTAAAATGTATCGCTGTTCGCCTGTAAAATGTGTGTTTAATAATGGCCACATTCTTTCTATATGTTAGCAGTTAAGAAGAACCAAAGCAGCAACATGTCATTTGCTGTGAGCAACGAGTGAGGCACCGATGCACCGACAGCTGTTAGCCCGATTTTCCTGCGATGTTTGTTTTTTCCAAGAAAAGCTACTTCGTACTGTTATGCACCCATACATAAGCACCAGCTTCGCTAATCGCTACAGTAGACGTTTCTGATAGTACCCCCTTAGGAGTGCGCTCAAAGGTCATTATAACGACGTCACATCTTACACAAAATAAGTTCATTATATTTAAAACCTCATTAGAAAGGTTTATTTCTAATGCTATATCTATTGCAAAATTATTTTTTATTTACTTCGTCACACCCGATATTTCGTTGTACTTGGGTTTGTTACATGAATGTGAGTGTACACCAAAGCAGGTGCCTGGAGTATATCGCGTAATGCCATTTCCGCAGCAGCTAGTCACAACACCGCATTGAATAGCAGAGGCATACAAGAAAAGCGCAGAGCAGCTTCGTGGACAGAGCTTCTATGTATTTTTAAGTTGTAGCCAATTTTAGCGTTGTGAGACACACAAGAGCCACAAAAGGCGTTTTTGTAATGTAAGCCAGTATTCTAAGCAAAGCGTCGGCAGATGAAATGCTGCACCCGCTCGCCTTTGAAAGTGCTAATAGAGCGAGCTATCTTTTCCTAGGCTTAGGCCAAATTATATGCACAAATATCTTCTGCTTGTCAAAAGGCATTCCAGTAAGGGCAACACACCAATTACACAAGAAACCTGCAGTCAACTAACAGCGTGATTCAACTGCAACACACCAACGCCCTCCTCACAAACAACTCACCCTGTTCCGAAGCTGCTGACGATGACACGCTGTAGGACTGCGACCTGGAACGTGACCTAGACCGGGACACCGACCGCGACCTCGAAGTACTTGAGCCAAGGCTACACGAGCAGCTCTCGTGGCCGGAAGACGTTATGTCGCTTCGGCCATCGTCATAGGTCTGTTTACCCGAGGTATGTCCACCCCCTCGACCCTCGGAGATGCCGCTCGCCTGACTCGTACTACCACCAATGATGAAGCTCGAGATGGGGTCTAAGGGGCGCGTGTGCATGCTAGACTGCGAGCTTTCTTCGCCGACCACCGGCGGTGGCGGTAGGGGCTCTTCTGCCACTTGCAACTCCTCCGCGGTGGGTGTCACGTGGAGTCGATCCGGGTCTTCGTCAGGCACGTGCATCTTGTTCGAGGCCAGGGCGACAACTGGCGAGACTGGAGTTGGCTTGGAAGCTGCCGAGAAGCAGGTACTCACATTGAATGCAATGCTGTTGTATTTGCAACGAAAGCTCAGTGTGCGTCACGAGTCATTTGACACTTTTTTTCATTATCCTGATTTTTCAGAGAATGTCATGTACACTATGCCTTTTAATCAGCAGTGTAATCTTGTTTTCCACTGACGGTTTAACTTTCACCTTTGTTTGGCAATCACTGCAAGTTTACCACTAAATTCTCATCTATTTCACAATGAAATTCATAGTGCCATGCCATAAATGAGGGTTTTATTGATTCATTAACAAGGAATGTGCACCTATATTTCAATAGATACTATACCCCACTTCTCAAAATTCTTTATTTACTATGTATGTACCATTTATTCCACTTCTCACGAAAGCTCGTTGCACATTGCATAACATCAACTTTTATAAATGATCTAATGCTGTTTCATTGCCTGTGAGGCCTCATTCTCTACAAAGGACTTCTTGTAACATATTTCGAATTTATGAGAACAAAATACTGATGTCGAAAAAAATAACAGAGAAACGCTTATGCGCTCAAGTGCACTCGAGAAAACACATTTGCAGCCACTTTTCTAGGGCCAACAGCGACACTACCTTATCAGGAAATATTCACCACCTTGCTCTTCGATGAGGCAACCACGTTAACAGATATTAAGTCACCATACGCCAGCAGAGGCTGTCTAATTGCACCTACACAGCACAAAGACGATATCATCCTGGTTGTTTTGGCTTCCAAACAGCTCTCTGTAAAACTCCTCCGTCACCTCAACTATCCTATCCATATTAGTTATTACATAGCCTTCCTTGTCCCTTAATGCATACATCCGATTTTTGCCTATGCAGAAGTTTGCCTTCCCAGCTTTTAGGCTTCTGCCACTTTTTACAGCCTGCTCAATTCTCCCCATGTTGTACCTTTCGATGTCGGCTACCTTGTGCCTATTGGTTAGCTTCGAAAGCTCGACTAGCTCTATATTATCGATTGCGTTTGAGGCTTTCATGGTCTAGCGCATCTTAATGAGATTTTTCATCTGCTGAGAAAGTTTGCCAGTGTCCGGACTTTTGAATGTACCTCCGACTAGTATGATTATCGTTCACTGTGTCAATACTAACGTTGGTTACCTTGTTTAGAGCTTCAAAGCTATTCTGAAGCAGAACTCTGAATTCCTGTACTCCTAACCAATGAATGTACCTGGCGAAATTCCAGGAAAAGCAGTGGTTTGAATTTTGCTTAACAGGTCATGAATGGCTTCGGAACAATTTGAGGAATACAACAAAGCCACGATTTCTTTATCGATGACACTAAAGCAACCATTACGACACTACAAAGTGAATCGACTTCAAGTTTGAACAGACATGATGTATCAAAAACCTTGATCGAAGTCCAACTATCCTTTTTCGAAGACTGAGCAAGGGAAACTGTTTGCCTTGCTGAAATTAAGCAAAGAAGAGCAGCTGACAAAACTTGAATAAATGAGAGAACCTCATTATTGAAGTGCATGAGACTATATTTAATGTACCTACAAAGTATTAACATTTTTTAAATGTTTGTATTACTTGAATATCAAAGCAGTATGGGGGTAGTTGACAGAAACTGGTTTTTCAGCAAAGTTTCACTAACACTTCATTATTTAACATGCTTTAACAACCACAGCAAGACGACATGGTCAGGGCATTTCCATCCAGCTACAACTCGTCACCAACACCCAGGAATGTCATCGTGCAGTCGGGTCATGCGAGAGCCATAAATGGCAGCCTCATAAAAGTTCGGGAAGCAAACCAATCAGGTGACCGACCAGAATCACAATTCCGTCAGCAGAAAATGTCCCTCTAACCAATCATGCGAGGGCAAGCAGTTGGCCTTCCGAACTGCCGTAATGTCGCAGTCGCGCCCCGACGCGGTGGTCTAGTGGCTAAGGTACTCCGCTGCTGACCCAGCAGGTCGCAGAATCGAATCCCGGCTGCGGCGGCTGCATTTCCGATGGAGGTGGAAATGCTGTAGGCCCATGTGCTCAGATTTGGGTGCACATTAAAGAAGCCCTAGAAGGTCGAAATTTCCGGAGCCCTCTACTATGGCGTCTCTCATAATCATATGGTGGTTTTGGACGTTAAACCCCACATATCATCAATGTCGCAGTCGCCTCACTAGAGCAGCGATTCAACCTGCCCCCTGACAGTAAAATGGTATTTTCTTTTAAGTAGCGCCGTAGTACCTAAATAAAGGGAAAATCCGACTGCCTGTTTGACCATTACTACAAAAACATTTTCGAACAAAAGCAATGCTAAGCACCATCTCAACACAAACTGGGGGTCAGGGGGGCAACCCCGATAGCTAGACCATAGCCTCCCGAAATCAAGGACGTACCTTATCAAAGACCCAACACAATAAGGCTGACAACAACGAAATTTCGGTTTGGCTACGTTGAATATGAGCGAGTAGCATCTGCCACTGACACAATCTTGGCAAGGCCACAAAAGGTGTTAATAGCACAGTTTTCTTGCTATCAGCCTTTTATGCGGCATCAAATGTGACACGTCCACCCTTGTTCCTGTCGCCACAATGCCAGTATATACTGCCCGGAGACTTTTCAGAGCTCTACGATCACTGAGGTCATGTTACGAAGCCGCACATTCCAAGTCATCCTGCCATTTTATTTTTCAGTAAAGATGTAAAGGGCTAGCCATAATTTGTGGCTAGGCCCTCAAAGGCTCTGCTTGCATGGTGCATGCGTCAGAACCGATTACAGAAGATGAAGGCGCACTGTGACAGCTAATTATCGGTCGTCATAGGAGAATTGAACCATTCCTGAAAGTCTCTGCAATATCATGAAGATTCGCTTTTTCCCTTTGGCTCAAAATTACAGGTGAAAATTCCCCAAAAAAAGGAAAAGTTCCTTGCACGGAACATCACAGAGTACGAGACAGACCGTAGCTTTGTTGTTTAGCTCTTAACCTCTCTGCACTGAAAAGAGATGTTGAAATGACTTATCACCTAGCTAAAGCCTAGCAGCAACATTTAAACAGTCTGCATCACCTAGCTAAGGCCTAGAAATAGCCTAGAAGCCAACTTACATTAGTCTTCAGAATTACCCAGTTATCACTGTTTTAAGGCTTCACGGATTAGTACAAACATTACCTCTCTTCTTCCATTTTTTTTCTCCCTGTGGTGGGGGCATCAAAAGCCTCTATTCTGACTAGCTTTGCATGACACTTCTGCATATACTTCAAGCGTCAGGTTTCTTACTAGGACCAATCTATATCCACATTACCTCATAAAAAGCTTTCAGTGTGGTCGGCCTTTAAACAACAGAAAAATGCATAAGAGCAAGCAATAAGTGGTTCTCGAAATGCACTAGACTCACCTGTGGCAGCCACCTTCTCAGGCTTTGCCTTTGTTGCAGATGCAGTAGTCTGGGAGACTTTTGGGGCAGCTGCCTTTGGTGGCGCCACAGGCTTTTTGACTGGCTTGTTCTGTGTTTGATGGGTGGTCGGTATCTTTTTCCCTACTGTCTTCTTGATTGTCATTCCTGCCGAGGCCAACATGTTCTATCAGATTTCACATTGGCAAGCACAGTTACAACAAAACGGTACAAGGCAATCCAATGTTCACCTCAAAATAAACCATAGAAGGAAAACACAAAGCTCAGAATTTTTCCTTTGGAAGTGAAAATAGTGTCAGTGTTGTGACAAGCGAGGGCTCAGCAAAATAGAAAGAACTAGAAACATCGGAGAGGGGTCAGGATGCAGTGATGCAGGAGAGGGGTCAGAATGCTTAGAATTCTCGGAACTAGAAGTTGCATATTAATTTTGCAACTATAGCACTTCAAAGGGGCACTGAAACAAAAACAATGGCTAGGAATTTTTTCACTAGAACAAGTTGCTGGAGGCTTGCGGCATAACGCTTCCAGAATTGCACGACAGATAATTGTCATCAATTAGCCTGCTGATCATCAGTAGTCTCTGCTTCGATTTGGGAGAGCACAGAGAATGACGAACTGCCAAGTGCAAATGCATCTGGCGCATGAAATGGCTCACGGAGCTGCATGCAACGCACTTCTGTGCTGCCCGCATTGTCTGCTAGCGTTCTTTCACCTGCCACACGTGCTGCCCCCTCAGCATCGTTGCCTTCTGGCCCCAACAACTTTCTTCCAAGTGCGCCACATGACACACGACAGGCATACCATCTGTCCTGTAGCGTCAAAACCTGCATTTCCTCCTTGCCGGGTTGTGACATCATGTGACCTGCCTGTGCTTTCATAGACTGACAGATTCTTCTTTTCAAATGCTTCTTTTACAATGATATGTGTAAAGCCTCATTCATTTCTTGCCAAAAACTAGCCATTTGAAAAGTTGTCCTATAAGTGCCAATACCTTTCTGAGCAGCTTCATCTTTCAAGAGGTCCTCCGCTGACAGCTTTGGCTCTCCCGTAGCAGACACCACCGGCTTGGCTTTCATCACTACTGGCTTCTCGACAGTTGCTGGAGGCTTGGTAGCAATCTTAGTCTGCTGCAAACCATCGAGAAGAAATGAAAATAATTTAGTTCAGAACCAGTGGAACAGGCAGAGGCAATGATTCAATAGTAACGGTAGGGAATTCATGTCCCAAGACTATGATATAAGAGATGCAATAATGGAGGGCTTCGAAAACATTGACCACCTGGTGTTCTTAAACATGCACCTACATCAAAATACATGGGCCTCTAGCATCTCGCCTCCATTGAAATGCAGCCACCTTGGCCAAAAGGCAATGATACATGTTCTGTGTGCAAACAAACAAACGCAGCAACATCAATGTCTTTCTCTTTCATTAATTTGCTCCTAAACAACACAGGAACTTTTCTAAGTGAGCTTCAATGCACTTAGGAAAGAAGAGTAAATTTAAGGGTTCGTTTTTTCTGTGAGACACAATATTGATGACAACTAACAGACAAATATACCAAGGAGGATAGAGGGGATGTACGCATTAATATTAAATGCCGTCAGACACAAGCATATGCAGCATTTTACGATTGTTTACTCGCACGCTAATTTACGATTGCGACAGCGGTTAACAACCACTGTTCGACAACAGGCTGAATACGAGGAGATAGCGCAAGACCAGCACTGACCGGTAACTTTTTGACCAACTTCGGCTGGGCACCGGTCTTGGACTGAGCCGACGTGGAGCTTGCTGAAGAAGCCGACGCTGTAGTGGCAGGCATGGCTGAGGATGAACTTACAGGCGCACTGGCAGGAGACTTCTTCTTGGGAACCAAAGCAGCAGGCTTTGCTGGAGGGGCCTTCAGGGATGGCAAGGCTTTCTTCTGCGAAGAGGCCTTGTCGGTTGAAGCCACCCTCTTGACAGGCTTAGAAGCGGTAGAGCTTTTAGGAGTAGTGGAGGCCTTTTTAGTAGCGGCAGATATGGAGGTCTTTGTGGACGGCGGTGTGCTGGGTGTCGAGGGCGGCCGCTTGCCTGTGGGAGCGGTTGACAGGGCTTCAATTACAAAGAAGGAACTAGTTAACTTCACCTTATGTATCCCAAAAAGTCATATCAAATATAATCCCCAAGTTTACAATATGGCACTGTCTAGCATCACATCAAAAAAAAAAAGACAATGAAAGTCTATGTGCCATGATTTTTGTGCAAGTTTGACGCAGTAATGCACAGTGCACTGCGTTTGAGGCCAACACAGCCTCAGTTCAAGGCACGCATTCTCTTTATTTTCTTTGGAAGGGACCATGCAACACTTTTGAACATGATCACAAAACGCTGATCGGTAGTTATGATCACAGACGTGGCGTTGGCGGCGGATGCTGTGATCCGTGATGGCACACTCCTTTCGTAATAGCGAGCGGTGACGAGAGGTTGTGTTCATGACAGTGTGCATGAAACTACAGTGTCTATGGGTGAAATTCGATTGAGTCCCTTCGCACATTAGCCCAGAGGTCCCGAAAAATGTTCGTTCCAAAAAATAAGGTAGCGCTTTGTGGCGGCATCAATCCAATGGCAATGAAGCTGTGTGTGATGCAAAAATTTATCCTCGCATTAACTTCGCAGACATCAAAGACTACTTTGTTCAAAGCCCAAGCTTCGCAACAAGGGCTTAACTGAAAGCTTACAAATCAGTGAAGGCCACAACTACGTAACAAGTGGATGGATGCTACAGCCATAGGTGAAAGACCTCAAAGACAGTTGCCACCTCGTTGGAAGCACAAGCAGAGCTGATGCTTCACATTCCCCTTGCTCATCGCTCGAGAATGAATCAGTTTCGTCACCACAATAGTGTCCCCTCCCAAATTTATTTGTGTGGAAGGGCTTCACCGTTAGCAAGCGCATGAGGGGTGATACAAGTAGAATCGTGAAACCCTCAAATTAGTAGCCGTGCAACTTTGTTCATGGGTGAGCCCAAGCCACTTGCAATCGTAAATGATCTTTGCAGCATACTCTAACGCATGCATAGGCACAGTTTGCATACCAAGAGGCCACCTATGATCTCGATTGACAGGATTCCAGGTGATCAACCAAAAGCGGCCGTGTACTCACATTCGATCCTGACCTCAGCTGGTTCCCGTGCGGTAGGAGCACGAGAGAACTGTGCAATCGGGCTTCCAAAGAAGTATAATAAAGCAATATACTTATTCACTTGAAAAATTATAGTTGGAGAAAGCGGTTGTGGAAAGTTAAAATGACATAGCCCAATGCTACTCTTCTTTTGTTGCCATTTGCACAACAGCCATTTCCTTATGTTGACTGATGTTACACCCCTTTTTTCGGGTTTGACATGCTTTACAGGTTGTTAGCAAAAAAAGTATGGTGAAATCTTTAACACTCATTTGCACTTGCAAGGCATGCCTGGAACATGCTTGTTCATACGTTGCAGAACTAGCATTTTATGCAGAGGTTGTGTAACTGCACAGTTCACCATTGTCGCTGAAACCTGCCCGCAGGAATTCCATAAGGATGCCTTCACATTCTTCATCCACTTGTCCGTGCAACTACTTGCCAGGCCAGCCAAGGACAACCACAAACATGGATGTGCAGGCCGTTCTAACGCAGGAGTCATGTCGGGGGCCCCACCCCTGCGCAATCCTCCTATGGTGCTAGAATTACACTCGATATAACATTACACGAGTGCGCTCACAATCGAAACGAAAGTGAGCCACATGGTCAAAAAAAAAATGGAATACTCATGGTCCTGACGTATATTGCTGAACGAATATAACCTGTAGCCTTCTTGCTATCTGACCTGAACAGACCTTTTTAACGGAGTAGAGAATCCCCGCCTTTCTTGGCTGTTGCACGAGAGAACAAAAGCAGACGTCACAGCCTCGGCAGTGCTTTTCTTTTTTTTGGGAGGTGGAGAGGGTCACGTATGTTAATGGCCCAGAGAGGACTATGGCGGCGCCCAGGGAGCCTTCAGTGAGAAGGTCTATAGATTTTTAGTGTGTTTGCTGAGACAAAAGGTAAGAGAATGCAAGTGAGGAATGCAATAAACCCTCACAACTCCACTCGCACCTGACCAACTAAAATTTTTTTGCTATAGTCAATTCTGATACAATAAACTCTAATACAAAGGTCTTTCTATGATTTCTTGAAAAACTGCTGCAGGGCCCTTTAGGTTTAATTATTAATGCTTCGAAGAAGCCATAATTTTCTTTCAACGGGGAACCACGATTTCAGCTCATCTCTTAAGGCCTTGGTTCTGACAGTGATGAGAGGAGCGTAACAGTGGATCAGCAATGTTATCCTGAAACTGCGAGGGCACGCTTTAGCTCCAGACAATGAACAAAGTACAAACTTGATGAGACGGTACAGAGTTTTTATCATTACGGTCACACTCCGCCTCTTTAAATGTCACTACCTAGGCATTGTCGACGGTGAAACGATTAAAATATCGCTGAAAATTGGGCGTTAGTCTATCATCCTAACACGAGCATATATTTCAGCACAACAGCCGTGCATATTGGAACGTAACGAATATGGCACCGCAGTTGTGTAAAACAAAGTAATTTACACAAAAAAAACACGCCCTTGAACGATACGCGAAAATCGGTAACAAAGATCGTGTGCGCCACCGAAATGGGGTGCCGCAACGAAATCGAAAGAGATGCGGTTTTCAACGCCGCCTCCATCAGTGCTGAGTTGACATGTGCTGCTCGTACGCAACGGTTCACATCCAGAAGCCCCGCGTAGATACGACAGTACGTTCTGGGCAAAGTCGCTTCCGAAACCGCTTGGGAAGTGAGAAACGCCAAGCACACAAAGCGAAGGAAGGAAGGCCTCCGTCGAATAGCGTAGCAAGTTCACTCACCAACTTTTTTTTCTTCATTGTTCAACTCCGCCGCCAGGTCGTCGTCGTCAGCGTTTTCCAGGAGTTCGTCCAAGACGTTGACCTCCATGTCTGCGGAATGTTTCACTGCATAAGTTATTCGGAAGAAGCACAACTAATGGCGTCGCACAGGTGACAGAACGAGCAGCGCTGAGGCACGCCGTCAAGGCGAAATGGCACAGCCCCACGAACTGCAGTCTAATAGGCTTTCGGCGCCACAAACGGTACAAGCTAACGTGCGCACAAGATAACAGCCCCGATTTTACCCACACAAGGGGAACGAGCCGATTACATAACAACCAAAACAATCGATTTAGCTTGGTCCCCCCGATTCTCGATCTGCGCCCAAGACTAGAATCCCCCCCCCTCCCCCATCTCGGCAATTAAAAAAAAAAATCTTGAACAGAGGCACAAGGTTCGAGTAATTTTTCTTTTGATGGCTAATTATATCCACCAGATGAAAAATAGAAGTTTATCACAAGACGACTAACCTATGACCCTACTAGAAAGCAGCGACGGCACCTCATGAGGCCCAACATCAAAATCACAATTACATCATCGCGACAGCTATAGCGGCGATGCGAGTGCTTACCTTTGGTTTCGGCGTCTTGGGAGGTCATTATTTCATCTAGTGCCTCTCAAGAAACGAAGAAATTAACGCGGCTACAGCATAGAACTACCTGCAATCCTGCAATAACAAGGAAACAACCAATCACCTGAGAGCGCATGCGCAAACTGAGAGTCTTCGTCCTTCTCGTTTATTATTTTCTTTTTGGCTTCGGCTGGATCGGTAGCGTGATCGGCTTTGTGTGCGGCCACTCGGCCATTGATGCAATGCGTTTCGAAAAGTTTCGGTTCCGGCTGCCCTCACCACTGCTTTGATTTTTGGTCAAATTTCGCGTTAATGTCGTATTTTATGGCATTTGGTGGCTTTTACTAGCTAAAAAATAAAAATATGTGTTAGTTGACAAAATCGCTGCCGTAAGCATAGAGTAAATATTGTGGGAAACTCTAGCCGTAAGGATACGCCAAAAACATGGCGGTGTGCGTCCACTTCATGGAGGCAAAATAAATTTAAAAAAAACTATATTTGTTTAGTCTCGTTACACTTTAATGCTTTTGCCTTCTACGTGTTGCACGAAATGATCGCACTAGTCCCAGCTATGTGTGTGGCGTTACAAACTTTGCAGTGCCCACAAAACTTCGAAAGCACTCGTCTTAATTACCTTAGTGTTCTCTCGGACCACTAATTTTCACCAACTATGCTGCGCTCATAAACTTAAAAACTAAGTATCTAAATTATCTCTTTTCTTACGCTTTTGTTGTACCTTAGGATCTCAAATGTTATTAGTTATGGTAATAACGAAATCTATCGTCGGAAATGAGCGCGTACTGATCTGTATGTCAGTACGGCTCCTGCATTGGAACAAAAAAAAAAAAATGCAGCAGATGCAGCACTGCCGAGCATCGTCGCTACACTTTACCCTGTCGTCATTGATGAGCATTACATGAGCGCATTAGGCCATTAGCTTTATTTTCAAGCGCTGACGGACCAGCGCTCCCCGCGGTGTTTTGCGCAGTTACTCGAGCGTGTTTACCGCAGAAGAGGGCACGCATTAGGCAAGTTCTGTAGTTAATTAAGTCTTTTTCTTAAAATCTGAATTAAAAGGTCGCCTTCGGTAAAGTGTTTCGTACAGGTACGTTCTTTTATTTTTCTTTTAATCTGCAATTTTTTGCGCAATTTTCACGTTTGTTATGCCCTCCCACCATGGCTGGTGTGAAGGATCTTTAAGATGGGTCCAACGCCTGTGTCGGTCAATGTTATCGATAAAGGCCGCTTGGCCGAGACAGTATCTGGACGGCCGACTGCGCACATTTCCCTCGGGACGGCTTCATGCTCTCCCATAGTAGAGTACCCAGTACTCTAAACACTGCTCTCCCGTTGTTGAGTTCCGTGTACTCCAGTCGTTTCTAAACAGAATTATGAACGGCTTACAGCTCTCCCGTAATTGAGTACCATGTACTCCAGTCCCCATGCGGGGGCACACCATTAAAATCAAAATGAAGGAAGAAGTGTGAAGCTTCGGAGGGTTTTATCCATAGGGGTAATGAGTCAGTATATTAACTTCATGGTTTTATCGGTTAACCATAAATCCCCCGTCCGTCCGCACCTGCCGAGTGAGTCGTAGAACTAGGCAGTGACGTACCAAGAAGAGACGGGCATGTATAAACGCACGTTTAAAGAGCATCGCCCCTTTAAAAAAATACTAAAAATAGCACACTCACGGCGAAAGCTAGAGGAACAGCCATTCAGAGCCTTTTCTAAACACTCTTTGGGTAAAAAGGCTAAAAGCACACTAGCTGGGTACCCACTACGCCATAAATAATCATAATTTCTGTGTAGTAGGCCGGCATTCACTATATGCTACCCATCGTCATTCTTAGGAGAAGCATGGTATCCGCTAAACACTTGCAACGAATTTTGTGTTTCATTCAGTGGCAGACAACGATGAAGAATTATGCCTGAAGTGGGTATGTACCACAATTAACAGTTTATGAAAAACAAGCTTTTGGCCCCGCTACGGTGGACTAGTGGCTAAGGTACTCGGCTGCTGACCCGCAGGTCGCGGGCTCAAATCCCGGCTGCGGCGGCTGCATTTCCGACGGAGGCGGAAATGTCGTAGGCCCGTGTGCTCAGATTTGGGTGCACGTTAAGGAACCCCAGGTGGTCGAAATTTCCGGAGCCCTCCACCACGGCGTCTCTCATAATCATATGGTGGTTTTCGGACGTTAAAGCCCACATATCAATCGATCGAGAACAAGCTTTTGTGATGGGTTGAAGCATTGGACGACATTATCAATACGCGATTTGCAGTGTGTGATGCCTGGTTGTTCTTTTGCTGTTCTAAAACGTTTTATTACTCATATTCCCGAAAACTTTCCCGACGAGTCCCAAGCACTGGTGTGACTCAGAGGTAGGATAATGGGCTGGCACGCGGTGGACCCGGGTTCGAAGCCCTCCATGTTCATGGTGTCTTTTATTTGGTTTGTTCTTCTTATTTCGTACGTTAGTGGTTACGAAAGGCGGCGGTGGACAACTACGGCGTCACACGTGACTTGTGTCGTGATCTCATAACAGCTTTCTCTGTAGAACAGGTGTAAACAATTGAAATGAAATAGCATATATTGCATTTTTATGTTTGGTTAGATAATGCTTTATAATCTGGTTGATTTGTTTTTTGAAATTGTGGCAAAGCAGCAATATTTACTTGATGTGATGCAAATCGACCTGCATATCAAATTTAAACAGTGAAAGTATTCAGACAATTTATAGCAAATCTTTTGATAAATATTTGAAACACGGTGTAAATAATTATCCAATCATTTGTACAGTCATGTTATTTCTTGATAAATGAAATTCAACAACCCACTGAAATTGCGTGTGATAGTTAACTGCTGGCAGTGGACATTTCTAAAAAGGTCATTGCTGTTCATCCCTGTACTGTTAGAACGCGGCTTTGTGGAAAGGCAACAAAAATGCAAAAAAAAACATAAGACAGCCATTAAAACCATTAGTAAGGAACAGAAGTCGAGAAGCAAGGGGAGTTACAAAGGTGGCCCTTGGCACAACAATGCAGCACATTCGGTTTCTACCAAGGGCAAAAGATTATGTGGTAGTGGTGCAAAACTCACAATACATTGTCTATCGATAGAATTCATAGCTATTGTTTTTAATCTATCAATAGTGTAAAGAAGCTATTGAAAGTAATATCAACGAACTATCGATAGTTTGAACATCAGTAGTGTTAATACCAGTAATAGTACTATCAACAGTGTTGGGAATAATTGGGCTGTTTCTGGCTAACCTGCTATCAGCAATACTCAGTTCACTTAATTGATGAGCAATATTTTAGTGACGTAAGAAGTATAGTTATTTTACTGTGAAAATGCTGGAATATGCCGATTTTAAATCGGTAATAAAGATTATTTAGTTATAACTTACAATTCTCTATTCTGAGCACTGTGAGCATTTATTTCATGATATATTTATTTCAAAACCACATAATGCAATATAAATTTGAGGCCAGGTAGATACAACACATCTAGTGGCTGTCTTTTTTGCTAAAGCTGGACTGTTCAATTGAATTATGTCCAATTGTGTCAATTTAAATTGTGTTCACAAAGCATTCTGTTGAAGGAATGCAACTTTCCTGGCTCTTCAGCATGCTACTGCTGTTCCACCTTATATACCTCTTACTTGTAAAATAAGGTTTTGTCAGAATTAGTTGACATGGTTAATATTGTACTATTCATACTGTTCAAATTTTACTGTTCATCAAACTTACCATTGATATCACTGTAAAAGGTTTTTGACCATCGATATTTCTATAACCACCCCACTATCGATCATACCAATAGTGCCATCGATAGGCCTGGATTACTATAATTTTTTCATAGAGCACTGGGCGTAGAAGGTGTCATCTTTTGCACACCCACATCGACTTCGTGGACTGCTTGCTGAAAATAAGGCAGGCCTATCGAGACAAACACCTAGTACCTGACACTATAGCTTGCAGGCTGCAAAAGAGAAATTCATTTATTACCAAGGCACGAAAAACCGTTTCATTTTTTTCAACAAGTTTCTCTTTTTTCTTTCTCTCTGCTTTTCATTAACATCACACCAGTGCTGGTGGTAACGTGTTTATTACCAGTAACTTTCTACCTGTAACGGTGTTGCTTGCACTGGTACAAGTAACATTGTTTGCTGCTACAAGTATTACCGGTAAATTTTTTTATGTACTCATTACCATTTCATAACATTATTGGGTCACTTCCTTCTCGTGCCCGTGCTTGCAATGTACTTATGTTTGCACTTTTTGGTTTGTCACGTTACTTGTTCATCAAATTACTTGTTAGCTTTTGTTTCAATTATCCTGGGAGTCTTAACAAAACTTCTTTGTTTCGTATGCAACACATGCCCAAAACTATTTTTTTTTTTGTCACGGGTAGTGGCAAACCGCTATTAGCCTACTAGGTGTTGACAATTGAAGTATCGTATAATGCATCCGTTGATCGCTCATTTGTTTACTGTAGGTGTGGACGTATTAAATAAGGTGTGAGGTGAGGCACGCTGTCAAACAGCTTTGAAATGAAGTTGCTGCTTAAATTTTTCAAGTTGTAGTTGTTAGAAATTCGTCCTTGCAATGATATAGCACGATTCAGCATAAAATTATATTTTCAAAATAAAAATTTGCTTCTACCTGCTTGGTTGTAGTAAGGTTGACGTTAATTGCCTTCACATATACACTCACAATTTTGGCGGCACTTATGTATAGATTAAAGGGTCAATAATGCTGCAGACTTGGATTATTTTCTTCGACTATGCAGTTTAAGCATTTCCTTATTCCTACGAGATCTGTGCATAAGTTTTGTACACTAGTAGAAGCGTACCATCAGAATTACTGTCAACTCTGTTGAGGGATCAGTAATGTTTTATTTTCGGAGAGTGCTGATAATGAAATGCCCTTTTTAGTTTAATGTCCCTCTTAGAAATGGTATTGCCGTGCACCACAAAGTTAAGCCACCATATGCAACTGTACAGTCAACATTAGGCCACTATCAGTGGCATATCCGAGGGGTGGCACACAGGGCCTGTGCCTCCCTCAATTTTTTTTCGCCATGGCATACAGAGCGAAAAATGACCACTTCAAGGAGGTGCCCCCCATCCTCACCCCCAAAAAAGAAAAGATAATTCTGTCTACACCCCTGGCCAATATAATGTTAAGTAAAATGAGACGAGACGTGACTATTTGTGAATGTATTTACACTGATCCAGATGGAGCACAGCAGACAGAGTGTCTCGCCCAAGACATGCTAGCTACATAGCTATATTGCTAAAATTGGACACTTGTTTCTTATTTATAAGGATTCGTATTTATAAGGGTCATTGCGCGAGTCATGACATGAAACATCACAATTCTATATAGTATATATTAAATGATTCTAAGAAATCCTGAAATGCATATTAGACGTATATTATCACAGTATGGGAACATGTGCACTTAAACGAAGTATAAAATGCAAAAACTAATTTAGTTACTCTTACCATGTGCTGTGTAACGACGAGTCGATGATTAGTCCTGGACATTTATAGCTGCTCATTTATTGGATTCTTTTCTCTTCAAGGCACAATTCGCATGTCTTAGGGCTCTTCTGTCAGTTTTAGGTGACCCTAGGTACTTGGGCTTCTTCAAGTTAAAACACTTAGGCACGTTAGTTTCAAAGTATGGTCGTTTTTTTCTGAAACTCTGAGCATTATCGTACTTCATCGAGAAATCGGCTAGTCAGAATCATTAAGCTCACATGCGGCCTGCATATAAGATACAGGAAGAATTATGAATGTTTTAGGTATAATATTAATAAAGAATAGTGTGCTCAATATTTCGATCCCTGCAAAAGTCATCCTTGGTCTCTTTTGTAGAGATTATTAATTTTCCACTAGCTGAATAATGACTGTAACTTGTTAAATAGCAAATGCAGACATAGAAATTCATGCTCGTACTCTAAGTTTACAGTGCTCTAATTTATGCTACAGTGTGCCATGATCTGCTGAGACAAATGCTCGATCCTTTATTAGTATTTCAAATGATGCTGTAGATGAAGTAGACAGAGCTTGGTTTACAATTTATCACAGTGTGCTTATGGCATGCTGCGACATGGTTAGCATCTCGAAAGTAGTGCTGTGCATAATTGAAAGGCATCCCATTTTTTGAGGACATTTGTATAATGTACTTTGCAATTACATTTTTGAAGAGCATATCGGAACACAATAGAATAGTCATTACATTTAGTGGGTTGCCTGGTCATACATATTTTTTATCGACTTCATCTACTGGCACTGCTCTTCTAGCCTTCATATTGTTGTTACGGGATGTATCTGATTAAAGAACAAGCTTGTAAGTGCTGGAGCCAATGTTGGAGACATTGACGTTATCCGACAGCATAATTTTCACTTTATCTAAAAAGGGCATGACCGTCATTGTTTTTGAGAGACCAGATTTTTTTTTCAGCTCGGAAAGTATTGGAATGAGAGGTGTTGACACTAATTGGTGCTCTAAAAAAAACACAAATGTTTGGAAGCCCAAATAAAGTGTCAGAGTGCAATGGGATGCATCATTGAATGCATTTGTGTGCGTGTATATATATATATATATATATATATATATATATATGGCGCTGACTGTCGCTCCTACTTCTAAATTCACAGATAAACCCAAAAAAGTGGATGGAGGGAGTGCCGCTGTAATAGCTCAGTGGTTAGAGCATCGAACGCGTAATTCGAAGGTCGTAGGTTCGATTCCTGCTTACAGTTGGTAATTTTTTCATCCACTTTTCTTTCTTCTTATTTACATTTCATTAATGTTAATAACTTCCCCTGTACATTCCTTGGCATTACTGTCTGTTATATCTCATTATTATTGTGTTAAAACACGGAAAAACGAGCCCTTAGGTATACACTTCTTTCCCTTATTTCATTGAACGAGGGTCTCGTACTGGCAGACTTGGTGTGTTTAGGTTGTATAAGAGGGACAATTAATCAGCTGCCCGCTCATAATAAGTTCACGTGCTACGTGACGCCAAACATGCGCATAAGAGTGTTTTCACACTCGTTGTTTGGCTTATAGATGGCGCTGACTGTCACTCCTACTTCTAAATTCACAGATAAACCCAAAAAAGTGGATGGAGGGAGTGCCGCTGTAATAGCTCAGTGGTTAGAGCATCGAACGCGTAATTCGAAGGTCGTAGGTTCGATTCCTGCTTACAGTTGGTAATTTTTTCATCCACTTTTCTTTCTTCTTATTTACATTTCATTAATGTTAATAACTTCCCCTGTACATTCTTGGCATTACTGTCTGTTATATCTCATTATTATTGTGTTTAAAACACGGAAAAAAACGAGCCCTTAGGTATACACTTCTTTCCCTTATATATATATATATATATATAATATATATATATATATGGCAAAGTATTCATAGGGCAAAATACTCGCATATAGTGATCCTGACGTCAACTACGACGCGTGCTTGCTACTTTTTATTTATTTATTACTGTTTTCTTCAAATAAATTTTCATGTCCTCGCCTCTCTATCTTGAAGAACTTCAGTCTGGGCAAAATTACTTATTGTTTGGGTAAAGTTGCTCGTTATTATCCACTTTGCACACACACGTACCACACCCCGCACTTGATCACCCTAATGTCTCAACACCTGGTCATGCCTTAGTTTCAATTAGAGATCATTTAATTAACCACTTGGTGGATCTAGTAAGTGGGACGGCTGTGCTGCGACGCCGAAAAGCTTGAACAAGTATTTGAACGTCCGCTACAGGGATCAGGCACACGGGTAAGCACGATAATCGTATTTAAGAAGGGAGGGGGGGGGGGGCTAGTTTTTATTTCATAATTGAAAAAAGAAATTACTGCACGAAACATGAGACATAAAAAACGAAGTGGACAGGACGGCCGCAGGTCTAGTCCGCTTGATTTTTTAATCGCAGGTAAGCACACCGTTTCAAGCGGCAAGCAAGGTTATCCCAACAAATTGATAGTAAATGTCATTAATTGAGTCGAAAATAATCTCCGGTTCAAAGATTTGAGGTAACGCGGTTTTAAAGAGGGCTGGTACTTTCTAATTCACTTGAACTAGAACATTCTATAGTATAGTACTCGTCAGCATCGTCATTCAAGTTTATCGCGTTCCACGTGCAGAGGCACTTATTCTCGGAAGCAGTTTCGTATTGGTTTTCAAATGTATTGCTTTATATATATTAAAATATTAAAGATAGATGTTTTGATGTATTTTAATGCTTAAAATAAAATTCTTTTGAGTTTTAATCATAAAATGATGATCTGCGTCACTATGACGTAATAAAGTGGAATCATAACAAAGTACACGTTATCGTTCCGGTTAGTTTCGGTCTCGGAGTCGGGCTGGCGAGGCGTCGTCGTCTTCGCGCTGTTGTAACTTCAGTGTTGGTCATGTTCGGCGTCGTTCAAACAGCGCTGTAGCACCGTTTATGCGGTTTAGTGGTGTCGGCTCCGTAGCTACATACGATGCGTGTTTTTTAGGTTCGGTATTGTTGGAAGATTCGGCGTGTTGTGATGTGCCTCGGTGTGCTCTGACATCGCATCTCGAAGAAACGCCTGTTCGATTGTCGGAACAATGTCGGCCCGGACATTTAGCTCGCGTACGTCGCTAGCTCTTTCACTGGCAGTCATCTTACTACTTATCGACCCAGCACACCCGTGGGGAGGTGAGTTTTTTGTTTAGAAGTGTTCGCGATCTTCGTAAACCGTGAAGGGCGGCCGCAGTTGCCGCCGGCTTCTCTGGAAATATTCGGAAGGGCTGATGCTTATTCCATACCCAGTTTTATCAGTCGATACTTGATGGCTGAGTAGGAACCTTCACACGAGCGTGCGCCTTATTCTTTCATCTGTGTTAGCACGGCATGTGATGCGTCGTGGCTATAGGTCGCCGTTACGGGTCGAGAGAGGAAGTCTTGTCCTGGCGAATGACAAAATGCCGCCTTCGCGTTGCAAGTTTCCTTCCCGTCTGATTGCGCTTGTTTCGCTTAACTTAACGACTGCGTAGGTGTAACCTAATGTTCGAGATGTAGAAGTGTGGCTATCTGTTGCGGCATTGACTCACCCTTGGAAAATAGAACATTCTAGAACTGCTTTTAACCTAACGCAGGCGAGAGGTCGCACTACTGCTACTTAAACTGAGGGAGTGTATAAATGCAGTTGCGGTTGCTCTGTCACATATGACAAGACGTGATCAAGGCGTGATTCGCACGCCAGTGACGGTCTAATTTTTGTGCTATTCTCTGTAGCTATGCTCATGCGTACATAGGACAAAATTAGTTTACACGTTAATTCACTGGACCACATACCTGCGAAAACACCCTTCACATGGGTAAATTGTTGCGTTTCTGCAGGCGCCATATGTTTTTTTCTGTGATGACTTGCATTTTGGTTCATTAGGGGTGCATTGCATCAGCTGAATGTGGTATTGCATGAACCAGCTCTGTACGAGTTTCCGGTTACAGCTGTCGCCTTTAAAATTGTAACAAGCTGTGTCGTACCATTCAGTTTGAACACGCTTGATATTTGTGAATCTGGTGATTTTGAGCGTATGCATTGTTGCCACATGTATATGGTCAATACCGGATCGTATATGATTTGAATTATGCTCACCATTTCAGAGTACTTCTGTGTGTTTAGGCAGCATCAAATCGGGTCGTATGTCAAATGTAGTATGAAAAAATAAACTCCGAAAACCTGACAAGCAGTTGTTTCAAGTGACACAACCTGGCTGTCATGTGTGACGGCTGCTTAAGTGTCGTTCGTGCTGTTGACCCCTTGCAAGATTGTTTCTGCTCATGTGGGAACAAGTTTTCCACAGGAACAGCTTCAACCATATGGTGTATCAGGCAAACTATTTTTTTCTATTCAATCGTTGTCTCTGCATTTCTTCTATTTGGTCATTGCCTTTCTCTCTGCAAACCAAAGAGTTTACTTTAAAACCTACATTCCCACACTTAATTTTTTTTAAAGGCCTTTCTTTCTAGTGCCCTTCGATGGAATGTGGAGACGTGAACGCACTTAGAGGAAGAAAGCAGTCTAGGGACAAGCGGTTTGCAATGGAAAATATTCTTGCATGAAGGCCAGCCGACACATCCCAAAATCTGGAGCAAGCGTATTCCACTCACCTCCGACCATTTTCGCTGTGTCATTCACTGTTTTTGATTGCCCAACGAGGGCAAATAAAAACAGTGAATTTATGCATATTCCTTAAAAGCATTTCATTAGACACATGGGTGTGCATTCTTTATTCCGATCAGCTATTCCGCCAACATATCGAATTTTGAGCCATCACCGAGCAAGGGCCCCTCCCCCCTCCACATCTTGTTGGATCATCCTTCAACGACTTGCTCAGAATTTTGCAGTATTTTTGTAGAGTGTGCGCTCGGGGGTGCTCACTATTTTGAAAAGTCTGCCCATTCTCTCAACACCTGGCACCATTTGAGTCAACGTGCATTTCTCTGCTTATCCATTGCAGGGAAGAAAGTGAAGCTCAAGGACGTTGAAGTGCTCACGCTTCGACAGGGACAGTACACAACAGGTCGCAGGTCAAGCCCTGTGCCTCAGCTGACCTGCCTCGGCGGCAGTGCAGGCTGCCAGAATGCGCCTGCTGTTGTTCAGTGCTACAACCGAGGCAGTGACGGCTATAGCACTCAGGTGACTCGTCATCTCGTTTTCATCCAGTCCTTCTTTGACATCAATTGTGAAACCATATCTCTGGAACTTGAAAATATGTTCCCTTATTTACTTGTTACTCTTAGTAAAAACAAACTTCCTAACAAAAAATTCTCTTTTATAATTGCATTAAATATGTTTATAGCAAACATTTTGATTAGTTATAACTTTATGTGTCCAAATTGTTTAGAGTACAGTTATCCTGTCTGTTTTTAGTTTGGTTTCTTTAAGAATGTATTTGGTGTGCAGATGCATTCTTGAGATCACCTATTCTACATATTGCGATATTGACCTTTTTAAGGTGTTTTATTACTATATACTGTGCTGTTCTTTTCACATTTGTGATGTTTATTCACCCGATCAGAATTCGCTGATTGGGAGTCGTATAAAGTTTTGTTTCTTTACAAGCGTCTGAGTTGTGTATGACGTGTTTTCTGTGTACCAGGCTGTACATCGAAGCAAAAGTTTTCTTTTCTTTCTTTTTTTCTGTTATATGTACAGAAAAAGTAACTTCAGAAAAACTTGCTATAATAAGTATTTACTATTTATTTTTCAGTGGGAGTGCAAGGCCGACATGAGCAAGTCTCAAAAGTTTGGAACAGTCGAAGTGACATGCGAAGGCTATGATTACGCCGACGATGATTACATCTTGGCTGGATCATGTGGTGTAAGAAGTCTTCTTTCAATTCTGTCACTGGGAGAAAAAACTCGCACCCCTTTTAGGCTCATTTAGCACTTGAGCAACAGGTTATTGTTATCTGTGTTGCAGGTCGGTCGTCTTTTCAACGCATTGTGTCCTCTACCTACTCTCAGGTCACGAAAGGCGCGTGTGTTACGAGCAGTTAATATTGTATCATAGCATTCATGATAGCGAATCTGCAATTTTGTAATGCCCTAGAAAAAAAAAAAGCACTGGCGTAACAAGTAACTCCTCTTGTTTTATGTTGATCTTGTAATACACCTATTTTAGAGTGGGGTTGCATGCACAATATTCCAGTTTTCTCATACAAAATTTTGTGATAGAGTGATTTGTCACTGCCTCGACTGTGTTACTCGACATGCTCAATGCTAACAGCCCGGAACTTGACAGATTGAGCAGCATAAAATAACAGAAATCCTTTTTTGTGTGTTAAATTTGTAGTTTTATAATGTTTTTATTACCAGTTTACTAAAGTGCTGTGTGATTGGTTAAAATGCTTGTTGAGGCTGTGCTGTGCTTAACTAAGATTTTTTTGTTCATTTAATAATATGACCTGTACTGTACACTATAAAGGAAAAAATTTCAGGGAAAGACTGGTGCTTGAAGTGGTGAAATATAATGGAACAAGGGGTGTCGCCTTATCCAACATTCAGCATGCTGAACGTTTCGCTTCAGTGAGCTTTCCTGTCTGATTTCCTATACATTGCACTGAGAAGTGTGTTTTGGTCTGCAGCAGGGCTGCGCCATTGTATACCTTTAGTTTAAATCTATTACATCAACACTTTAATTTTGTTGGTGTATATCCAATACTTATTTTGTGCAAAAGCAGTGTAAAATCAGCAGTTTTTATTATTCTTGACTTCGGTTACAATGTGACTACTGCTTAAGACCCCGTATCAAATTGAAAACGAAACAAGCTTGCCACTGAATCCTTGGCCGCCAGCAGAACATTTGGGGTAGGATTGGGGATAGTGACCATGCCTTTTTAAAAGTTTGCAACTGTTTAGCTCGTGAATGCCATTTTCACTCCTCTGCATCCAGTGGCAGATCCAGAAGGGGTGATTGCACCCCACCCAAAGCCTGTGTCGGCACCCGCCCTCTATTTTCGGTTCTTGTCCTCCACCTCCTATCAGCAATTAAAACAATTGAGTGGGACCATTTTTGAGCACACATCAACGGTAGTAATGATACAACAAGGTTTTCACGTGCTACTAAAAAGAAAAAAAGTGAGGACCCCCCCCCCCCCCCCACCCCTTCAATGTTACTTCAAGCGACCGCCCCCCCCCCTAAAATGAATCGAAATCTCTGGATCCGCCCCTGTTTGCATCACATATTTGTGGTGTTTCATGCTTGGTGCCCCCATAGATTGTCCAAATTAACCGGTTTGTGACCAAATTAATGAGAATTTGATGCCGTTAAATAATACATATGCTTGCCATGACCAGTGTTCACTTCTGAACTCTCTAACTTCCCAAATAATTGGGGTTGCATGAAATACTTTTTAACTCTATTCCTTGCTCAAGCTATTTTGGTCTGTGTGAGCTGAGGCACGTTGCAGAATTGTGATTCCTGACAGTGCTTCTTTGTGCGAATGAAGCCGGATGCACGTGTGAATGCTGGATATTTCAGAACTCGTGTTGGTGAGTGCAATATAATCAAATGTGTTGATCTTTGTTTTGTAATGTTTTAAGATATAGCACAGCGAGACTTGATAATGAAATGCACGTAAGCCTTCAGAGCACGCTAAGTTTTTATTTCGCAGATTTATTGCCAATATTTATTTAATAGTGGATGGGCTAGGAGAGCTCTGGTAATGTGAGACTACTACTTTAGAAGCGAAGCGTTCTTGTTGATGATATTGTGGTATTTACTTCTAGTATCGCACACAACTTACGGTATTTTATTATTTTTCTATCACAGTTGGAGTACCGATTGGAGAAAACTGGGTATGGTGGCGGCTCAACATACGATTCGTATAAGCAGTAAGTTTTCAGTTTTTATTATTGTCTAGTGTGCACTGTTCACTACATGGCATTGAAGTCCAGTTGCTACTGTGCTTGTGTTCTTAATGTAGGCATTCACATTGGCCTGTAAAATGGAGAAGCACATAGTGCTTTCCTGGTTCTTAATTATAATGAAAATTTGGGGGCCTAATACCAAGCCTAAGCAAAATGTTCAACAAATGACTTTAAAAATGTTTTCAAGCAAGAGCTTGACGAATTCCATAGATTGATTTATCCATTAGAAAATTACTGTCATCACGTGCAAAAGATGCTCAAGTTTAAGCAGTGGATGCTTCCAAGCTTTTGCTGAATGACGACGATTGAAGAATTAAACCAAGGAAGTGTCAAAGTATATAGGTTGAAGATGAATACACAGAAGACAAATATTGTACTAGGTAGTTCGGTGACCAAGCGAGAGTTCCCGATACTACTACGCCGTTAAATCAGTAGAAGGGCATGCATATGAACACCAACTATTAACAGGAGAGCAGACTCTTGTAAAGCATATTCGCCGAAGAATAAATATGGGATGGAACGCATACGGTAAATGTACTAAACTCATAACCTATAACTTACCACTTTCACTAAAGCAGAAAACGTACAACCATTGCATTTTACCAGTTCTAACTTATGATGCAGAAGTGTAGGGAACAACTAGGAAACTGAAGCGGTAGCTAAGGAACACCAAGAATGCGATAGAACAAGAGATGATAGGTTTAAATCTAAGAAATATGGCTGAGTGGATCAATAGAATATGGTGTATCAGTGTATCAATAGGATAGGAATGGAAATGTGGCAGAGGGAATCAAAACATTGGTGGCTGATATCTTGGTAGGTATGAAAAGGAAAAAAAATTGGCAGCATATCCACGGAGTGAATGATGGAGAGTGGGGCGAAGCATTCGTCCGTCCATTCGTTCTTGCTTCTATCCGTCCATGCGTCTGTCTGTGTGACCGTCCATGTGTCCATCTGCCCGTGCGTGCATCTGTTCCTGGGCCCGTCCCTGCGTTCGTCCATGCATCCGCCCCTACGTCCGTTATGCATCCATCCATGCATCTGTCTGTGTGTACGTCCTGTCCATCTATTCAACACTCCAAGTACCACCATCTCGCATCTTTTCCTCATATATTCCTCATATAGAAGCACCGCCATCCAGCGGACATTCCAATGACTAAATGAGAGATGGCACACGCACACTTTCTTATGGCTTGTGCTTCGGGTCTACTTCCCACCTTTAACCACCTCGAGTTCATGGTATATACTAGTTCACTGTATTCATTGCGCTGCGGCCCAACGCTCGCTAAACCTTTCTAAAACTAAGGAGGTTACACCCAGCGAGTATAATGTAGCAACCCTTTCCTGTCAGATAGTGCTCAATGTACATGCCAATGGCTGCTAATGGGAAATGAGAGACTGGAGAATTCGGCTTTTACTTTCTTACAGCTTGCGCTTTGTATCTACTTCCCACTTTTAACCACCTCGAGTTCATTCATGGTATATACTATTTCATTGTATTCATGGCGCTGCGGCTCAACGCTCGCTAAACCTTTCTAAAACTAAGGAGGTTACACCCTGCGAGTATAATGTAGCAACCCTTTCTTGTCAGATAGTGCACAATGTACATCCCAATGGCTGCTAATGGGGATCGCAGCATGCGTGTTAACTAAAAGCCGAGTGCTCCTGTCTCTCATTCCCCATTAGCAGCCATTGGCATGTACATTGAGCACTATTTTTTATTGTTCAACAACGCAGAGAAGAAATCTCTCACCGGCACCACCTTGGAGGTCAAAATGTTATACTTGTTACAAACTACAATGGCTACAAGGGTCGAACGGGTGCCGCTATAAGGAGCTTCGCCCCTAAAAAATAGACGTGGTCAGGTCATGTCATGAGAACATAATCGACGGTCACTCATAGCTTTAAAAGAGACACCAAGAGATGGGAAGTGCGTCCAAGGACGTCGCATGGTAGATGGAACTATGAATTTAAGAAATTTAAAGGCATAAAGTGGAATTGCTTCGCGTGAAGATGGAGGGTTGGAGATTCTTGTGAGGGGGCCTTTGTCATGTACTTGGCTTAAAATATGCCGATAATGTTGAATATGAATGCACAATGACCCAGAAAAAATGAAGGAAATTTGAATTAGTTGTGCGAGAGTAGATTAATGTGCACATTGTATCTCTGCACGTCTTTTTGGTAAGCATTTTGTTTCATTCTGCAGCCAGCGAATAAGTCATTCAATATTGGTACATGCCAGCATGTGTAGAACAACTAGTATGTGAACTGTAGCTATCTACGGTTGCCTTTTAAGTATTATTGAACCACAGAGCCATAGAAATGAATTTTTGTATGTAACAACGTAAATCTAAGATTTGCTATTCTTTATTACCCTTCTTTTATCTATATCAGTGACAGCTTACATAGGGAAACGGATGTTACGTAAAGCACCTGCCATGTCCCGTTACTGGGGTGAAAGTCACTTGCCCAGGCTTTTGGTGCCACTTCGTTGTGTTGCTGCCGGTACTTTGGGCTTTGCAGTGCTATGAATATAACTACCTCCCATTTGACTCAGTAAGATGCAAGTGCAAGATGTAACAAACAGTAATTTTTGTTGGATGCAGCTGCACTGTATACAGGCTTCGACGCCACTAAAAGCTCACTTCAAAACTTCAGTGTTTAAATGTCGCTATGTTGCCTTCCAGCTCAGCGTACACCTATGGTTCCAAATCTGGTTCAACCTTTCAAACAATCCTCTTCCTTGCTGTGGTCGCGTTCGTCATCTACGCAATATACCGGACTTGCCTCGCTCCTGGCAAATGGATGATGCCCCTCCGGCCTACGATGACGGTCCCCCGCCAGACTATCCAGGCCCTCCGAGAGGAGGAGGCTTCTTTGGCAGCGGCTTCTTTGGTGGCGGTGGCAGAGGTGGTGGCGTGCCCCCGCCTCCAGGCTTCAGACCTGCTTATCAAACTGATGCCAGTGAGTTGAAGCTGCTTTAATTGCGTACATATCTAGCTTGTTTGATATGACTAGAGGTTTTGTCTAGGAAATATAGTAGGACTCATTTTTTTTCATTCATTTGACAGTTTTGATGCATCAACTTTATAGTTTTCGTGATGTGCAACTTCTCCATCAACACAGTCTTTCCAGTGGCTCTTCCAATAACAACATAGTCCCCGGAATGCAGTAACTGGAAAGCTCTTTAACTCCCTTGTTATGGCCTCTTCAATAGCCTGGTTCGAGCTGTGGTGCTGTCCTTCCATGGCCTTTTTTAAGTTGGGGCACAATGGAAGAAGTCTGGAGGACCGACATCTGGACAACAAGGTGGCTGAGAAAGCTGTGTGACGCCATGATTAGTTCAAGAGTCCTTGACTGCAAAAGTTCATGACAGCTTGGCTTTATGTGGTTACTTTTTGCAGCCAAAAGGCGTCCTGGCCGTTGCTAATCTTCAAGTTGCTCTCTTCTATGTCAAAACGATTCGTGCCACTCAAGAACACAGATTAATCCATGGCATTACTTTCACGATCAGTCTCGATCATTCTATGGGCCTCACTCGCAGTTTTACCCTGTATGACACAAAGCCTCACTGTGTAACGCTGTTCTAAACAACGCATCCTCTAAAAAGATGCCTGTGACATCACTTGCTTTTTCATTAGGACGGGAGTTTCCTTATAATTCGGTGTAGTCTCAGATGTGAGTGTTCGCAGCCGGCTGTACTTCCGGTAGTGTCGGAAGTGACCGTAACACACCCACTGGTTACAGTGTGTGCCGCACCCGCTGGCACAGTGTGTGCGGTGAACGTTGCCTCCGGAACTGCAATAGACATTGCTTTGATCTTGGAGGCATAAAGTTTTGGAGCGGCCACCATAATGAGCGCTTGCAGCCGACACCTCTCTTTTGTGGCAGAAAAGGCAAGAGAAGGCGGAATCAGGCAAAAAAATAAGTTTTTCGGCTCGCATCACAAGCTTCCAGAGGAGGCATTGGTCGGACAAATGATTTATTGTAGAGATGACCCCGCACCGTGATGGGGTTTCACCTTAAATTATGTGTACACTTCAGGAAGGCTAGGAGATGACTGGTGCACTGGTAGATATGACCCTCCACCACCCAACCAACATCTGCCTCCTTTGCCACGTTTTGGCAGGAAAAAAAATCAGTCCTACTATTTCCCAGACAAACTCTCTATGTCCTGTCGAGGAAGGAAAAACTTAGAGTGCATCATTGTAACTGTAACACATTGGAAGCGGAAGCGATTGGTAGAGGCACAATTAATGCGTCATGAAAAGTTGTAATGTCATGGCAGATTTTCTGCAATCACATGGTCCGCATGTTTCTTGAGAAGACTGGTTGTGTGTAAACTTTTCAGGCTGTGGCTCAGCTCGTGCCCACGGTGCCGGTGGCGTAGGTGGTGGTGGATTCTGGACTGGGGCGGCCGCAGGCGGCCTGCTGGGATATCTCTTGGGAAACAGCAAGTAAGTCTGGAATGAGCTTTCTACTTTATTGTTTTGTTGGATGATACAGTATGAAAGTGTTTCAGCTAACTTGTGCCTACTATTGAAAAAAAAAATCTGCTGCTACATGTGTAGAATTGGCCATGTGCTGTTCTGAGCCATTTGCAGTACAGCATAGCGAGGTAATTACTAATTAACAGAGATCGCATTAACTTATTAGTAGTAAATCTAGCGATAAATCTTCATAAAAAGTCATATCGCTTGTTCGGAAACATCAAAATATATCGTCTGTGTTAAGATAACTGCCAATTTGCTAAGCTTGGTAAATAACAGATTGCTCAATTAACCTTGAGTATAACTACATTGAAAACTATTAAATAGAAGAGCTTTAACGCTTGGTCTGCAAGCCCCGCCGCGGTGGTCTAGTGGCTAAGGTACTCGGCTGCTGACCCGCAGGTCGCGGGTTCGATTCCCGGCTGCGGCGGCTGCATTTCCGATGGAGGCGGAAATGTTGTAGACCAGTGTACTCAGATTTGGGTGCACGTTAAAGAACCCCAGGTGGTCAAAATTTCCGGAGCCCTCCACTACGGCGTCTCTCATAATCATATGGTGGTTTTGGGAGGTTAAACTCCACAAATCAATCAAATCAATCGCTTGGTCTGCTATGTCGGATTATCTTACTTCGCCGAGATGACTGCCCTGTTTAACTTTTTCCCAACTTTCCTTTTGCACACGCAAAGTATTAAAAATGTATTTAGCACAAGTTCGTCTAAACAACCCGTGTGGCTAAGAGATTGTGCCTGTATGCTTCAGTAACAGTTCAGCTCAGTTGTGTTGGTGCCAGAAATGTTAAAACGCATCGTCGTCGTCATTTTTGGGTGTCGACCTAATCTGCTTACCACGTTTAACTCTTGCAGTAATGCAGGCTACAGTACTGGGTATGGATACCCCAGGGAGGGAACGTTTCGCCCCTCTCCGTCATTCAGCACATCATCATTTGGCGGTGCTTCAACGTCGAGTGAAACACATACATCCTCTGGTAAGAGAACCGATTACTATCTTGGTTCCTGAACAGAAAATGAAAGAACCCTTTTTAATTTCTTAAAGGGCCAGTAAACAGCCCTGTGGTCCAAAAAATTTTAAAAAGAGATATATGTGCAGTTTTTTTTTTTTTTTTTTTTCGAACATGCTGCCATGAGAATTTTGCGAATACAAGCTATAATAAGGCAGTTGCAGGGGTTAGAACATCGGTCTAAGCTGGTTTCAAATTTTCGCGCGGCCTCGCCCCCCTTCTCCTTCTATGAAGGGGAAGGCGTAGCCCATTGTCATGATTCCACCGACTTCGGCAACGTGACACTACGTCAGCGAATGACGTCATCGGCGATTCGCTTTAGCCATGCAGCGCGCAGGGCCCCATCGTGAGGCACCCGGTGCCGATGCTTCTCCGCTGCCCAGTCGCTCGATTTGCAGTCGACGACTGAGCAACGCTTTTTACTCGTGTTGCTCATATCAAGAGCGAAGTACGTTTGTACGTGCGCACAGGCGCTGTAGTTGAGCGAGGAGTGTACATGTGCATGCGACAACTGAGAGGCTGGTTCTTTCAGTGCAGTGCCAAGAAACAAGGGGCAGTTTCGTAGCTGTGGGTGGGAACAGGAACTGACGTTGACTTCACTGTTTTTTAACACCTGATTTAGACGAATCGGCGAGATGTTTCGGCGAGCTACACGCCTGATTTAGACCAATCGGCGAGCTACATGCTACGTCACGTCGCCGAGTTGACGTCACTGCTACGTGCAAGGGGGTCGGTTAGACGTAGGAAAGATGCATGGGAATCGTTTTTCGAAATAGAGGCTCTGCGCCGCGCGCTGCGCTGTAATATTTAGAAAACGTGATTGGTGTGGTCTAATCTACGAATTGCCGAGCTTGTAAGGGGGGTGTAAAAAAAAGTCTGAGCCTGTTTACTAGCCCTTTAAGTGATATGTATAATTTATGGCGCAATAGACTATCAGTGTCAACTCCACTATTGCTGCTTTTATTTCCATCTTTAGCAGTGGCACTGCATTTGCATGAATGGTTGCTGCCTAGCGTTCTGTTGGAGCAGTTTTACAAGATCGTAAGCCGCACAAACGATGATGCCAAGCTATTCAATACCTTTTCACATTTACCAGTGCTACCCTTCACAACCTCAGCCGCAGTGATGTCATTTCGATGAGCTACTTTTCGTCTTAAATTTGCAGGTTTTGGAGGCACACGTCGAAGGTAGTCAAGATGGTGCCCAACCAAAATTCTGATGCACAGCCTCATCAAGCACCGATCTCCCCATTGTGATCACCCGAAATCTTGTCATTGAAATAAAATTATTTTACCTTTGCATGTTGCACTTGCTTATTTCTTGGGTACTACAAGAAATAAGAGACTTGAGGCTCAGACAGATCTGATGTTCTGCAGGGTTACAGTGGCGATGCTGGGGATTCTGTAAAAGCTCACAGTGATTCTGAATTCAAATGAATATTTATTATACTGTGAAAACGACAGAAACTTAGCATTGCTTGTGTCTCCAACTACGCCATCTCGTGATGGTGCAGGAATATTGTAGCAGTGCTAAGTTTGAATTCAGTACATTTATTCACAATTGTTCCTAATAAAGGCAAATACAAAGCATAAAAGTTTCAGAAAAAGTGTGTTTTACTTGTAGCCTGCATTATTCCTCGTTTGTTATTATTTGTACGTTCTGTACAAAGGAAAGTCTCTAATACTAACTGCTAGGTGCAAGTGCTCAAGGCAATTTTCAACTGAACTCTAGGTGTGTGCATGCTCAGCAAATATTTGTGAGGACGCTGGGGCTTCGGTGCACGGGCGGCTAGAGAAAAGCAAGAAAAGAAGGGCAGAATATAGACCAGCTGGCCCAAGGAATGAGTGCTGTTTCTGTAGTATTGTTTATTACATGCTATAAATGCTACAAAACTTAACAGGCCAACTATGCACCGGACAAAGATCTTAAATGTACACCTGAAGTGGCCTTGATGAGCAAGCATGTCTGGCGCAGTGTCGAAGTGCTGCAGTGTTTGCGGAACTCCAGTCCAAACTAATTTATTAAAACATTGGACTCAACACCCAAGGCTGATAATTTAGCAAGTAAGGTATTCCATTGTTGAGAACGAGATCAAAGGTGGTGGCGGTCAAACTTTCGATAACCATTAAATGGTTACAGAGAGGTTAGGTGATTGGGTTGAGGCCGTATTGGCCATCTATTCTCGCAGTACTAGATGAAAAGCCCACTTCCAAAGCTTCATTACGCTACAGGAGAGAGTGCTATCAAAGTGTGTAGCTTATTGCTACTGCATATAAAGATATCCAAAACTCCAAGGAAGCGCAGCCGCCCCCTCCCTTGCACCCCCTCCGAACGCCCATGCTGCTGTGTGAAAATCTATAGTTATTTTCGAAATGACGCGCCTGACAACTTTATACGGTTGTCGCCTGTTTTGTCACCATTGCGTTTAAATGCCCCGTAACTGCGATGTTACTTTCGTCGAGCGTAAAAGCTGACCCTGTATTAACAAATTGCTATTTTTGAACAGCTAAGAGATAACTCGTGCCTTTCAAGGGCATTTGGCGAGTCAGAAAATGCACAAGACGCCGCTGCTCAAAGCATTTGAAGTTGGCGTCGTTTTCACCGATTTGACTAGCCTCCTGTCCAGTCGCTTTTTATGCTGACGTCATCAATTAGGATCACATTTTTGACATAATGAACACAGATTAAGCTTCATTATCGAAGTAAAAACAAATTTAGTGAGCTATAAAAAAGCTACAGCTCCATCAAAAATTTGTGTGGTGTCTTGTCTTTACGCTTGTTTTGGCGCAAAATTCAAAAAGCAACAATAGCATTTTTTTTAAATTCTTTTTATAATTGTATATGAAGGGTGAGTGGAGGAAACTTGAGCCTTGAAATATCGCGTTACCATCTTAAAGCTTTGCGTTAGAGGCCATTAGCATTTATTTTTTTTATTTTTTTTGAATGCGTGATGGGCTGCAGGTAGCGCAGCAAAAGATCACCGCCGATGGCGGTGGTAGTGGTTAGAAGCGAGAGGAGAAAGGCACTTATATTCTGCAACCAGGTCGGCGCAGTGCCTCCGCCGATGGTGCAGCGCGCATGCCATCTGCGTAAACGTGCTGCAACTGAGAGAGAAATACTCAAAAAACGTTTATTAGGTGAGATAAACGACTGTGCATTTCCCTCTATCGCCAGCATCACCCAGAGTTGAACCTCGAGAAAGGTCCGACAGACCAATAAGCAATAAACGTGTTTTAACTGCTAACTTGTGCCCCCTCCTTATGTCAACGTATGGGGCTTCGGGTGCCTTGATGCGAGCGGAGGATTGATCGATTTGTGGGGTTTAACGTCCCAAAACCACCATATGATTACGAGAGACGCCGTAGTGGAGGGCTCTGGAAATTTCGACCGCCTGGGGTTTTTTAACGTGCACCCAAATCTGAGTACACGGGCCTACAACATTTCCGTCTCCATGGGAAATGCAGCCGCCACAGCCGGGATTTGATCCCGTGACCTGCGGGTCAGCGGCCGAGTACCTTAGCCACTAGACCACCATGGTGGGGCGAGCGAGCGGAGGAGCGGGCATTGAGGCATTCTAATGGGGCTGACTTTGCGCCCTTCCCGACCGAGTCGCAGCGTCTTCCCCCCTCCACATTGTGTGGATGTATAGGGCTCACTGCACCCCTTCCCCTCTCAGGGGACAAGGGGGGCTCGCTCCCTGCCCCCACCCTCCGTTCGCACGCCTGTGGCAGACAAGGCGCACGTAGAGAATAACCCATGTCCATTTTTTTTTAAACCCAGCTAGCACTGTATGGGGCCAAAAAGAAAAGCGGGAGAGGGGTGGGCAGCGCTGCACTAGTTGTGTGAACTGCAAAGACTGCTATAGCACCAGGGGCGAATAGAGCCACTCATTACGGGGGGGGGGGGGGGGGGCGGTCGCCTAAAGTCACACCGGATATATGAAGGCGTGGTCATAACTTTATTGTTGTTTGTATTAGCAGAAAAAAAAACCCTTCATAGCATACTGTTCAAGTTTGCTCACAGGGGTTTCACTCGATTTGTCCTAATTGGCGATAGGAGGGTAACTACAAGCACTGTATTAAGGGGGGGGGGGGGGGTAGCTAGCCCAGCCCCCTGGATCTGCCACTGTATAGCACCGGCATTGGCGGCGCTCCCCTTCTCCTCATCGTCACCTCCCTATTTATTTGTCTCGCTCTCTATTGTTTCTCTTTCTCAGTCTGTCTTTAAACTCCGTTTCTTTCTATCTGCCTCTGTATCTCTCGCTTCCTCTTTCAGGGTAAACTGGTGTGCGCTAACAAAGACGAGGACAGGGACAAGCGCAAACTTTTCAACTGAATTTTATAATTCGTCACCCTTCAAATATATACTTACGAAATAACATAGTCACGTGGTGCACGGTCAAAACCAAATACGTTTCTAAAAGCCGCGCATGAAATTAAGCTCACAATCAAATAAGGATATTGACCTGTCGCTAACAGAAGCATTGCCTCTTGCAGTAATATAAGAAGCTTCCATCAGTTCGCGGGCTGTAATATCACCGCTCCTACCCAAGATCTTAATCTCACTGAAAATCGGCCAGCCCATGCATCCAAATTTGGCAATGCGCAGGCAAATGCGCATTCCCGTTAATTTCCAAGTGAAAGCTTTTGTTCCCTTGCACAGTCATTCACGCAATGCCCCGTATGGCCAACGTAAGATTTTCCACAAGACAGCGCCTTTCTGTTTTTCTTTCGTTCTCTCTTTATCTCCTTCTTTCTGCCTTTCAGTCTCTCTATCTCTCTCTTCCTTCCGTGCTACTATATATATATATATATATATATATATATATATATATATATATATATATAGCTCACGGCTGGTTATTTTTTCATCCACTTTTCTTTCTTCTTATTTACATTCCATCATTCCATTGGTTCTAATAACTTCCCCTGTACATTCCTTGGCATTACTGTCTGTTAGATCTCATTAATATTGTGTCAAAACACGGAAAAACGAGCCCTTAAGTATACACTTATCTCCCATATATATATATATATATATATATATATATATATATATATATATATATATATATATATATATATATATATATATATATATATATATATATAGTGTCTTGAGTGCTATGCTTCACTCCCTCATTCCGTCACCCTCTCCCCCAATTTCATTTATCGCTCCAGCTCCATTTCTATACCACACCATGCTTCGGATGGTGCACGTGTGTTCGAATGCCATCTCTCGGAGAAGATTGTTTCCCTAGAATTTTTCTTTCTCTATCTTCATTTCCTTTTCTCTCTTTGCCTGTACGTCATCTCATCCATCAGAGTTATTGCTTACCGCGCCGGAGAAATCGTATAGCTTGTATGAAAGCAGAAGACCATGACAATGAAGAAGAGGACGAAGAGAACGCGAACATGCCGCTTCAGGATGATGTTTTTCTTAGTGACGCCGCATAAACTAAGGCGAGCTACAGCAGCTTCGCTATTAACTAAAAAAAATGGCAGCCGATCTCCGAAGTCAATGCTGAAGATGTAATTAAGCCAGGTCCTAAATTCCATAATGTCAAGTTTGAAGTCTCCGACTAGTATAAAGTACGGACGGACGCGCGGACAGACACACGGACAGGCGGGCGCATGCATGGGTGGACTGATGGACAGATGGACGGACAGAGTGCGGTCTATGCGCTCTATGAACGCTCTGTGCATGGTCTGTACGGACGGACGACGGCGACAACGGGCATTGTGCAAGCCTAAGGAGCTTCGCTCCTAAAATGTCGCCGACTTCGAAGGCTACGATCCGCGGCAGATGCCGTCAACTCTGTTGTGCCCATTGTGTGCAAGAGTTCTGACCGATTTCGTTACTAGGACTCGAGGGCGTAGCCAGGGGTAGGGAGGGGGTTGAACCTCCAACCCCCCTGCCCCAGGCTACGCCCCTGGGTGCCAGTCCCCAAAATTTTCCAGTTTTGCTTGCACACATTAGACTCGTACATACATACGCACTTACGAACATATTGTCACGGGCTAAGTAGATTCCTGAGGATGACGACGACGAAGTGCTGAACGGGAACGTGCTCGGACTGCAGCAGCGTCGTACGCATTAGCTCGCCAGTATATTCGCCAGTACGAATTTGCTCACCAGTGTATACTTATTCCCCGTAACATCATTGGTGGAGGTGCTGGGTACCACTCGCTATACAGCCCAACGAGCTGGATCATCGCAGCGGACGGCGCATTGCAGCTACCACGATGACTGACCAGGCTACACAATGTCAACAAGATCCGTCAGCCCCGCAGCCGATCGT